ACTGAGAGTGATTATTAATTAAATTAAATTTCTAGGGACTCATTTTTTAAGGCCACATTGATTCCATTGAATGTGGCTTAGGTTTGGCAAAATGTGCCTCTTCTAGACTGAAGATATTTTCTCGGGTTTTTGCTGTTTGGTGTGTGAGTGTTTGTCTGTAAATTTTCTGTAAATCACCATTAATATGTTGTTTTTGCCCTCTTTGGTATTCTCTATATCTCCTCTTTAGCGTCCCGTGTCTCCTCATCAACTCTCCCTCGACTTCGACAACGTGTCACATATTGCGTTATCTTCTCCAAAAACTCAGAAAAACATACAATATATGAACACTGACGAATTGCACTCTAAATGAATGCGTTTCTTGTGTATTTGGGGTCGGTCGTATGTTGTTTTTTTTCTGTGAACTTGGAGATGGTAATTTCTACTGGATTGTCTCACTTGTGAAGAGTGAAGTAATTCAATCCAGAGGGTATATGAGCATAACGAAGATGTGAATTGTGGGGGAGAGAACTATGAGGGCCTCATCTCACCCCTCGGTGTTGATAATTCTCATTGCCACACTATTTAAATGCTGCACATGCACAAGCTGTTAAAATTGGTGTCTGGCTGGAGGGTGCAGGTCAAGAGGGAGACACCAGATGAAGCCTCAATGTAGCATTATTCACGAGGACAAGTGTTGTGGGGAGGGGGCGCTAAAGGACACACATTAACTGCGACGTAGGTGCACAGCTACTGAGAGAAAACGCAATATCCGCTCATTTTTCGCTTGTTCTCGATGAAATCGATACGTTCGTTGCTCAATTTAATGAACAGCAACCTTTGAAGAGCCGAGGATTCTGAGTGAAAAGTTTGATAGGCCGAGGTGAGAGAGGCGAAATGATATTAAATTGCAAATGGACAGAGTAAGAAGCATTTCCTCTGAGCGACAAGAACAAAAAAGGTGTGTTCCTGAGTCGAATGATTGGTGATGTGAATGAGGAAAGTTTCTAAATTCGCCTTTAATCAAATTGTGACAGGTCGTCATGGATTGTTTTGGGGAAAAAAGTTACTTTAAATAGATACGTATATGTATACTTATGGTGATTGATTTGGCCTTTTTACACACTCACAAGAGCGGAAGAGTGGAGTTAAAATGATAGCTAATCGGAAAACGGACAAGCATTGGAATCATCGATATTATTAACAATTCAATCAAATGTTGAAATAAACAAGATATTAAGAGAGACATCTTTTGCGGTCTTGCCTATGGGATATTCCTCACTTGTATCGTGAGAAGATGTTTTTGTATAGGTCTAAAATCGGAAATTGATTTTATTTTTTACCTCTTTTACCTTATACTCTTCCACCATCTCACATACTGGCTTTTTATTATTACTTTTATTACTCTTGAGCGGATTTCTCATCTTTTTCTTCGCATTTCTTCAGCATCTTATACTTCTTTCTTACTTCTTATATCCACATCTTGACATTTTAATATCCAGTTCCAGAAGGATGTTGTGAAGTGTGTATATAGTTTTAATATAATCGCGGATGAGAGAGGGGAATAACGGCAAATTGGTGGTATGAATGAACGAGTGATTCTATATATAGATGAAAGAGTGAAGTGAGAGAAAGATACAAATCGATTTCATTGAAAAAAAAAAATGCTGGAGAAAAAACGTGAAGGGTTTTCCAGTCATTTAGAAATTGTACACTCAAGCGAGATTCATTTGAGCGTCTTGCGCACGTCGTCTTGTTGAAGCGTTTGGAACATTTACCTGAGATTTTTTTTCTTCAATTTACGTTTAAAGATTTTCATGATAAGAAAATGCATTTAGTGTGTCATAGCTTTAGGCATAGTAATTTTACTTCGTGCAATAAAGTGTGTTTGTGATCTTAAGAGAATACTTTGGGCATATTTTTGGGTGTTCTTCGAATGATGAACCCTTTATTCTTAAAGTTTTTAATGAGGTATTATTGCATAATATACACACTTATTATATATGTACGAAAGTTTTTGTTTGTATTGTATATCTAGATTCATCTCAGCTGGTGTTTCGACCAAAATTTTACCATCGTTCTCTTGAAAGTCACCAACACAGAGAAGCACTGTTGCTTTATCTGGTGGATTTTGAAGAGAAAGAAGCCAAAAAGTTATCACCGGAAATGGCAAAGAATTCATTATATTCCTTGTGTGCGTGTGCGTGTGTCAAAAGGACAAAAAAGAGTGTCATTGAGTAAAAGTCACTCAATCTTCAGTCGCGCTGTGAGAATAGGTGTATGTCTGTAATGCGAGTGGATTTATGAAGCACCCTGCTCTGAGGTATATCTAGCCAATTAAGCGAAATATATGTATGTATGTAAAAGATAGTAGCAAATATACAGAGTTATTAGACACACTCACAATGATGCGATTAAATGATAGAATATCATTTTTTGCGTGGCTGTTTTTTTATCATTGTGAAATGACGATTCTATGATGGTTGGATGAAGCGGGCGGAGAGATAAAGAAGCGAAGTGAATAATAAAGAGTGGATACTTGTAGTTGTGCAAATACTCCTTACACCACTTTATAATGAAGGAAAAAAAATGCTGTAAATGAATGGTGAATGTTTTTTTTTATTGATACCTTCCTATTTTTCCTCTTCGCAACTTCTTCTTGGGCAACAAATACAGTGACATTGATGGAGTTGCAAGTGCGTGTAATGGAAAGTATGGGGCAAAAAAGGAAGAGTAGGAAAAAATAGCCACTAGCAGATATATGTATTTTGATTCATCAGTGACGAAGGAGGGAAAAAAGCCATTGAGAAGAGGAGATGAAGAAGAAATGATGGAAAGGCACATACAGACGCTTTTGTAAATCCAATCTCTTGTATATAGGTTTACTATCTACCTCAGGTTCTTCCGTCTCTCTTGCGCGTGGTTCGTCGCTCTCACTTGCTCCTATGGCGGCAGTGGACTTCCTCTCAATACACTTGAAGGGAAGGAAGGCAGCGAAAGAGTGTGGTGAGAAAGACTGTCGCCCGCGTAGTGCATAGAAGAGTGAGAAAGGGAATGGTGAGGTGAAAGAGTGAAGGAGAGAAGGTGAGAGAAGGAGAGTGTGTGGAGAGAGAGAAAAATGAAAATGTGTTTTTGAATGAGTGTGTGATTGGTGTGTAATTTCCACTACGAGTCTCTCTGCTCTTCCTCTCAATCCATTTTATGAATGAAACTGCACAAATTCACAAACAAGCCAAATAAAAGTGACTACGTGAGCTCTGGCGGGGAGGAGATGGATCGCAGCTACTATACAGCACAGTTGAGGCCGTAGATTCACGATGTGTGTGGATGAAGGGGGCTGGCGGGGCGCGGAACAGGGATCATATTGCCTTTGCATACACTCTCTCGTTCTTTTCTGCTGTGTGTAGATTTTTTTTGGAACTACTACGGCGACTGGAGGTATTAAAAAGTGAGAGAGTGGGAAAAGACGAAGGGAAAATGATGAAGTAAAAAAAAATGTTTATGAGGAATAAATGCAGAGAGGGAGAGAGAATTGTAGGAGACACCGGAAATGGCTTGTTGAAGTACATGTAATGCTGGTTTATAAGGTGATTGAGTGTCTCTCGGACCTCGCTGACGAATTTTTACCAATTTCTGCGATATTGTCTTATCAGGGAAAGTTCTGCAAGTGCTTTTTATCACACACTTGCTCGGGACTGACTGGTAGTGTGGATATTTTTAGAAGAAGCATTATCATTAGACTTTCAGGCGTGTTCTTATGAAATTTTGAAGATTGATGTGGGGTAATTTTTTGACAAATCACTGTTCACACAGAAAAGTTTTTTTCTGTGTCATGCAACGATTTTCGGAGTTTAATTTGAGGATTTGTGCAGTTTTAATTAATCTAAAAGAGAAATAGGGGCCAAACATTTCTGCACTGTGTGTATAGGAATTTTGAATGGGAATATCACCCTGGATTTCCCCTTGCGAGGAGAAATAAAAGAGTGGGACAGCGTTCGGAATGGAATAGGCGAGGAAAAAAAACATAGAGAACTGGCTGGTGCGAACGCAATAAGAATTCAAATGGAAGAATGAGCGCTGTGGAGCTTGAGTGTGGTGGAGTGATTCTTTCCATACAGAAATACACACAACATGGTGATTTTTTGCGCTTCTAGCCCCCTTCCGTTCGGGCACTTCTCATCTCAATCTATTTCCAAATGAACGTAGGTGAGCGAGAGGGAAGATCACGGTGTGAGTGTAGTGAATGAGAGTGATGAGAAGTGATTGCATACATATACATGATTCGTTTCCGCTTTACACATTTTCATTCTGTTTTCATTCATGCCTTGTTCAGTTTCAGCTCAAGTGTTCCGTACAAAACTTGCTATATTGACGCATGCGTTTGATACTTTGAGCGATGTTCTAGAGTGGGACTTTTTCATCGCAATTTTCCTAAAAACGTTAAGAAGAAAAAAGTATCTCGAGTTAATTTGTACAGTGAAAGCATTGAGAGAGAGAAAAAAAACTTGGCTTTTCTCGTCCCTTTTTTTCTGCTTGAGCCGCTAAAACTTTTCCTGTGGATGATCTCAAGACTGAAAGTGTATTTTGTAACACCATATAAATGAAGTGTTTGAAGTCTTTTGGCATATTTGTGTGAAAAGATGGTTTAAGGATGTGGAACTGTGAGAGAAAAGTGGGCGAAGAATGAGTGTGAGATATGCTAAAAATGAACAGTGAAATGATGTGACAAAGTCGCGTTAATATTGAAAAATTTCATTCATTGACAACGGCGGTATTTTTCGCAATATAACCCATTCACACATTGTCAGGGGTGTCGTCTGTAATTGAGGAAAACGAATTGTTCTAAGATTGTGTGTGCAAAGAGAGAAAGAGACGAGAGTGGAGAAGCGGTGTAAAGTATAGTGATAAAATTGCGCTTCTGATAAAGCTCCCCAGTTGTGTATCATTCGTCACTTCCTTCCCAGACTCTGTTTATGGATAATTATGTCACTCTAATTCACGCGACACACAGCAAATTATTCTCTAAATATTCATCGACATCTTCACTAGGGGTACCTTCATCTGGATCATAGTGCTGCTGAAGTCTCTGTATAATGTGCACGAGTGTATATGTGGGAGGATAAATTAAATTATGTCCCATTTTTGCTCCATTTTCATCCCACTGATCACTTTGTAAGCGCGTTGAGCATCAAAAGTGGAAGTGAGAGTGTTAATATAGGGCAAATGCCTATTTAATTTCACTGTGGAGGAGCTTTACATTATTAGATGCTCTCTGAGAAATAATCGTACAAAATATTGAAGGAAGTGCGCGTGGAAGAGGAAAAGTATCGAGAAATACACACAAAAAATAAAATAGGACAAATGTGTCATTGTGAAGTTTAAAACTAAAATATAATTCAAGTGGAAATAAATTGAAAATTTTTATATCATCATCTTTATTAGATACTCAACTCGTCGTATCAATTTTCCCCCCAGTGTTTACACCCATAAGGAAAGTGATGATTTTATTTTCATCACAGAGATAGTCGAGTAGAAAATAAACAAATAATAAACTTGTCAGTGGAGGATTGTATTAGTGAATCCTGGAGATCAAGAGACAAAGTACAGAGCGAGGCGCGTATGAAAGTGCGAAAAGAAGTAAAATAGCTGACAGATGTGTTTTGAGAAATGCTGCGCTGGTGATATTGCGCAATTTTTGGTGTGAAGGAAAGCGCTCTTGGTGAACACAGAAAAAAAAATCTGGTGCACATCCAATTTCATCCGTGAAACTTCCCGCTGTGGCTGGTGCTGTGAGATCTTGCATGGGGGTTGGAAAAATCCAGCAGTGTAAACTGATAAATTGACGATTGAGAGAGAGAAATGACTTTGATTGGAATTGCTGGTTGAGGCACAAAAATGACAAATGAGTGGGTGGAATGGTTCAGTGACAATAGAGTAAAGACTACAATCCGCGGAAGCAGCAATAATTTCATTAGCAGCTATCAGAATAATAAAATATCTGGAATGGGTCTCAAAACACATACAATTATGAAATCTCTACAAAAACCTAGAGGTTGGTATTTATGGAAATGGTAATTTATTATTGGAAAAATTTATATTCTTACCTCAGAGACACTTTTTTGTCTCATTCCCCGTCCAATAATCTGTTGGGGGAAAAATGCATTTTTCTTGTACAAAACGGCACGACTTGACGCGCTGAATGAAGGTAGACACAGGGCAGATACGCTCAATTCTTAAAATTGCTATGTCCTCCTCCTCCACTTCTTGTTGGCCATTGCGATTGATTCCCACAGTTTTGAAACAATGTCTGTGTGGTGCTATTAAAATGGTATTTTTTCCCTTTTTTCTGCCTCTCTCAACACAACTGTCACGCTTGGTGAATTTTCGATTTGGATATTAGGAGGAAAGTTACATATTAATGCTGTTGTGTATATTAAAATTAACTTTAAGCAGCGATGGTGGCTATACAATTTCAGGAGACGTCCAATATACAAAAGACAGAAAATTACAGTACAATGTTGGGAGGAGGAGAGAGGCATTTTTTCGCCCCGTGGAACATCAGAAAAAAGTGCAAGATTTTTGGGGGGCTCCGAGTGATGAAGAAGTTTATAATGTCTTTGTCTTGGACATACTTGATGTGATATACGCAGTATTCTTGACGAAGAAGAATCATATATTTATGTTGGTTTTATTTTTGTAAGGCACCTCCTAAAATTTATTCATACATAATTCCTTGGAAATCATCCTCGGAGACAAAGAGTCGTGGACATAAGGTGTAAAAAGTGTCTGTGTATGTAAATAAATTTGCTTTCCTGGGCGAAAGAACGAGGAAAAAATATTGTGGGAATCGTTTAATCAAATAATTCTCGCCGTCGGCTATTTAAATCATCATCATCTCTTGACTCTTTTCGGTGGCTGGTGTCTTTTTGTGTGACCCGAGTGGTGGAATCTCTTAATGATACTCCTGCTCACACTCGAGCCATATCGCGATTGACCATCCGGAAGATGTTGGTGTGGAGGAAGGTGGGAAAGAGTGAGAACTCTGGGAGAACTTTCGATGATCATTTGCATTGACATGTTTTGATATTTGGGAACATTGGGGATAAGCACAAGGCAGAATGAGCTAAACTAAATTATGAGAAATTCCCCCCCTCAAATTCACTCCATGTCACACAAGAGTTCACGAAAGTGGAACAGAATAACTAAAATTATTGATATATGCAAATGAAATTGATCTGTTTCGTTTTTTTTTTACCACACTGGTGTTCCTCTGTGTGTCTGTTTTTTACTCCATGGCTCTTCCTCACAATTCGATATGAATAAAAAAGACACCGTGCGAGTTTAAACGTGAGAGAAAAATTTAACGATCGTAAATCTCTAAATTGATTTGCAGTGAATGAGTTTTAAAGGCGAAGTGAAAAAAAAGACGAACTTCCAAGTGAGGCAATTAATACAGTCTTAAAATTGCTGCTATCTTTCAGATGTTCCTACTCAAATGCCACCGTTGACACCTGGAACGAATAAAAAACTCTCAGAGGCCCTCAAGGCGTCCTTCTCGTCGTGGGAGAAGGAAGTGCAAAACAGGAACATCACCAAAGGTAATTTACATCGCATCTCTGTCCGTATTTTCCAGTATTATCATTCCTACGCTGATGCGTTTCACGTCTGGCCTGTGAAATTCATATTGGACACGTCTCAAATTTGAGTCCATATACACATATATTCCTCGATCGTGCTTGCCACATTGCCGTGAAAGACAGTGAATGGCACTCGCAGAGACAAATTACCACGTTAATATTGATATGACATTACATAATTTGATATTATTAGAAAAATGGTGAAAAGGATGAGAGTCATTAACTTGTTGCTTCAGCTCTCTGAGTTACCCCAATGACGATCTTTCATTTCTATATAATGTACACTATATGGCAGGCATATAAGAACAAATTGGATGCACTAAAAGTGCATTTAGTGCACTAGAGAGAGAGAACGCGCCGTGGATATTGATGTTGGGTGTACATTTTCAAAAGTATGTCACTGTCAGTTGGGAAGATATTCATGCCACAATTGGGTCTCCCCTGAATTGGGTAATTTTTCTCTTGATACTATTCCTCAAGAGAGGAGGGGGGTGTGTGAGTGTGCCTTTTTTCATCTAATCGAAAGCCTCTTTATTTAATTCATCCATCGGGGATTTTAATTTGCTTTAATAATTGATAATAAAATGGAGAGGGAGAAAGAGAGATCTTTGCAATTCCCTCCACTCACTTCTATCCAATATATGTTTTATTGTGATGTGATTGAGTAACAAAGAATGAAAAGAAGTTGTATTTAGCATAAATAATAGGAGAGACCATAAACGACAATAATTCATTGTCATATAATTGGTGGCTATTAATAAAAAAAAATGACAGAAATTTGTATTAACTCTGGTGAGAATGAATCTCACAAGATTTCTGCCACGCAGAATACAGTAGTAATTTTATCAATCATTTGGGAATGCAAGTGCAGAAGGAGGCGGCTTGTTTGAGAAACCGAAGTGGATGAAAAATGAGGCAATTTATTGATGAAAGTTATCCGAAATTCCTTCTATGGTGAATACAGATGTTGAGAATTACATGTACATAGTAATATCTGAGAGTTTCTCTGTCTTCTCTTGTGGTGCACAGAATATGTCAACATGCTTTTTAATTTGAATTTAACAAGAAGGCGAAGGAAAAGAGAACAAGAAACGCTTAATATGTAGTCAATCAATATCACCTAAATTGCTAATAATAAATTCTATTTCGTCTCATTTACCAAAGCGTTCATTTTGGACATGGACAAGGTATATTTCTTTCCCTTTTCATCTGTCTCTCTACACGACACAGTCATTCAAATTTATGATAGTCAATCTGCATTTTGATTATGCTCTGAACTCATTAATTTGGTATTATATATTTAAAATTAAAACTAAATGTTGTAGAGAATCACATAAAATGTGTTAAAAGTTAGTGAAGTGGCAATGAACGGAGCGGAACATTGTCGTGTGGAGGGAATTAGTTACTGTGATGTGAATAAAGTGGGCATAATTAAAGGTATTTTCTTTTGAAATTGTATTTTCCAGATCCCCGATTGTGGACGGAGGAGCATGTATTGTATTGGCTAAAATGGTCAATTAAGGAGTTCTCATTGGAAAATGTAAATTTTGATCCATTCATGAGGTTGAAAGGCCGCGACATGGTTGCTCTGGGCCGCGAGAGGTTTCTCTCAATAACACCACCCTACACAGGTGATATTCTCTGGGAGCACCTGGAGATTCTACAGAAAGGTAAGATCCACACATATATAAATATATACCCCCTTTCCACTTTACTGTTCTTCTGTAATCCGCTAAACTGTTTGATTTCCTCTTTCACATTGGCATTTTTTGCAGAATGCGAAAGCTCACTGGAAAGCAATATGACCAATAGCTTTGATCCTGCTTGCACAGCAGAATTATGTGATTATTTGGGTAATAATCAAAAATTGAGCGGAAATCCCGTGTCAATGGATTTTTCTCTTGCTAAAGGCTTTAATGGTGAGTAAAATACTTGATTTTAATTTATCAATTGAAGTGCAATCGATGGTAAATGCTCCTCTAACACACACGCGCGCGTGGAATTACATGCCCTCAACGACTTTCTCGATCATTTGCTATTTGATCTTCTTATAGGAATATACATATATAAATTTGCTTCTCTCTTTTACACTCTACTTTTATGTATTTCAACTTCCTCTCATCCGATTACATGATATTTCGTTCATCATTATTCCATCTCAGATAGTCTTTTGTTGAGAGCAATATCTCGGGGTTGGATGTCTGATGAAATGCGTGTTCCAGGAGACACCTGAGAGCCCTAAATCGGAATTCGTGGCTCTTTTGGGAGATCCCTGCTATTAAGGCACTTCAATGGCTGAAGAGGGTATATTTTTGTCAATGCTCCACGTGTCCTGCCCACCCGAAATATCTTATATGGATGATTCTCGAGGATCAATTGTCCCTTTGTTGCATCCAATTCAATCCAAACAAATACCTTCGTCAGAAGGTGCATTTTCCTCCCTTCCGGTCGGGTATTTCCATCGCCTGCAGTTCAATTGTGCAGAAGGGAAATCAAGGAGGGATTCCATCGAAGTGCAATCCATATTATACACGCATAGATGTCTGTGTGTTAGTGTAAAACACTCTCTGGGTCATATTTCTTCGCGATGGCGATATATTACGAAAAGCCTGTGCCAGTGCGGAGAGATGATTTTCTTTTTGGAAAATTATTTCTGTCCCAGTGTGACCTCGAAAAGTGTGGCAGAATGTAAGTTGTTTTGCGATATCAAAGAGTGGGGAAAATGTTACACAGAGTATTTTTGATCAAAAGCTCGAATTAATTGAAAATGATTGGAGCTATTTTGGATCACGTCACAATTGCTGCATAAGTGAGGCGAGGGAGGTAGATGAGATGCTTGTATCTTATATGCCTTTTAGGTCACTTTGAAAGTGTGGGGCTTTTTTTTCGCTGTTTCTCCACATTTTGAGAGGTGCTCTCCTTCTGGGCTTCTTTTTGTTTTAACTCCGTGCTGATTGAAGGTGAGGGAAAATTAATTTATTCGCTGACGAATGTGAATTGAGTGCGTTTAGATGTTACTTTGTGGCTTTTATTAAAGTCAAAACTGCTTAACAATCTCCTTCAAAACATGTAGTTACCACAATCATTGACTTTATTCATTTTTATGTGTGTCCATTAGAATCTTTCTCATTTTCATTGTTGTACGTACTCAAGAGGCTTTTTACGTACAGTGAGCACACATTGAGAGGGAGAGACGAGGAGGGGAAAGTGGGGAAAACAATCCATTGTGCAAAATCACTAAAAATAATTTTTTTTAGAGAGAGAGAAGACACATCGTGTGTAGTATATAATGATGGATTTAGTGGTGATGGCAATGAAGGAGAGAAAGAGAGAAGATAAATAATCCATTACATTGGATATTATGTTATCAGTGGTCATACATCCGTTATAATGGTGACCGGATGTTGCTAACACAAAGTTTATGTGTAAAGATTATAATACGTTTAGTTGGAGGTTTATACGTTGAAACATTTCAATGCTGGACTTTATTTCAACTTATTAACTTTGGCTGGATGCGAGAGACACACCGGGGCAGTGATGATCGGAAGGGGGCAAGAAGGAGATGCTCTATACTAGTATATAATTTTCATTGAACTGGTTTACAAATCTCATCTCATTCACCATTTGATATAATTATGTATGTGTTTCAAACGTGTTTCTCATATGTTTTCCTCTCGCTCCTCACTTAATGCGTTTTCAGTAGTAGATTTCCTTTGCATTCGAAAGACGCAACCGTAAATGCTCCACAGAGAGAGGGAGAGAGAGCGGTGCATGAATGAGACGAATCCAGAGTATATCTTCTGGATCATCTCGCGTTCATCTCGATGTGACACTAAATGTTCAGCAACGGCAACAAAAAATGCTACAAATTTCTTTCTTTTTTCACGAGCTTCCTCTTCATCTTGTTCTTGGTCGTCTTCTTTTCATTCATGTCCATAACGTAACGGAGTTCCAACTATAGAGAGTATTTTCCGAAAAAAGAGAGAAAGAGAGAGAAAGAAGAGAAACAGCGTACAAGAGAAACAGTCCAACACGAAAAATTACACATATGGAAAGTAACACCGAAAAAAAGGCTTATTTAAATAATTAATTTTAAATATTTGAAGTATCATTGTTACAACGCCATGGTCTCTTTATATGTTAATTCATACTCTTTTATTCTCCTTTTCAACATATACAAATGTATCTCTCTTTGCTCTTTTACGTGAACTAACAATATTTGTTCATACTCTGGTGATGCTTTGAAAATACAGAGAAGGTGTCATAATTGCGTATACAATTTGAATATTATTAGAAAATCAGTGAATTCTTTCACAGAATTAACATAATACTAACACCTGCTTCATGAAATTCATTTACTTTCGATTTCGATACAATATCACAGAAGAATTTAACCCACAAAGTGAGAAAGTCTTTTTTTTAACCGTTTCACGCTAAGAACGGAGAAGAAAACAATAGATTGCGGTGTTGTTGCAAATGCAGTTTCACTCTCAAATAATGTGAGGACAAATCTCTTCATCATATAATTTCTTGCCATCGAATTAATAGACGCACATCGTCCACTTTTATGCCATTTCGAAAATGATTGTGTTCAAATGATCAACAATGAACTCGACATGAATATGAATGGTTTTCAGGGTCTCAACGGAGTGTTTTCACATTTAAATTTTGTCTCCTAATTTGCCTAGAATGTAAAATTTTCAAGAGAACCGATATAATATTATTTGAAAATCGTATAAAATGACAATAAAAAGCGAATGTATTGGTTTGTTGGCATGGCTGGTGTGTTGTCTCTCGCTATTGATGGTGGTTGTATTATGAATTTTTTCCAAGCAAATAGTAATGTTACTTCCGGTGTATTCTCTATTAGCGTCACCATATTGCCGAGAGTTACCTATGTGAGAGATTTTTTCTCTCCCCTTGGTACTTTTTTCAGCCTGGGTTTCTCTCTCTCTCTCTCTGTCATTCAATGAATGAACCAAACACTTGAAAAGAACACATATGAAAGAGGCACATTAAAATAAGAGAGGGAATATATGAGGAACAACTCATCCGGATATAGGAGTGGTCGTGATGACAATTGAGCATAATATAAGTAGTCGAAGGCGAAAATATGAGGAAAAAAAAGAATCAGGAGCAAGAGAGAGAGGCGAAGAATGTATTCTTGATGAAATTGGAATTTGTGCCATAAACAACCAATTGAAAGGAGTGTGATAGTTGAGCGGTACTGAAGAAGAAGAAGGGGCGCAAGTTTGAAAATGGGGAAGCATTGTGAGGAAATGAGATTTGAAGAAGGCAGAGAAAATGAAGAAAAAGGGGAGGTTGAACTGTTGAATTCACATCATGAACTAATAATTTGCATAAAATACTTTTCTTGTGATACAAAATTGCCACCCATTTTTTCCTATTTCAAACCTACCAACTGAATTTCTGAGGTACATTCTCGTTTTCTGGCTCTATGTGTGATTTTTCCCCTTGTCAAATTTGCTGGGAACAGCCAATGGACTGTCTTTTCTACCTAAGAAATAGGGATTCTTTCGTCTGAAGATGGTCCAAATTGTGAGATATACAAATTCAGTTTATTCTCTCACTCTTTCCTGATTGTTGATAGAATGATGGGAAAATTGTCTGTACAATTGAATTGTGAATATCATTGCTTGATTTATTAGATTCATCTCATGGATTCATGTGACTGTTTTCCTTGAGGACTCTTTGCCAAGAGGGTGCAAAGATAAGTGCAAAAGGGAATGTGAAACGATAACGAATTTCTCCTGGTATGTTATTTTTTCCAGTTCTTCTGAAAATATTTCTCACCAACGGGTTCTTACCATGTCAATTTATATCGTATTATTTGTGTGTTTCTCTGTAATAGCGAGGAGTGGAAGTGAAAAGAAGGGGGCGCCAGTCCAATTCCCATGCTTTTCGAAAAATTCCCTCAATTTGACCAGTTCACATGAGACACGGAGGGACACACACCTGTGTGATATGTGCGGGTTCTTTTGCCTCCACTGTTTATTTCTCATGTAGTGTGTTGTTCCTTTTTTCTGCTGTTCCCTTGTATTTCTACTGATATATTCTCAACAAATGTGCTAAGTAGCGGTTGGAAAACGTAAAACCTAATATGAGGCGAGATACGAAATAAAGGAGAGAGAGAGGGAGAGATAAAAGTGTAACAGACAACCCCAACATTATTGCAAAGGCAAATGATCAAGTGACTTTTTAAACACTCCTCACTACTCAGTTATTAGGAATGTTCTTTTGGTTTCTCCTTTTTTTCTGGAAATTTGGTAGAGTGAAACCATGTCATTTAACTCGGTTTTTCTTAAACGAGAGATAATTTGTTCCGAAATGCGAGGAGTGATGTGTAGAGGAGATGATGAGTCGTCATTTTGATATTTGCAGTGTTGTGGCGTTTATGAATGTCCTTAGAAACTCAATTAATGTCATTCTTGAATAGTTCTTCCCTCGGGGTGCATTTGGCCTGAGGGCTGTCGCTCCTCTCCAATTTCCTTCGTCAATTTACACTCCTACAGCGGCTGTGTGGTGCATTTGTGTACATATTTTATATGGGTGCAATGGGATATCTGAGAGGAATTGCTGTGTGAATGTGCAACTCATATATGTACTATGAGAGGAACAAGCGGAGGAAGAGAGATGGAAGAGCAAAAAACATGAAGACAGGTGGTTGCGCAAAACATATTTCCGTTTGCCTCTTTTTATTCAGCTATAAACACATTAACAATCTCTCTCTCTAGTTTTTTTTCTCTCTTATAAATAGTGAAAAAATATGCCTCACGCCCTGGCATAGGGTGGAATATATCGATGAAGGGGGTGTATTTTTAATAAGGGATCAAATTGCTCTATATGATGAGCCCATATGAACCTTGTAATATGCCTGCTTTGGGTGTCCTTCAGAAGGAATATTATAATGTGGCAGTTCTTTGTCGTCTTGAGAATTGAGCAAGATACAGAATGTGTGGACAGAGGAGAGGGAGAGGGAGAGAGAGAGAAGTGAATGAATAAAGAGACAGTGCAAATTCAAATGCAATTATATGTACAAATATACGAGTTGATGCGTCTCTCCACCGTTGAAAATTGTATTGCAAAAGTGCCCCCAGACATCGCTGTGCGCGCGGACAATATTATACACACATACAGAATGGAACATTGAATATTCCAACGTAGTTTTCTCCGCGGGCACTGGCGTCGGGGGACATACGCCACATACAGCGTAATGTGGTGGAATGATTGTACTTGAGTATTTTTGTGAAGAGTGATCGTTGAGCAGCCGAGGCGAATGCGCTCAATGCTGGGTGAGTTGCGTCGTAAAGCTTCATTTTCAATTTGGTAGTCTCACAAGACGATACAACCGAAACGTGTCTCTCTCTCCTCTGCGAGCGCAGAAAAAGACGGTGGATGAGGCAAAAAAAAGTGGAGAATAAAAAGAACTCTCTCGAGTGAGTGAGTGGGAAAGAAGAGTGAATAGGAGCAGTGAGTGAAACAGCCAGAATATACACGGGAGTTGCCTTTCAAACAATCAACAGTGTCTCTGGTGGGATTCAACAAAACGCCCGACACTCTTGGTGGGATTCGGTTGGCCGCGGAGCTCGTGTGAGATTCTCCGGGAGAGACGCGACGGATGTCAGTTGTCTGGAAGATCGCCTTTCTTTGAACTACCCCAGATGACACAGTGTTGAGAGATGCACCTCGTGCACGTGGATCACGTTGGTATTTATTGAGGTGTTTCTCAAGTGTTGCGCGATGACGCGACATCTTCATCGGCAGTGTGATCAGTGATGGGATGAAGATATCCCGTGGAGTTTTTGTTCAGCGCCTCTCTTTCCCGCCAAACGACAGTTTCGGCGATGGAAATGGATTGAGGATCGTAGCCAGAGTGCACTTGTGAAAATTGAAGGAAATCCAGAAGAGGAACGATATATTTTCCAGTGGTGGAGTGAAAAAAAAGTCAACGAGCAGAAACAAAGCCAAAAAAAAGATATTCCCCAAAAGGCAAAAGTGTTTTTTCGTGTTATTTATTCAGAATTGTTATAGAGTCGAGAAAATCAAAAGAGAAAAAAGGTTATAGCCTTTTGGTGGTTTAATTCTCTATTTTTTATTCGCCTGTGTTTTTTCTGTTCTTATTGTTGCCAAGAAGGTGATTGTAGCGCGAATATTAAATTATGCAAATTAATTGGTGTAAAGTGAAGAGGACTGTTGTATGGTAATATTATGTACGATTTGAGGTGATGAGTATATAGAAGGAAGGAGAAAAATTGACAATTGTTCTGTGTGGTGTGTGTTATTTTCTTCACCCCAAAATAACCGCCAAGAAGCAAGGTTTGGGAGGAACAGTGCCACTGGTTAACGTGACGAAGGGACAAGTAATTAAGGATAGGACTCTCTGAATCGCATTGGAATATGGTGTTGCAATCACTCAACGATTTAACTCACAGGGATGGAGAAAATGAACCTCTCTACCCAATTGGATACACATCAGCCAACCTTTATCATTACACAGAGGCCAATTTGCTTAGTCAACAGGGTAAATAAGATTCCTTTACACCCATAAATGTCACCATGAAGCATGCACAACGCCCTCCTAAGCAAGTCACCCTCTCTTCGTTTCGTGTACTTGAGCCGTTGTTTCTCTTCTCCGCAACTATTGCGCTGATATCTTGCAAATTCGTATACTAATCAAGGTGAAGTAAATTCAATATCACGATCCTGTCTGCCCAAGTGTTAAATTTATGTGCGGACGCTTTTCAAGTATTTATTTTTTCCTCTGATTTTTCCAAGACTGTGTATACGAAATCCTCAGCAATTTTTTACACGCACACTGTTAAGCAAAAAAAAATACTTCTAGGGAAAAATACATCCAATGCCACCGGATGTCTGGTTTTTCACTGCATTTATTGAATGGTCGGCAGAAAAAAATCAAACACGATCGTTTCACTTTACCTTTCTTGGTGCTCTTCTTGGCATCCTTGTGCGATCCTCATCGAATATCGCAATATCTCACCATAATGTTGTTTCCCCAAAATCAAATGCACCGTCAAAAATGTATTTGCTTTCTCGCAAGTATTCTTCTCGATGACCTTCTTCTTGGACAGTGCCGAAAAGGTTCAGAAATGAATAAAAGATATTGAGGCAAAAATGAGCACCAAGGTTAGAAATGCGTTCGCTTTAATTAAATTTCAGTTTTCAAATGATTAAGTAAGAATTTGGTGTTATTAAAAATACAAATTTTGCTATAAATATGAATTTACAAGGTCGTTGCAGGCAATTAACTTTAGAAAATGTCTTCGAAAATATGTGTACGCGCACAAGAAAAATGTACTGCTGCGTGTTTTTTCTGTGTATGAAGAGGAGCGTCTTCTATGCCGTTTTTCTTCATATATATCCATTGAAATTTCATAACAGAGGTTAAAACGAGAGACCAACGAAGAAGACACCGAAAACACAATGAAAAAAATTTATTCTTCGTTACATTTATGAAGGTTTCCATACGTAAAGTAGACGGAGATTTATTAGTGGTTGCGCTATCGTGTGTTTTTCTTTTTCAGAATTATTTTCTACTCCATATTTCAAGGGTGAATTTTGATAGTGAAACTCAGTTTGAGAATTCTTGAACGTGGTGTTTTTTTTTATTCATGTGTCTTGAAAATGTTCTCTTTTTGCCCACCATCACTTGTTGGAATGGTCGAGGGGAAAATGACTGTGCTGTCGAGGACAATAAAAAGTTCATTGTGAATCACCTGAATTTCACTTGAAGTGGCTTTTTTGGGTGGACATTGAACGATTTCAATGATTTATCTAAGAATCTCACATACAAAGTGGAAGTTGAGCAATTTCTCAGTGTCTCTTGCACGCACCTGTTGCATTTTTGCGTGGTTTATTCACTTTTAATTTCTATATTATGCTAAATGTTTAATGTCGTGTAACATTGTGCACATATAATTTTCATTTGCCATCCTCTTCTTCAGTCATTGAGTGGAAAAGCTGCGATGTGCGTGCGTGTTTGTGTGTTTTTAGTGGTTCAATTCTCAATAATTTAAACGTCGTATATTTCATCTGCTTTTAAGGTTTCCTTTTATTATGCCATTTAATTTGGTGTCTTTTGTACCTTTTGTCTCTCTCGCAGAATGCATTTGAGATACAACATATATACGTTTGGTCGAGTTCAAGAGCGCATATCCAGAGATTTTCTCACACATTTCGCGTACTTGAATTCTCTTTTATTCACATGGGAATTTTTATATCTTAACAGCTATTATGCCTCTTTTACACTCCCACTGTATGTCATCCTCTTTGTAGGTATCTTCTCTGGGACACAAGCTGGCTAAACTCTGAAATCTGAGCATTTTGTAGCTGAACGCCTCTGAAAATTGCTGCTACAGAAATTTCCCTTTCGATTTCGTCAGCGTATCGGAGTTATTTTTTTTCACTGTCTACTCTATTTTTTTTTTCTTTTCTTTTCAATGGAAAAGTCAATCTTGGAAGTCTGATTACGCAATTAAGGTCAAAGGCGCGAGATTCATGTGACACATTTCGACAAATAACGGTTATTCCTAGGACAATTCTGTGCTTAAATTTTGCCTCATTGAATGACAGTGGCGACTGTGGTCATTCGCTGACGAGGCAACAAGTAGAAAATATATTATTTGTAATTTATGTGACAATCATTCTGGGGAGATATTGGTGGATAAATTACACACAGAGCAGATTGAGTAATTTATTGCTTTTTTATGTATTCATCCACACTGGCAGGCCCATACCCCTAAAGGGTATGGACACTCCGTGTGACGAGGAACAATTGCGTATGGCTGGCAAAAATTTGTAAGGCTAATTAGGCAGGTTCCAGTTGTTTACCTCTGGCAGGAGAAATGACTTGAATTCGATGATATTTTTTCCTCAGATCACTGTGAATTCATTTGTGATTTTCCTATGCCCTTTTTCGTGCATACATTGTTATGTGACTAGTATGAATTTTTACGTAAGTCTGTTGCACATTTGAATATACAAATAAAATTCGCAAAGAGAGAGAAAGAGAGAGAGAAGGAGGGCAGAAGGAAAAACGAAGTGAGTGACAACGGAGAATTGAAATGTGAATGAATGGAGAGGCAAAAAGCAGATAAAATTGGTGAAGAGGAATAAAAAAGCTCAGACAAATGTAATCCTATTGGTGGTCGCTTTCTATCAAATCACAACGTTCTCTTTATATTCAAAACTCCGCCCAATGTGCGCCGTATTAAAATTGTCAGATGGGGAGTTTACACAATGACTCGCGTCTTCCTCTCCTATGCTCGTTGAGATCATCATCGGGCGCACGATGTTACTCTATTTCAACCGCTGCTCTGGCATCGCCATAACGCCCGTGAAATGGTCGTTTTCTGCCTTGGTGCGCTATTGATGCCCCTTGAGGCGCAGGTAGAGGACTTGAGAGCACTTCGCGGGGTGTTGCATGCTTCTTGCGAATCCCTTCGGATGCTATTATTGAAGACGATTGTAAGGAATTCATCTTGAATACTGAGCAATCCTGTTAAAAATCTTCTCACACTATTGGCATTTATTGTGAAACACGTTTTTATTTCTTAATCAAAATCCGTCTGAAATTTCAAGTTTTTCTCTCTAACTGAGCGTAAATTTTGAGCAGATTGACGAAAAGTTTGAGGAATTGTAATATTGCTCCGACTACAAAATCTGGCATGTGTGTGGCTGAGCAATAAAATTCTTTCATCTTCCTTCACGTGTTGCTTACCTCACGAATTAATGATGTGCCGCACTTTTTCTCTCTCTTCTTGTGCAGATTTCACAGCATCTCAAGAGAGACATGATAGTAACACACCGCCAGCAATGTCTGGAAGTTCGCAGTCATCGACTTCGGCGCGGCAGGAGTCCAGCGGACCGACGAATTTGTCCTACATGCAAATGACGCTCCAGCGACAGGCGGCTGCCGGTGACGAGGGTGGCGGCGGCGGATTCTCGCAGAGGCAGCCGCAGCATCAGCCACCAGCGCAGCAACTCAAAGAGGAGCCCAACACATGTTCCACCCTCTATCGCAACAACATCAACGGACTCCAGGACGACATATCGCTGAGGGTGAGTTTGAGGCTTCTAGGCTAGAGTGCTGGTGTGATTAAGAGCGTTGGAATGCATGAACATGACCACTTATCTCAGTGATTTTGTTGGGCTAATCCTCAAGGCTATCATATTGTGCGCCACATAAACATGTTATACAAAGAATTTTTACAAATTTCCTCTGATAGCATTAGTCATTCTCGGAATTAGAATCTTGAAGGCGATGAATTAGAAAGTTGAATTAAAGTCGTAATTATTTCGTATGTGAATGATAAAAACAGTGAAAGATTCTCACTTTCTGGGAAATTACGATATGAGTTTGCTGACAAGGAAATATCATTGAATTTACTTTCCTCACCTGATGAATTTATCAATTTTCATAAGTGGTTACAATTCGGACATGTTTGCACGCAGTGTTCATGCACACAAAATTGTCTTTCTCGATGTATTAAATATTCTGTGATGTGAAAATTTTCTTAGATATGTATGAAAGTGTTGTGTAATGATTCTAGAAGAAGATTCTTAACAGATTAATTGTCTATTAATCTGAGTTACGGCTGACCTCGTCACAGCACATTAAGATATTGCTTATATTCAATTGAGATAAAGATAAGGGCAAAACAAAGTGTGAAAAGTAGTTAATTTGTACAAGACAGTTAATTTCTGTGTACATTTGTAATGAAAGGCAATTTTCTTGGGAAATTTAAATGAATGTCTGCAATTTGTAATCACAATTTTATATTTATCGGTGTGGTTTTTTTTATCGAGATCTTGTGCCAATATTAAGCCGATCTCCACTGACGTTCTCTGTTTGCTTGCAGAACTTCAACCTGCTGACCAATCCATGCAGTTATGGTGGTGAGAATGAGTACAATTCCCTGGCGCAGGAGGTGGCGTCTGGGCAGCAGCAGTATCTCGAGCGAAGTCCCGAGTTCTATGCGGGCATCATTGATCAGAAATTCAATTCGCCATATCACAAGAGCGGCACCAGCGGCGCCTATCCGCGCGGCGGTGGCGGCGGCACTATGAGTGGCGGCGGCGGCCCATTCCAGGAGCCCCCGTACGACTTTCCCGCCCAGTACGACGCTCCGCCGTATCAGACAGTTCCTGTGAGCTCATCCGCGAGTGCAGACCAATGGACAGGTGGCCATCATCCGCACACGGAGCTGCAGCACCAGGCGTACATGAGCTCCGTGGGCTTCGACAAGACCATCCTGGGCACGTATGCCACGCAAAATGGGGCGCCATGCTTCACTGGTTCCGGACCCATTCAGCTTTGGCAGTTCCTATTGGAGCTCCTCACGGACAAATCGTGCCAGAGCTTCATCTCATGGACTGGAGATGGATGGGAGTTTAAGCTCACAGATCCAGATGAGGTGATTTGATGTTTGCTTTCCCAATCGCATGATGGATCTTCCGCTTGGCGCGAGAGGATGTTTTCACCTTGCTGTGTTTGTCTTCCTTGCAGGTTGCTCGACGCTGGGGAATTCGGAAAAATAAACCAAAAATGAACTATGAAAAATTGAGCAGAGGCCTCCGCTACTACTATGATAAAAATATTATACATAAAACGGCTGGAAAGCGCTACGTGTATCGATTTGTGTGTGATCTTCAGAACTTGTTAGGGTAAACATTTCATATTTCACTTTTAATTCTTTCCTCACACCCAACTGACCTGTTTATCTCACTGCTATGCGCCTTTTCACGCACTCCTCCCGCACACCCTCTTGTGTGTGTGTGTGTGTGTGCTCTTCATTTGCTGTAGAGGAGAGACATTGCAGGAAAAAAAAGTTGATTGTTTGCTCTGATATTTGCAGATATTCTCCAGAGGAGTTACATGCCATGGTGGAGTTGAAGCCGGAGAAGAAGGAGGACGAGTAAGGCGAGCAATTTATCAATTTATTACTATTTGAACAAAAATATTTCTTTTTTTTGTAATTACGTAAAAATGTGAAAATGTATGTGTTGAATAGCAATTGAAAAGTGAATAATTTAATTGGAAAGAAGCAAAAGAGAGTTAATGCTGAGAGATGCATAATATGGCGTAAGAGTTTTGTCTTTTGAACTAGATTATTTACTTTGCCAGACTGGTCGTCGTACATTATTTCAATTTCTATACAGTAATTCTTAATGTTTAATTTAAAATGTTGAAGAAAGCAAAAAGGTTTATATAAAACAAATATTTTAAATATTACAATGAAATCTATTTCTTCGACATTTAGGTTTTTTTCTTTATTGTAGAAGAAGCGATTTGTTAGAATGTTTGATAAATCTCTGTAAGAGAGAGAGAGAGATAGAGAGAGAAAGAGAGAGAGAGAAAGAGGGAAATATTCTGTTTCTTCAAAAATACAGTCTTTTTTTCTCATTGAAACCACAAAAAAGTGAAGCAGTACATAAAAGATAAAAAAAATATGTGTAGAAAGAAGCAGAAAGAAGTGAAGTTAATATCAATGTCGCCCACAGAATAATCACCAAATTTTTTTTTTTTCTATTTTTATTTTATAATAGAAAAGATAGATTATAATTGTTACAAAGTAATAAATTTCATTTAATTCTCCAGAGTGAAGAAAAAAGAATGAGGTTGATAAGGCAAGAGAGCTGCAAGACCCAAAATGGTGTTTTCAGCGCTGATTAGCCGTGCTGTTGTGTGGGTGAAAGAGAGAGAAAGAAGAAATTTAAGTATTTAGCGTAACATTTTTCGCATCGATTCCCACTTAAATATTCATCAGGCCATTTATTATGGCCATTTAATCTGTTTTCCGGTGAAGTGATTAGTAGAACTTTATGTTGTGATTGAGCCATTACCAAAAAAAAAATTATGGCGCTGGGGAAGACAAGCAGTGAGGAAATGTTTGTGTATTTTCCATCAATATCAGATATTTATCTTTTTTCGGCTATACTTTCTTCACTCCGTGTTCGCCGTTGATGATGCTGAAAGGAGGCGGGAAGATACACGCGAAAACATATACACAGGAGATGGAATAAGTTTACACAGAGAAGAAAGAGATATTCTTCTTTTGATCTCTATTGGATTATTATTATTAAAACATTTATTAAAATCGCCAAAATTCTCTCTCTTTCTCTCCCCCATGGATCTTATTTAATAGGTCAGTGCTGCGCTCCTGGTGGGAGTCTATTTATTCTTTCAACGTTGGGAGGAAGTCTGAAGAACCTGTAAATGAGCTCACCATCTCAATCAGCAATGGCGAGATGTTGCTCGCGCTGAGGTGGAGAATTACGTCCCACTGGCGCTGTAAATTTTAAGACGATAATCCACAACTGGCGATCGGAATTTCTTGAGGTTGCGATAAAAGAGAAATATCGAGAAGGTACTGCTTTTCACTGTACGCTCAAGTCGACGTGTTCTCATGGCAGGAAGAGTTGACTTACCGTCTGCTCTATGAGCAATAAATATTACGAGTCTTGTCAACGCTCGCCAGGTCTCATACTTAGGGGAGAGCCGGGTGTTCCTTCTGTGACTATTGAATGGCACAAAAGTTATACCAAAATATCTAGAGATCTTACATATGCATGTAATAATGAATACGCAACATTAGTCTTGACATAATGCTTGATTCAGCGTGAATTTTCTCAAGTCATTCTCTATCTAAAACCCTCTGAAATACTTTGCCCAAGACTTTGCCTCTCCTCTAAGTAAGCCAACGAAGCCACTTTTCGCCGAACCACACCGCAATCCAAATTAATGGCGAGATAAAGAAGGGGCCCAAGACCTGATATCACGCTCACACCCGCAATCGCGAGAGTTACGAAGCATTATGTAATGCCATTGACAATTTTCCAGTGCGAAGAACAGTGGTGATCGGCGATGAAAAAACATCCCATTGTTGGCATTCTTGTGTACCTGTGGTGTCTCGTAGCCGATGCTCAGTGGCGCGGAAACATTCTCTATCTCGTGGGTGTTCCCTCGCCCAGCCATCACATATGGAACCGCGCCATCATGCTGGAGCTGGCCCAGCGCGGCTACAATTTGACCGTGCTCACAGTGGAACTCGAGGAGTCGCTGCCCAATTTGCATTTCATCACCATGGAGGACGTGTACGAGGTGGTGCAGAGAGAGTGGAATGCGGGATCGATCGGGGTGGATACGGCGAAGAGGAGCTCTTGGAGCATCGTGTCCGATTCTTACAACTTCTACCACTTTGTCTCGCAGAAGCTCGCCTCGACTGAAGGTTTCCGTCGGCTGATGGACTATCCAGACGACTTCAACGTCTCTGCTGTCATTCATGACTTCTCCCTGGGACAGATGATGCTGGGCTTTGTGGAGAAGTTCGGAAATCCACCCCTGATCTCGGTGAGTCCCTTTGGAGTGCCGCCGCACACATGGTCAGTTGCCGGAGAGCCTCATCTGGCGCCCTTCTCACCCCACTTCGCCACCGGATATCCCACAGAGATGCACTTCGGCCAGAAGATACTGAATCTCGCCATGCACTTCTGGGATTGGATGTACAGGGAATTGATATTTATGCGCAGGGAAACCGCCTTAGCCATGGAGTTTTTCCCCGAAGTCAATTTGTATGCTATTGAGCGTCGCTCGAGTGTGATACTCGTCAACAGAGAGCCTCTTCTGGACGGCGGCGGCAGTCTTCCCACTAATGTGATCAATGTGGGTGCTCTTCATGCGGACAGAGAGGGTTGGCTATCGCCAGAAGTGGAGCAAACTCTGTCTTCGTCCAAACCTGTGATCCTATTTTCGGTGGGCAGTAACATGAGGAGTGATTTACTGGACGAACAAATCATCGCAAAGTTTGTCTCAGTTTTCCAAAAGCTTAATCAATTCAGCGTCATTTGGAAGTATGAGGGAAAGAGACCTTTCAATTGGCCGAAGAATATATTGACAGTGGATTGGATTGATCAGAATAAGCTTTTGGGTAAATCTTCACTTTCACATCCGTTGTGACAAATTCTAATTTGGCTTTCACATTGCAGAACATCCTAATTTAGTGTTATTCATCACTCACGGAGGACTCTTGAGTGTCCAAGAAGCCGCTTGGAACGGAGTTCCCATTCTAGGAATGCCTCTCTTCATGGATCAGCATTCAAACGTTGCGAAGGCTGTTTCCCGTGATATCGCTCTTGACATTGACGTGAACTCATTCACAGCTGAAGAGCTGGAGAGCAAAATACTGCAGCTAATTGAGGGAGGGAATTTCCGTGCGAACGCAGGGAAAATATCAAAAATGCTGCAAAGGCAGGAGTCTCCACTGTCGCGAGCAGTTTCCTGGATAGAGAATATCGCAGAAAATGGTGAGTTGCCGCAGTTGAAGTGTCACGTTAATTTACATGATATTTTGATTCCCATCATCTTTATACTCTTCTGTGCAAACCTCCTCTGGGATGCTTTTCTCAATGTTGTCTCGAGGATTACACAGAAACGCACGACAGAAAGTGATTCGAAAAGGCAAAAGCTAAAAGTTCAATAAATCGTTGAGAATTGTGTGAATAACACATTTTGTACAAATTCTATTTCTAAATGTTTTTGAGAAGCTTTCTCGGACGTGCTCGAAGTGTTTCTTCATATCCGGAGAAAAAGAAGAACTCTACAGCTAATTAGACACTATACACTTGCATTTATTGTTTTTACATCCGATTTGGAAATTACTTTATTTCTGAGCTCAATGTTAGAAAAGTGTCTGAAGTGAAAAGTCGCAGTTGATAGTTATTCGGGCTTGAAGAAGTTCACAATGCCCGTCACGACGTTCTCCAAGAGATTCGCTTCGGGCTGTGCTTGTGGCTTCTGCTGCGCATCACTGCGAGTTGGCTTCACGAGAGGTCCTTTTTGGCTCAAGTCGCAGTGATACATCGCATTGACCTTCTTGAGGTCACCCAGGGAGAATCCTCTGCGCTGACCCATGTTGGCAGCACTTCTGGTCTTGGCCACGATTGTGGGCTGACCATTCTTCGAGAACGCGTGCGCGGAGTAGTGAAGAACGCTATTGTAGTCGTACAGGACGCCAAAATTGTTGGTCGTGCCATCTCTGGCCTTCTGGAAGTTATCAGTTGTGCCCGCCTTGATGTTCTGCCACTTAATGATGACGCTCTTGTCGCGATCTGAGCGGTTTTGCTCGTGCAGGAAGCCGAGCACGTGCAGCAGCTCGTGAATTGGCACTCCCACCTGATTGAGGCAGCCCGGAGATTGCAGATTCACATCCTGCGGACCGCCAATGCGGCCAACGCTGGACCAGCATCCGGATCGGCCGCTCACGATTCGGATATAGTCCGCTTCTGTTGTGTGAGGCACGAAGCGGATGCAAGTGTGGACATGGAACATCTTGATGGCCTTCTCAATCAAACTCATGTCGTTGGCGCCTGAAGAAGAGAAACGCATTACGTACAGCTCATTAAGGTTTGGCGTGGCGAAACCTCTTCGAGAACTCACTGAAGGAACCCTGAATCTCATACGGAACAACACCATTTGGCCAGCGAGTTGCTTGCGCCACGAGACCATTCCTGGCACGTGAGACTGGAATCAGCAGGTCTCCCTCCAGATACGATCCCTGCTCCTCAGGATTTCCTTGGAAGTTTGCGAAATTCTCCAGAACCTTGCCGATTTTCTCATTCGGCACACCAAAGATTCCCGGCCCGAGGAAAGACAAGTCAATATACTGACTCCAGAGATCTCGTCCAGTTGAATTCAAATCACTACGTGGCGCTGCCTGAGTCACGACAAAAACAGCACCAGCTAAGAATATGATGAAAAATCGCTCCATTGCGAGACAAGTTGGGAAAATTGTGCAAAAATAGCAAGGTTTACTAACAAGTAACTGATGAATTTCGTCGTCGAAGTCTCCTTAAATACCATCGCGGTGAAATTTCATGACGATATAAATATTATAAATCCTCCTATCAGAGACAAGTCACTTTATTCCTCGATGGCACATTTTCAGCGCTTTCCTCAGTGGGGCACGCGGCTTTTTCCGACCTTCTGTCGGGTTCAATTGGCAAAATAACACACAAACACTTTTTATGATGTCTCCTGACACGGGCTTTTATTGCCATTTCACTAAATTGAGGAAATTGAGTTCATTGCCGTGCGTTTCAAGCAAGATCATTTCGCTGTCGCGTTTAACAATTAGAATATTTAACGGTTACATTACGTTCATCACATAAAGAGAAAACAGAGACTGAAAAATCCACGAATTTCTTCAATTGGCACTCAAATGGCTGTAAAACTCTGCGTATATAGTCTTAAATGTGCTGCTTTTATCAGAAATTACTCAATTGAAAGTAGGTAAAAATCATAATTTCTTTCCCAATGTTTTATGCTGTCGGTGTTTGTTTCCTGCCAATTGCGATGAGGTTCAAATCCTTGCTTTGTATGAAAAGGACTAAAGAGGAAATGGATTTTCATCGTCGATGAAAATTCGAGGGGAAATTTCCTTCTCTTCGATCAATATTTCAACCCGGCGATTCATGCATTAATCTTGTGTACTCAATTATTTATGTTTGAGATTCAAAGAAAAATCACAGAGGAAGAAGAATTTTTCTTTATTTCCACCTCACGTTACATACATATTTTTGAGTACAATATTTTTCTTGTTTATATTTATAATTTACTCCATAACTTGTTAGGTATTCTTGTCTTTAATATATTCAAGGACTGACATTTGCTGCGCTTCATCTTTTCATTTATAGCTTTGCAATGTACACACAACAGAATGGCAACAAAATTAACATATCTACAGTATGGAATGTGGTAATTTTGGGGTTCTACACATTTTTTTCTTTCTCGAAGGATGAGAGAGGCTGAGAAGCTTACAAATCGCAGATGTAAACAAATTGCATAATCGAATGTTGGATTTTGGGCTCCCGGGCGACTTGGTGAGACTTCCATGCATGATGAGTTTGTATGCGTGTCTCCTAATTGATGATGTCCAGGAAAAAGAATGTCCAAACTGGGGCTCGTCTGTGCGTTTCTACTACAATTTTTCACACACTTTGTCACAATTTTTTTTTTTGGAAAATTTACATATTTTATCTATCTCTTGGTGTCACCACTATAGTTTTTTTTCTATCAGCTTGGATTGTATGATTTTATTTCATTTCAGTAAAATTTTGATTGTCATTGGCAAAATATATAATAGAGTGATCAAGGTTGATCATAGACATACAAATATGCACAACAGTTACACAGTTTCTCTTCAAACATTTCCTAATATTAAACTTCTTTGGGGTTTTATCGTGTTTGCTTGTTTTTTTTTTCTTCGAAGTTTTCTTTGCTGTTGTATTACTCTTGCTTTTTTATTTCATTTTCCCACATCCTCTTCACTTTTCTATCCTCCTCTATGCGACATTCTATCTGACAACAGAGGGTAGAAATTGTCATACATGGACGAGACGGAAAACAGAATTATCTTAGAAGAATCACAGATAATTGCTTAAGAATTTTCACAGATGGGCAAATTATCTGAAAATGTCACTTTTTCGAGTCAATTCAATCCATTTTTGATTTTTCCTCTTTAGCAGAAATCATAACTGGGAAAACTCATCCTTTTTTGGCTTCTTTTCCAAGGCATAATTCTAAACGGAAATGATAAAGGATAGAGTTGTGCGCTTTAAGATTGACTTACAAGTAGGAATAAAAGTTTCTCTACTCTCGGTGATTGGACAGATTGGTGATTTTCTTGTGCAAATATAGAATTCCTTTTCGTTTGGATTCCTCAATTAGGAGCTACATTATGGCATTGAGCGTGGAGTAGGTGGCCTAAAGGAAAAATTTACTCTATTCGTCTAAAATGAGGAAATTTGGCGAGATTTTTGGCTCTTTCACACACACACATAATTGTATGCCTATATATTTTTCCATCAATATTGTGTTACTTGTCATGAAAGTATATGATATAGTTAATGCGTCGTTTCCAATTATACATACATATTTTTGCTGGTATTGTACTCCCTCCTGTGAAAATTGATCACTCAGTTCATTCTCTTTTTCACTATTTTTTTTTCTCTTTAATACCTTCGAGTGCAGATATAGAGTTTTGAGTCTTTCATCACACAATCATTCAGATTTATCATCAGTATCACGTGTTTTCATTATTTCTTTATTATTTTTGTCATTGATTAAAGTCAAAGAACAATAAACACATTTTATTTTTTTTTTAAACTTATGCTCCTTATTTTTGATCTTCTCTAGAAGATTTAGCTTCTAACAGTTTGATTTTTTTTTCAATGTCTTCGCTTTGTTAAGAACACTCCGTTTTCAATACGCAACAAAGAATCTCTTTATAGTGAACAGTATTGGCTCTTGATTGATTCTCCAGAAAAAGACACAAAGTAAAATTATTGCTGATTGGAGATGATTAAAGGAAATTCAGGGAACAAAATCAGTCCTTGATTCTTACATGATTTTATTTTCTCTTTCACTTATCATAGTAATGTTTATACTTTTCTCATATTTTATGTGTAATTTATAATCAGTGGCAATATTTGAACTTAAGACAAATTCCTCATCACAAGCGGAGATGAATATCATCATCGTTAATCAATACGATTAGGATGATGATGAATATCACCTCCGCTCTGCTTTTGAGTGGTTTAGGGATTAGATATTAATATTTTATGTATATTAATTCTGCGGTAAATAATACTCTCTAATGTCTATTTCATAAAATTACGAATAAATAAATCATCAACTCGTTATAATGACATATTGAACAGCCATTGAATGGACGTTCAACCGAAACTTTCCACCAACTTCAAAATTCTATTCAATTTAACAATTACAACGGGAGTCAATTGTTTATTTACTCGTACTTGAAGGTATTTTACTTATTTCACTATTTTTCCGCATATTTTATCATTTTATTTTTTAATCCATCATTGCCATTTTGTCCCAATATTTCTTCTTCATCTTCTTCTTCTCATTTTGAAACAACTATCGTTCCTATAATATATGTACTATCTCACTAACCGGGAATCTGATTGTTGTATTTTCACCTTAATCATCAACTAATTTTATAATAGTTTCATCAATATATAATCTATATATGTATTTATATAGTAAATTGATTATCATAGATAATTTTCATTACATTGGTCCAACACAAAACTTTCTGGTATTTTCTTATTATATACTCTCAATAATTCTTCCATTCTTCATGTTTTTTTTTTTAATGTTCATATGGCGGAGAAATCAAGAGGGAAGCCTGTGTTTGGAGATTTCTCCCGCTACAGTAAAGAAAGCCGTTTAAATGCTACATTATAACTTAAGTATCTACTTTTCGGTTCTCAAATCAATTCTTAAAAATTACTTATTTTGCTATATTTTTTTATACAATTATCATACTTATATGCTCTTATTCTTCTACATACTTTATGTACGAGATATGCATTGCAAGAAAGTTTTATAATATTTTCATTAAATCATCCAGTGGAACTATCACAGTTCATTAAAATCATAACAAAAGAATACACATGGAAATGGGGAGAAATGATTAGTACTTAAAAAGAAAGAAAAACTCAATGAAAGGTCAGATCTAATGTTGTCTGTGTCCTTTTAAATCCTCCAGCAAAATTGTTGCGCTTCCAATTCCCAATATATGTATGTTTTCTTTTTAATTAATTTTGCTTATCTAACTTCTGTGTCGGATTCTTCTTGCTCCACAGAGAGACGTAACAATTCCATCAACTTCCTCACCATCGTGTCGCCATCATTCAAACATTATCCGTGTGCTAAGGCTTACATATTCTTTTTTCATTTTAAATGTTATGTTTTTTTTTATACAAATTCGTTGTACAAATTGCTTCTATAAAAAAGTGACAGAAGGGAAAAGTATTCACTTTGCACGTCCCGCTTGGAAGAATATAATTTCGTGAACCAAGGAATTTACGTTGGTGACGAAGAAGTCTATGAAAATATGAAGATGAAGGAATCAAAGCTCTCTGAAGTTGTATTAATATTCCTATAGAGATATCCATATGAACATCATCAATCCTAGTTCAAAATGTTCGTAATATGACAAGTCGCACTTCAGAGAACATTGACGAAAAATAACATAAAGAACCATTTCATTTGATCCCTTTAAACCTTTGTGAAAACTCAATCGATTAATAATATTCTCTAAATAACAGTTCAAATTTCAACCGATCTGTGATCAGTGTTGCTTGTTTGTCATAAACAGTGGAAACAACTCAAAAAGATTTATATCATCACAATGTTGTTTTTGAATAATTCTTTTGAAGACATTTCTTTCACTTTATTTCTTATTCATTTAGTTTGATTGAAATACATGGATTGGTCAGGAAAAATGACTAGGAACGCAAAACAACAGAGGATATTTTTCAAAAAAATACGTTTCTGCTCTCCTCTTATTGAAATATTGTTTAATCAGCCATAGAAATAATAAAAGATAGGCTTGTGAATTGCACAGAAATTATCCAAATCAAATTCATGCAATCGTCATGTTCTAGATCTTCCGTCTGCTGCTATTGAGCTTTCTCCACATTTCACAATTGATTGTGTGGAGAAATTCGCCATGTCTGTATCATGCACTTTTGATGTTATCTTAAAGTTTAAATTTTTAATTTACTTCAATTAAATTGTAGTTCTTCTCTTCCAGAATTGCATGGAAATTTTCATAGTATCACTATCAACATAATTTAAATATATTGATTACGGGTAAAAGTTATGCTCCTCTTCATTGTTCCTTATAAATGTTAAATGTTAATATTTTTTTTCGTCTCTACACTAATTTATTTATTTATTTTGTCTATTACATATGCATTGTGTCATAACTGTCTCCACTATCATGTTTCTTCTTCTTTTTTTCTCAATTTTTCCTCCTTAAACTCCCTCTTTTTTGTCAATATCTCAATGTGACTAATTTCTTCATAATAATATTGGTATGTATGTATATTTTTAATAATTAAATAGTATATTTTATTTTCATTTCATCTTGGGGTATAATTATCATTTATATTGTAAATATTTTAATATTGGTTCCTCAGAACCGTATTTGTGTTCAATATTTTTTTCTTGTCTATGTTCTTCACGCAAGAGCGCATTAAATACTACAATTAACTTTCTTTGTTAATAAACTGCACTTAAATATTTTTTTTCTTCCTTTTTCTTTAATAATAATATATAATATCATACCTTTTATTTGTTACTTTTTTGTAATGTGTCTCATGTTACGCAATATCTCAATAGTCCATCATTCGTAATACCATTCTTATTATATCCATCCCAAAAGCTCAATCAAAACTCACCCTCCAAAATATCAATTTACCTAACAATTGTCTCGCATTCTCTGGGACTTGGCTGGGTTTCCACGTAAATAGTTTTGAATGAATCTTGGCAGAAATTTCGCTCGATGATGATTGCCAAAATCTATTTACTGCTTCTGGGTTATTTCAATTAGGATGCAAAAAATACCTTCGCTTGTGCATAAATATTCTTTTTCGTATATGCAGCAAAATGACTTGAATATAAACAAGAAGCGAAGAAAATAAAATGCTCAGTATTGCATATTCGTACATCGATAATCAATTATATGTACACCCGTCTGTATGTTACCCGCTTTCTAATTATATTGTTAATTTATCCCCGGATATCTATGCCTTAATTGAGTACGTCCATTAACCATTATGATTGATTTGAATTCTCATGAGTTTTTACTGCTTGTTTTTACTGCATATTGCTCTAGATAATAAATATAATATGAATTTTAACTTATACGCGTTTCAAATCAATATTCATTGAAAATGATATCAATTAAGAATATTACTTTCTTTTGAAATACATTTCAATTAATGTTTTTGTGCGTATCTGTAACAAATGTCTGTACTTAATTGAATTGTCGCAAAATCACGTATCATTTGATTACCCGTAAAAAATAATTCACACACATACTCAATATCCGTACATGAAAATATAAAGAAACAAATCAAACAATGAGTCATTTGTTTTATACCATCATGTCGGTTGAATTAAAAAATCATCCCTTGCTTCTCATAATCTCATTCGCTAAATCAAAACTGCACTATCCCTTTAGAGAATACGAGAAAATTTTAAAAACACTTCAATACTTCTTGTCCAGAATTTTTCCTCCTTAGTCCAGTTTTCGCGTTTGCTTATTATTATACTTCTGCTTATACTTTCATCAATATTTTGCATATAATCCCGCCACAATTAAATTGTTATCTCTCCTCTCGATATTAAGCCAGTTGTAATATTATTCATTCTTACAATATGTCATTTCATCAATATTTCAGTTAAATGTTGTATTTCATACACAGTAGAACTTGTTTCTTATTTTTTGCCTCTTTTACATCTAACAAATGTGTATCAAATTTATGTTTCTCTTCCTTTTCCCTTTACTCCTGCACAACTTTCATTTTCTTAGAGCTTTTTCATGTCGCTGAGAAAATATCTGCTCATCATTCACATTCCAATTTTTTTTTTTTTTACATTTTTAATTTTTTTATTCCCGCTCCTCATCTAAAGACGCCTGTTCAAGAACTATTCTCTTCCCGTTGTTCTACTGTGTTCGGCATAATTTAAGATTATCTCTCTTTATCAGCAAATCAATGTTTTTAGTGGTAACTTGAATCCATGTAACATCATTGGGAATAAGATAAGAGAACATTTCATTCTTCTTTATTTACACATATCTTAATAATTTTGTTTATCTAAGAAATTTTTACCCATCGAATGGGAAGATGTTTTGTGGAAATTTTAGTATATTTTGACTAGTTAATTCTTGTCAAAAAACATATTAAATTTTCTTCATCCTTCTGTGTGTTTTCGTTTTTAATAAAGCTAGACTAGAAGACTCGGCGTTAACCATTCATCTTCAGTTAGCTGGAAATACATAAAAGGTAGTTTAAGAAAATGAAAATGCCTAGGATGCGTAAAATGGGTTTCATGTATGAAAACATAAAGTAAAAATTCCCTGGACATTGATACAAATAGAAAAAAATGCACGAAAAAAGAAAATGATTTACGGTAATTATTTTATTACACACTCCAATTGGTTGTCGTAGAAAAAAGATACGACATAAGCTTCCAATTCCTTCTTAATCCAAAACTCTTATTTCATTGAAAAATAACCAGAAGATTTTGTAGCTCTCCCTTTTTTTGGTTCCATGCAAACTTTTGTATGAAATACGTAAAAATTTGTTTCTCAATTGAGAAAATTATTTGATGTTTTTCCTCACAAACGGAAATGCTGTTCATCAAACTTTGTTGTACGTAACAGAGTTGAAAAATATATAACCTTCTTGTGTTTTGTGTGTGTGTCTGTTGTTTTACACTTATCATCTTGTGATCAGACAAGATTATAATTTTGTCATTTGTATATTTTTCTGCAATACATACAGTGAAAAGACAAATACAGAAAGCTTTATTATATCATATGTACTTATATACAATGATCAAAAAGCATCAATACACACACACAAAGTCTAAATATAGAGAAGAAAAAATTGTAAGAAGACGTTCATGCAATTCTCTCAATGATCTAAAAAGTAAGTAAAAAGGTGTGTCTTTCTCTTCGGATCATCTCCCGTAGTTATTTGAGTGAGAAAGAGCATTAATGGGCAAAAGGTACAAAGAGGCTGTTCAGAAACATTCATCTGCTGGATATTACTTTGATGTTTGACAGGGTCCAAGTTACAGAATTGTAAGAAGAAGTTAATAAGCGAATATGTGATTAATGTTACTGCTCAAGAGAAATAGCCAAACATTTTTCCATATATCACTGTATGGAAAATATATATATAGAAAAATGTTTCAAACAATCAGCATGCAAGACATGTAAGATTTAGTTTGAAATCAGACAACTGATAAGCATATAAACTGAAAGTTCAGAACTGAAAATATAATATAATAACAGAACAACAGGAGGGGAGGGTCGAAAGTAAGAGATAAGAGAATTTGTATGAAAAGAAAGAGGGACGTTTTCCCATTTTGCCCCATCAAAATGTGTGGGTTTTTCTTTTTCTTTTTTTAGATATTATTTTTATATTCTTATGGGGTCGTTAAGTATATTTAGCATATAAGAAAATTTGTCTCTCGATACCTGTGGATTCCTCACCTGAAATTGCTGCATGGGATACGCCACAACTCCGGCAGTCTGAGGAATTCCTGTGCCGACCCCCTGAGCAATTTGCTGGGCAGTTGGAATTTGAGTCTGAGATGAAACACCTTGCCATGTGCTAGGTATTTGCATTCCCATACTACTTTTTTTCGGCCGTTAGTCGAGCAGCAACCAGACGAGGATGAAACAGAGAGAAAAAATTCGGGTTGTTATAATAATTCAGTAGCGTTCAGTCAAGAGTGAGCACATTTCTTTTTTGCACTTTAGTCCCTATTTAATAACCCTGAGCACCTCAAAATGTTCAACTTCAGCAAACAAATTTTTCTACTCATTTCAATTAACCAAAAACTCTTCTTTCCATTGAATAAAACTTTGTTGGACTGAAACTTAGAGAAAAAACGGTTGATTCCAATATATATAAAGTGAATTTGGCCGTCATTAGAACTCGTTCATATGCAGAGTTTGCTTTAATTTTTATCCATTCAAAACAGATGCCAAGAAATGCTTTCAGCTTTTAGATTAATTTTGACTGTGGAAACTTTGTCTCTCACTCATGAGTGCATAACTGAATGGTGAGCTCTGCTAAAAATCGTTAAACATACACACAGCCATACTCTGCATTATCAAATACAAACCCCATGTATCCTTGTTGGTAGCCAGCAAATTGACCGTACGCATAGCCCTGCATTCCCTGCAGAAACTGTCCCTGCAGGGCGGCCGTGGGTGTGTGCGTGGTAGGATATGTCGGTGGCTGCGGATACCAGTAGCCAGCCACTTGCTGCCCATAAGCGGTCCCAAACGGAAAGGCTGTGTGGCTGAGAGCCTGACTAGCGATGGTCGGAGCGTTGTTGGGGTCACCGCTCTCCTTTCCCCATGAACACTTCACGGGGTGAGAGTTTATTTCAGAATTGTGAATGGCAACAATGGCATGGGTTGCCGCCTCTTTTGTTGAGAATCTATTTGAGATTAAATCACGACAGAAACATTAGAGGAAGAAACTTTCCTATCAAATCGAATGGACGGCATTCTCACCTGATAAAAGCATATCCTTTGTCTTTGAAGACACGAATCTCCTGAATTGTGCCAAATGGTGAAAATGTCTTCTGCAGTATTTCCTCACTTAGGGATCCAGAGAGGGCTCCGTTGACGCCACCACAGTACACTGTGCAATTTGTCGGGCTGCTCTGATTGTAAACTTCGTCAAAAGTCAGTGGCTTTGAGTTCACTGCAAGAAGATTCGAGAAAGAGAAGAGAGAAAGAAAAGAAAGGTTTCAGTAAAAGTCGAACTATTGTCACTATTATCGTTCTTTTTTCACTGTTACTTCTCAAAAAAGTAATTTTTTTCTCTTTTTTATTGAAAAAAAAGGAAACAAAAATTGCGAGATTTTGTTCGTCGTTGCGAATTTTCTCTTTTAATGATTCTCAAGAAAAAAATAAGGGTATATATAGTCTTTGCTAAAGTAGAATGTAAAAAGGAAAATTGTTAGGGAGGACTTGTAAATAATTTCTTTTGAAGTATGAGAGAAAATCTTGGGAAAAAGAATAAATAGCCAAGAAGGCATATTACTTCTCGAATGGGAAATACTGAATGTCAATTAAACAGAAATTTGAATAAATTAGAAACCTAAAGGTAAAAAATATCGTGGAGGAAAAAGAGAAACATAGAAGAGTAAAGAAGGGAAATGCAAAACTTATAAATGTGTAAAAGGATGTTCAAAAATAAGATTGTGAAAAAGAATTTGCCAACATCAAAATTACCAAACGTTATAACATTTACTTTTAGATATAATTATATAAATTTTAATGATTACTTTCAATATATATGTTTATCATAATCTGAAGAAGAAAGCACACCACTACCCAGTTAATTAAGTGTTCTAAGAATGGTCAAATTGGTATATTAAATTGTTGTAATAAATCGGAATGAAATAAATATTTCCTAAATAAGTAACAAGTAATAAAATTCTCAATATTCTACAAAGCGTATTATCATTTTTATATAATAATAATGATATTAGTAAAAATGGATCAAAAAGAAAGGTATAAAAATTATTAATATTTTGGAGTAATATTGTACAATAATAAACAATGAGTCCCAAATATTAATAATCGAAAATTTTATTACACTATTACTACTATAATATCAAAATATATTGTTCCAAAGAAGCCAGTATGATGGTTCTCGAGAAAGCGACAAAGCCTCCGGCTCGAATTCTACAATTGTTACGCATGTTGGAAACTTACAGGAGCTGCGAGAGTGTATGCATATGTGAAAGCAACTTTTCTCTGTTCGCTGACGGCTAGTTTTCGCCAAAGCCCCCCTCACCGCCCCCGCCCACACTGCTGTCACCCCCCAAATTTAGCAACTTTGTCACCTTCCTCGAGAGGTGGCATCCTGGTGACTTCGCAACAATACATTTGGAATGAAAAGACAAAAAAGATTAATAAGAAAAAAAGGTATGATATATTGAAATAAAGGAAAATTATCGTGTTCAAACAACATAAAGATATATTTAATGGAACAACCATTACATGATACACATCGATATGTGAATATTAATTTATATATAATAATGGTAATAAGTAATATATATAATAATGTGCACGACCTAGTATATTACCTATTTATATAATAATAAGATATAAAAATATGGAATATTAAGCGTATTCACCCTGTGTCTTTACTTGCTAGTTTTTTGACCGTCTTTTCATTAAGGTCTGTGTCTTATTGCTGCCATTGCTTTTGCATTAATCGACGGGGAGGGGGATGATTGTGATTAAAAGCTCTACAAAATTGTATGCGAAACATTAGAAAAAAATATTAGTTTTCTTTCCTTTCTCTCTCTCTTTTCTATGTTTTAGTCTACCTCTTGTGTTATTTTTTTTCTACTACATTTTTATTCAAGAGTCAGATTTTATTTTTGTGCTCTCTATCAGCTGGTAAAACTAGTCACATGTGGGCTAACATGAAGAACACATTCAGCGCTGCCACAATACACATAGTACTCCTCAGAAAGTCAAGAAAGTAATGAAAGAAGGGTGGAAATTTTGAAAATGTCAATGTGGAGAAAGTCTCTTAAGAAAGTGACAAATAAAATCAACCGACGTATAAAGAGAACTAAGGACACACACATAATCAACTACAGAAAGTAATAATATTAAGCTGATAGTAGCGTTCCCAATTACAGTTTTACATCTGTTCCAGTGTGAAGGGCTTTCTGTATGACGGGCTCAAGGAATTTTTGTAACAGAACAACGGAAAGTCACAAGCGGACAACGTACAGGGTGAATGCACCGAGGAAAATTTCACTTCGTTTTTTTCTGTAACCCAAGTTGAACGCAAATAGAGGGAAAATAGAAATTAGTGAAAGAATAAGACATGAAATAGAGAAAAAGGTACAGTAATAGCGCCAAATTATTTACTGTCATGCATATTGTGAACATTTTTCTCTCTCTTTCTCTGCCTATAATCTCAAAACGTTGAACAGTGCCAACAACTTCAATAAATACTGCTCGTACTTATGGAGTTAGGCTTTGTAATTGAAATTCTGGCATATTGAAGCCAAAATATTTAAATCAGCTTTACACTGACTACGTCTACTGATCAAAATCAAAACCAACACTCGACTCAATAATATGTAACGTTTAAAGCTCTTCATAACTATTTCACTTGTTTCTATGTTGAACATCTAATAAATCCTATTTTATAATAAATTTTGCAAACTTTGAATCTCAAATCTCTATGGTTTATCGAGGCAAGTTCTTGCATAAGTTCTTTGTGGAAGGAGGAACAGGAAGATATTCATTGAGATTATCTAATATCACTGAATCAAGTCAGTCGCCAATTGAAACGAAACAGCATCTCAAACGGAAACATAAACCTGCGAATAATCATCAATTAGGATAATCATTTTGTGAAGAAAATCTAAAATGTCGACAATTTTCCTTTTATCCTACCCATACTTTTAAACTTGCTCACCCTTATACAAAGTTAAACAAGTGGATGAAAACGAAAACCTCTTAAAAGCCTTCTCACGATATCTCCTTTTTGCTCACGCTTCCTTTTTTTTGTTTATACCTCTTACTTGTCGCATCACCCTCATACTCGAGCTTCCTTAAAAGCTTCCGCACTCACTTATAACTTATTTATATTTCTAGTAAAAATTCTCATAAAAAGAGAACCGAATTAAGAGTTCGGAGGAATCTTTGTGAAATACTCCTCAACAGGAAAACCATCCCTATGCAATTCTTTATGAGCTTTTCTCTAGCGCTTCAGCATATATTCACAAATGAGTCAATGTGCAGACATTATCATTGACTTGAGTGTCTTAAATTTGCTTTGTTTCCTTTTCATTTCCACAGAAAGAAAATGAGAGGGTGATTGAGACAAATAAAATGCAGAATGAAAATGGCAATTTGGGTAAGAAGTGTATAAGAGAATGTAAAATGGCAAGAGATGTAACGAGAGACAAGGAAGAAAAATTACTTTCTACGTGAAAGATAATTTTAATCATCTTCATGAGATGTTTTTCATCACTGCAATACTTGTCTTGCTGATTAATGTGACGCACACAATTAATAAATATACGTTTAAAATAATTGTCATATTGTTCTCCAAGAAGGAAACGAAAAGTCAAAAGAAGGTGAAATTAAATGGAATCAAAATTGGGCGCAACAATTTGTCTAAAGAAAAAAAAATACACACAGAGAGACACAAAATGCTGGCGACACACCATTTGTCCCTGTTTTCTTTAATGGTGAAAGTAGAAGAAGAAGAAGAGGGTGGAAGCTTCTGGCCACACTGTCTCGAAGATCACACACACCCGCCGGTCTTTAATGTGAGAGCATGTTTTGAGTTTTGAGTGTCATTGTGGGGTGGAAGCACCTGTTAAATCCACACGGGTATCAATGAAAAAAAAGACGGGCAAGTAGAGACAATAATTGAATCACCTCAGTCATCAAACAACATGAAAATTATACTTAAAGAAGAAATGTAAGGATAAACAAGGTGGAAAGTAAGCTTAATACGAATTTCAAATAACACAATCTTTATATAGTAATATATATTATATGGGATTGGGAGTTGAGAAAACGTATCGTTCTTCTATCTGGCCTTTCCTTTCCTTTTCACTTCACATACACAATGCGTTTTTTTTCAATCAAACTGACTTTATATCTTTCTCTCTTGTATGAATGCGAAAAATGTTTATTAATTAACTTGTCCACATATTTCATTTCTTCTTCTCTAGTAAATCTAACACACTTGTCATCGCAGTGAAAACAATAATTTTCAAGTATGATTTTTTTAAAGAACAATTTCTGCTCAAATGGCTTTTTCTGTCTCGTTATACCCTTCATTGGACTTTATCCACCACACAAGATGCCAAACGACAGAAAACTTTTCTCCTCTATTTTCCCACTCTTGAATGTAATCAGACAAAGTATTATATCTCAAAACATTGTACATCTCGCACAGCTTGTCTCTGGCTAACAGTTTTAAATTTTCGCTTTCACAATTAAGTTATCGTTCCCGTCCATTGTCTCCACTCGAAACGCAATTTCATCACAATATATAGTATATATCAATATAGGAGATCACAAAAGAAGGAAAACAAAGTCGGTTGATATTACATCAAAATGAAAGATTGAATAAAAAATAATAAACAGGAGACGTATATATTGTCTTCATCTATTATTTTTGCCTTAGAAATACTGTTCTATTCTAAATTGTTGTTGCATACTTACGATCAGCTTTGTTCGTGGGCGGTTTCCTTGTGGCCCAATTCGTTCTAATTGATCGAGATCCAATCCATTGGCCATTCATTGCTGTGATGGCACTTTCAGCCTCCTAACAAGCAACAAGCACAGCGAGATGTTAGATTGAATCTCAAAATATTTACCCATTTTTTACACACACACATACAATATTCTAATTCCTTTTCTCAAGGTAAAGCCACTCTTCGAAGAATATTTTCCAATTTCACCTCTTCGGGCACCGTTTTACATAATTAATGTACAAAAACTCTGCACGTGAAAACTCACCCTCGGACGCTTAGCTAATGTTGAAAAGCCATTTCACTTATTAATGAGAAAAATGTAATGTATTCGATATTAAATGTGAATGATATTCATATTACATGAAGGGTGACCTAATGGGCTTTTAGCAGAAACGTCTAGGCACATCGGTAGTCGCAGTGAAAGGCACAAAAGGAAGCTTGTGAAAGGTCTCTTCGACTTGTCTCCCTCGCGGGCTTTCTCGCGGGTTTAGCGGTATTTTTTTCTCCGCGCTTCCGACGAAAAGAGAGACGAGAATTCGATCAACAAGTCATATAATATGCGCCCAATGTTTGTGCCGTGGGTGGGAGTGGAAAATATTCTCCTTTTGTATACTTTTCGTGTCTCAAAATTCATCCAGGCTTCTCTCAATATTTTGAGACTTTTCTCACCACTCCACTGTGTACAGACAGGGTGTTTCGCTTGCTTCGCCAATTTCACGGTAGAATGTAAGTTAAGTAAATTTTATGCGAGTTTACATCCAATGCCAAAGTGCAATCTTATATTCCACTTTTGCTCTCAAAATACCCCTTATATTCTCAACGTCGTATGCTTTCAAACAGCATAAATAGCAAAATGTAGACAGCAGTATTTCTCCAACGAGGAAAATTTTACAAAGAAAATTAATCTGCTGAAGCTTGTTCATGATGGTGAAACATGCTTTTGCTATTTATGAAAAGTAGAACGATTTTATTAATCAAAATCTCTTGAAGTGGTTTAATGAGAATGAAAATGACTTTGCTTCAGGTCAATAAATTTTCCCTTACATGGAAAAGTGGCTTTCTTTAAAATTCGATGAGGGCGAGAGTACAGGGTAAGGGTGGTGAAAAAAAAATCACACCCCAATACCGCTAAGCGTTGTGTATAGATGGAGGTACTCTATATCGATTTCCTCGCTAAACGCATGATTTAATCAAGAATGTTGAGTATAGTTTTCCTCTAGGCGGGAAATAACTTAATTCTCCTCGATGGAAAGTAAGCCATATAAATTGCTTCCACAGATTTTATCTCGCAAATTTCTTCAGGAAAATTTTCTCCAATGTTCCGAGGCCTAAGTCAGAATATTGGGGAATAATTCATAAAAAGGCATTACAAGTGAGCAAGGCAAATATATGAAGCAATTTCTTCCCTCGTGGGGATGTTTTCAGCGAGAGCGGAAGAAAAATCATTAGCACGTGATACACCCTGTTTGTATCTTTTGAATATATAAAATGCCTATGTAGAATGGTCGAGTGACTTTTCTTATGAATATTTAATCACCCAACACTACCATCCAACATACCGACTTCTTAACAAATGAAACGAATCCATATCCTTTTGATTTGAGTGTTTGTGGATCACGAACAACTCTGCAATCACTGTAAGAGAGAAATGTGAAAACGGTGGGGCAGCGTAAGAGAATGGGAGGGGGGTGGGCACGGGAAAAAGAATGGTTGGAGGCGAAGTGAGAGAGGATAAAATGACGAAGAAGGAATATGTTTGTTTTGGCATGTTATATGTATTTTTTCACTTCTTCATCTCTCTCATTCAATTCAATATTAAAATTCATAAATTATTGAGGCGAGTAAACTTGAAATATGGTAAAGAGAGGCGAGTGTGAAGGGGACAAGGGGGAGGGGATGGGACTGGGTAGATGAAAAATGGGAAAAATGAAAAATAAACTTACGATATATCTCCAAATGGTGCAAAAGCGTCCCTCAACTGTTGAGTTTCAATCTCAGGACTCAAATCACCCACAAATATATGATGACTCTCTGTTGGGAGAAGAAGAAGGGAGAAGAGTAAATAGACAGAAGGATGCTTGGTAAATGTGGCGATATGTAAATACTAGAAATTGCTGCTTTTATTTGAAATTATTTAAATTTTTCCACTTCAAGGAATACACATTCCAACAGTATCCTGAAATTTGCCATTTCTCAGGAAATATTCTTGTAAATTGTCACTATTTTTTGCTTAATTTCACTTCAATGAACCTTATGTGAATTGTTCTAATCCGTGAATTAGCCATAAGGAAATTTAGTCACTCACTCAAAGACTGGAGAAATTACGAGAAAGTTCATTGTTTGACTGCTCATGAATATTCTGGTGAGCTTGACGTGTAGTGCGCTATTCACACGAGGAGTGAGCGATATGTACACACATATATTGTTTATGTACATACATAGTATAAAGTTATTGTAAAATATTCCAGGTAAGAGAAATTCTAAAATATCTTCATGGTATAGTTTATTTTTATATTCAAATTAGATTTCTCGTTTGAGTAATTGAATTTCCCTGAATTCTCTGTTCTACCTTTCTGTTCTATTTACCATCAAACAGTTTGCATTCGTCAATAGAGAATAATTGCGGAATTTGTGTTGACAAATTCTTGTGCCAATTCTATAATTAGTAAATTAAGGGTAGTATGGTTGAAATGCAAAAACCTCAGCCATACCTGAATTTCATACCTTCTCACGTATGACTACATCGTGTTACAGGGCCTAAGACAAATACCATGAAATCATTCTTTGGATAATAAGAGTTACATTCTTAATGTTCAATTTACTTGGATGGCATTAGATATTTCTCTTTCAGACTTATCCTCTTTCAGCTCTTAAACGCACTTCTAGTGTTTCACAAAGCTTTCTTCAGTACACGCCTTCCCGACACCACCGATTCGGGAATCCACAGAGTTATTCGCCCCTTGAACCCAAACTTGGGTGTATTATTTTGTGTATTTGAATATTAGAGCAAGAGTCTACATACTTCAGGACATGGAGAGTATTTGAGAAACAAAGGGCAGACATGCGCAAACAAATCAAATATTAAATTTCACAATTTATTCACACATACACCCTTGAGCCTCTGGAGGAGGTGAAAGCATCCTTTTCGAACTCCTTGTGAGATGAGGAGATATTTAGGGGAATGATTCCACTCTGTCGCATGAGACAACCAACATCAGAGGAGGATATACATTACATATGTACTCCCGAGTATCAGCTTCATAATGCGATGCGATTGGTAAGATGATGAGTGCACTTGAAAGAGAATGTTATCATAATGCACTTTGAAGAACATTCATTCCGGCAGATACATTTTAATGCATAGTCAGAATTTCTACGAATGCTTCATTTTATTCACGTTCCATTTCCTAATTCTTCTCTTCATACACTTTCCATCTCCACCCACACGGCGTATGGCATCCTTCTCAGATGGAATTCACGACTTTTTTCTGCTCAACTCGTCCTGCATTTCACTGTCGATGCGGAGTGGGGGGGGGGGCAGAGATGGAAAATGGTCTGGGGCATTCCAAACATGAAATCACGTACAACAGTTGAAATAAATCTTTCGGAATTACTGAAAACTAATTAAATCATGAGACTTCTAGTTCGTTAAAGATTCCACACCATCAAGTGGGTCTGTTCCGGGTGTCTAAAGGAGTTGATTGGGAAGATACGACAGCGCATAGTTCCATCAATTCGATTCTCTTTGTTCAAACAACACGTATTCTGTCTGTGTTGTTTCAAAAAATTCCCCTTTCGCCTGTTCCTTCTAATAAGGAACTGAGTTATCTTCCTCATTATATGTACACTGAAGTGTTAGAAAAAATATATAGGAGGAAAGGAAAGCTAGGCACACACAGAAAAGGTTAGGCGTAAATATTTATGATTTTGGGTTTGAAGAAAATCATGGAAATTTTTTGCACATTTTCCGTATGAGAATCAATTATGACGAGAAATTAATGCTAAATTTTCAGTGAGAATTTCTTATTCCTACTTTTTCTACTTGGTATTTTCCCTTATGTTCTTGTTCCCACTCGGAGACCCTTGAATATATTGTACATAAATACAAGATCAATTTATACACAGAATTTAGATTCAAAAAAAGAATACTGAAAGGAGGGATGGAGAAAATGTGGGAATCTGTTGCTCATTGTCAATTAATTTATTCAAGCACACTCCAAACAAGCTGATGAAAATAAAATCATCTGTTGAATTTTTCATTAGTCAATGTAAAACATATACTTGAGTGATGAAAAATTGAAGTAACATGGGTTCATTTGGGAAATTAATACTAATTCAGCTTTTCGTCGCGCACGTAAATAAAATAAATGTGAATTAAACTGCCACGGTTTTTCATTGATTTGTATCTAATTTTTCCTCCATAGTGTGTCATGGGAAAGAATCAGAAAACTTCCCTTATGTAAACGCAATATGTACATTAAAATAGCGCTCATCACCACGCGATGGATATGTATACATACGAGCGGTATATAATTTCTATGTACATATAGTTTTCAGTGGGTTCTTTTTTTCAATTTCTCGTCCGTTCTGTATTTATATCCGCGCAACGTGTGTCCTTTCTTATGCTCATTAGTTAAAATTAATTTGCACAATTCAGCGTAATTTGGAGTGGGTGGCGTAGAGAGGACAAAAAAGTCGGGGAGGATAACGAGGCAACAAAGAGCCAATTAAAAGTTTAGCACACACACAAATGGGATAGAAGCAGCGAAATTTCATTGTGAGCTTTTCCAGCTCATGGATAGGATATCGAGGTGAAGGTGGAACAGAGATGAGTGGAAAGAGCGACGGGGTGAGAAAACGTAACTATATATGTATGTATAAATAACGCGGACACTGAAGGAAAAAAAAACAATGAAAGGACTCACGATTTCATATGAAAATGTAATTGGGTAAAAATTGGGCGTGTTCCACGCGTAACATTTTTCATTGTGTGGCGCGGTCGAGAAGTGTTGCTCTTTTCTCTTGGTCTTGTACCAGTCACACTGCCTTTCTCCCCGATTCTGACAGAGCTTTTCTCGCTCTCTCGTGCTTTTGATACTTTAAATACCCGCGCGCATACCACATGAAATTCATACACGATTCAAAGAGCACACATAAAAGCGCCAGCTAGAAAAAAGCGAACTGTGAAGCTTCCAACTACGAGTGATTCTCAATTCAAGTCCGCTCGAGAAGCTTTTTCTGGGCGTTCGTATGGACTTTACAGTGGTGTGGGGCATATATATGTTGTTTATTTGGGCACCCGACGAGGAGGCACACGAAAGGACGATTTATTGCATTTTATACATCTCTCCACCAATAAAGTACATATCTCATTTGTGAGACTCCTATTCATGGCTTTCAATTCCTTCTCTCGCATTTGCGAATAGTGTTCGCTTCATGAAATTCCTCAAATTGACTGTGAACATTCGCGAAAATTTTAAACAAACACAGACCCTTGTGCTCGCCCTTTCATCTTTCCCGGCCAACCCCACCCGCGAGGGGTGGTGGAGCTTTTGTAGGGCTATGCCTTTGTGTGTCACCAACACCAGTACATATGGAGCAAACTTTCAATCTAAATGCACATACAAAATTCAGTCGGAAACACCAACAGAGGAAATCTCATCTCAAGTTTCTCCATATCAGCCGCACACACAGTTTCTTCTCACCCAACAATTGGGGGTTGACCAATTCAAAACGTGCTCATTCACACACTCACCTCATACACGACAACCATGGACAATTAATTTGCGAGAGGGTGGCGCACTGTTCGTCTATTTAAATCCACTTGGAATATATGGCACTGGGATATGAGTTTTGGGAGGAAGATGAGAACTTCTCTCGCTGGCTCCCCTGGGTGCCACGAGAAAACCCACCGACAACCATATGTACATACTATGGCAAAATAGCTCTACAAACACAATATTCTCCACAGAAATGAGAATTTTGCCACACGATAGATCGCGGATAAAAATCAACAGATTCAACATTTTTTATTCAAATGAGATCAAAACGTTTTCAGTCATTTTTTCAATACAGACAAATTTGCCTATAAAAAAACTTAAGCTTGACTAAACATTTTTCATTTACCACTCATAAGGTAGGAAACCATGTTTCAGTAATACTTTTGCTTTGTGGAAAAACATTCAACCACATTAGACTGAGTCTTTACGGCTAAGCAAACGAGTTGGCCAACTTTTAGAGAGGATTAAGTCCTCTCTAGGATTAATCATCTAATGTAAACATAGTCATTCTATATGTAATCAGCGCTCATCAACTCAGACGGAAGGAAGAAGCTTCTCTCTGCAGTTTCACATGTGAGCAATTAAAACAAAGCAAAACCGAAAACCACCTCCAAAAGTCCATTTACCTTGCTTGCCGCTGCTCATAATGTGTTGCTGCTGGGGCTGCTGTTGATTCGGCTGTTGTTGATTGGGCTGGACAACCTGGAGCTGATGCGACGGTTGTGGCGGTTGATTGTGCGCAATTAATAATTTTGGCTCGGGCGGCTTGTGGTGGCCCACCGCGAGGGGTGGCGCCCCGAGGGCCATGGTCGGTGCTGGCATCATGAGTGTAGACATTGCCAACATCTTATATCCGCTGTCGTCTGGCAAAAGGAGGTGTAATTCACCGGAATCGGACTGCCTTCTGCGTAATTGTCACCTCCGCAATTGATCCAATCAATCAATTAATTGCTGAAATGCTCCCCTTCGCACTCAATTACACTTTTCAGGCAAAATTTCACTGCGCCAACCTCAGTAGATGACAAATTCCGTTTGTTGGATCGCTGCCGAGGATTAACACTCCACAGTCCCTCTCTTGTGGGCTAGTTTGTCCTCTCTAGGCTGATTCTTCTCTCCTCTGTGCGCCCTTCGCTTCTTCTCTATATCATTTTCAAGCGACACACAGAAAAAGCTCTGCTTACTGCCACCCTGTTCTGAATTTCTGTTCTCCTTTATTCGCAGTGGATTTTTTTCCTTGACACTCGGATTCTCTTTCGCTCTTTTGTATCTCTCAACGGGGTTGAAACTAATAAATTAGTCAATTCGCTATTATTTATGACTTTTTCCTCGCTTTCTCTCTTCTCCCCCAAAAAAAGCTCCTCTCCTCGCACTGCAGCTGTGGAAAACTATGCGCCGAAGGATTTTCCAGCGGGAAAAATGTTTCAATCCGATTTTTTTCCTCAATAGTGCGATTTTTTCTCGAGCGTCTGCTTTTTATTTGTATTCTCCCTTGCAAACACTGATTTTTTGTGCTTTTTCACTCTCCTGCGTACAAGCAGTGATAAATTGACGAATTTCGGTTTTATTGCAAGTAGAGAAGAGAAATTACAACACCTCTCTGCTCCTTTTTTCACTACCTTCCGCGTATCGCAGATGCTTTTTGATGGGGACTTTTAGTGGAAATTGTGTAGTGACAGCATAAATTTTTTTTTATATCTCTTCACTCCCTCAGCAATTGGTGTCGGAGATATACTTTGAGAGAGTTAATTAATTCATATACTTTGTTCTGCTGAACTCTATGTTTTTACGTCCCTCCGGAAGATACAAAAGGGGGAGAATAGAACCGCACGGGAAAAAGAATTGCTCTTTTTGTGCTCCTAAAATGTTCTCTTGTCTCTCAGCGTCGGAAAAAAAAGTTTTGGAGTTTTTGCAGAACTTTTCAGCTTTTCTAATAGTCTTTCCTTGGTAGTCTCCTATACAACGGCTAACAACATATTACACACATAGACAAGTGCAGAACATCGAACAGAACAATTTTTCCTTTTGGCGATCTTGCATATACAGTTGGGTGGATATAGTACAAATTTTACATGCGAATTTAGACGGTATTAAAGGGAACCTCGGAATTTTTACACGGATGTGTGTGGTATGTGTACAGGGTAGAACTGGTCTTGCATCCTTTGTTTCCGTCCTTTCAGCTCTCTCTCGCTCTCTGACTTCACACTCGAGGGTTTCAAAACACACTGAATACTGAGCCTACAAGCTTTGGTTTTTTTTGTGTCTTCCTGTCGATACTTTAACAACTGCAGTGTCCTTTCTTCCTTGGTGATTGTTGTAATTTTACAATTTTGTCTACTGAATCTTTTGGTATTGTTTCTTTTTCTTTTTCCTTCTGTTATGATTCTGATAACAATAAAGTTTCTTCTTTTTACATACAGGAACTATACAGCCAAAAGCACACAGGGTTCTAGCTAAAACGCACTAAATCGTGAGGCAACACTGCTCTAACTAACACAGAAAAATCCACAGGACTGACTCCTCGGTTGATGATGGCCGTCTCGCTGAGCATAAACAGCAAAGTTGCCAGCACGAGTTTCCGAAGCTCCATGCAAAAGCTCTGCGCGCGCACAATGCCGCGTTCACACGACACGACCCGAGAGGGGAGGGACAGCAAAATGTGGTGTCTCGAAACAAAGGATACGAACGAGACCATCCTCACACTGCAAATTCATCGTCACAAGGGTGGAAGCGCAACCCCTGCGCCCCTGCCGCCCATATAGAGTGCTTATTGCCGTGTTCTGCTGTGATCCAGGGCCGAAATTGGCAGCACTAAGCAAAACAGAGCGCTTTTGGAGCCAGCTTTTCGTCGAAGCTTCCTTATTCCTGTGCTAATGGCGCACACCAAGAAGAAGTGTGCGATTTTGTCGAGAAATATTTTAATACTTCGTCTCTAACATCAAATCGTTGATATTCCAGCAAATAATTATTGATTAATAGACAGCAAATTCAATGCGTCGAACAGGGGAAGTTTAAACCAAAGCAAAAATTGAAAATGGGCGTGGTTAAGAATGCTTATCCTTAAAGCAGGTTTTGCAAATTGCTTCACCTTTTGATGAAAAAATCATGTATAATTCCTGCTCAACACAAGAAATACCCACTAAAGACATATTTACATACATATACTCTGACTTAAATTCAAGATTAGAGAATGATTCAGCCATTTCCAGCATTGATCTTATGAGAAAAGTTTACGAAGCTGCAATATATAGTGCTTTTATCGCAAAAACTGAGAGTGTGAACCTCCTGAGGACGATCCTGGGACTCTGTGCCACATACCGCAAGAGAATATTGCATTGATCCACAAAATACACTCATACAGGCGCACACAATCAACCCTCTGCAGCACACACACAAATGCTGAATATCTATTTTTGCAATAACATTTCCCTTCTCTCGCACATAGCACAGGGTGAGCATGAGAGAGAGAGAGAGTGTGAGAAAAGCAACATTACATTTAATCAAAGTTATAACATATCCCGCATATAAACAGCTTCTCGTTTTATTCTCTCCCCACACCCGCTCAGTGGTTCTGCTCTCTCGCAGTCTCTGTGTGTGGGGATGAAAGAGAGAGAGGGAGAAATTTGTGGCTCACCCCTTGGAGCAACACCTTCCCCACCTCCTCCGCGGGAAAACATGCATGTGCCATTTTCAGGGAGAGAAAGAGCCAAATTTTGATATTTACCACTGTACAGCCGTGCGCACACATTATAAGGATGAGTTTGTACATACATGTAATAATAATAATAATATCCGCGGTGTTGCCCTTTCTGCGGCTTTTTTCTTCAGGCCAACAAACACTACATATAATACAATATGAATGGAGAATAATCCCTCGAAATGAGGGTGAGAAGTATGAAAAATGTAGGTGGTGGATTGTGTGAAATTATTAAAGAGAAATTTACTATATGGTTTATTTGCAATTTCCCCAAACTATTCTGCCCTCATCTCTGTCTTCCCCATGAGCTCGCAGTGTGTTGAAATTTCCACCAGAACCCTCATCGTGGTGGATACTAACACATAGTGCTGCTGAAACTTGTACGGCTGAGAGTGTGAATATGGAAGCAAAAGAGAAACTCATGCCGAGAGCGAGAGAGGGTGGAAAAGCGAGGAAAAACTGCAATGTTAACCATTTAAATTTACATACACAATCACACACATTTTCAAACACACTAAATAATACAATTTCCCACCCAAGCCCAAACCCACACAGGCCACTCTCTCTCTCATTCCATGGGCCCCAGTTGAATAATTTTTCTTCACTCCCATGTCACATATTTTATAAATAATTTTCTCACCCTTTGCCGCTTGTTCACGACCTCTCAACCCTTATTCCGACCCTTATATACACTCTCAATTGATCTGTGCTGTTAAAATACTCGCGAGCCTCGTACAATTTCGCATGTAAAATAAGTACTTTCTGTATGTTCACATTATAACTATTTCAGTAATTAGAAAAAAAAAGAATCAACAGTACATGGAATTGAGTATATGAAGAGAGTCTCATTATGTATGTATACTGCGAACGAAACTTGGAACGAAACTTCAGCTTGATTGAGACTGGGCGTATTGAAAGCAACTTGGGGTATGTTTTCCAGTTTCACTTATTCTTCAGGCATCTGAAAAATCAGGATATCTGTTTAAATATTTACAATATTGACTGATAAAGCTCAGCTTTTCGCCGTCTCATCCGAGAAAAGTGAATATCAAATGGATTTTTAAAAACATTTTTCGCATCTAATGGTGAGCGGAATTAAGTGATTTACTTGCCGAGTGAGACTTTATGCATAATACACAAAAACGTGTAAAAAAGCTTACATAGAGTAATTCAAGCCAGAGTGAGTGTGATTAACTCTTACCCAGAGTGTTTAAGGCGGAGGGTTTGCATAAGAGGGTGGCATGGCGGCAAAAAGAAGGGAATAAAATATAAACGAGGTGGTATAAAACAAAATATTTAGTACATTAGAGGTAGTAAAACGCAAACTTCTCTTTTTTCACCTGACTCGCGCTCCTTTTGTTTCACCCTCTCGTTTGGGGGGTATCAATGTGATAAAAGTTTCAATGGAGGTGAATTTCGCTGTGCGGACGCGAGGGGAGGGACTGAGTTATATAAGTTGAAAAAAAAGGAGAACGCGTTTAACTTTTCATCACGCAAACAAATTCCCGGACATTAATAATATTAAAATGCCCCAGAGGTGGATGGATGCAGAGAAAGGCAAGAGTCAGAAGCTCTTTATGCCCACCCCTCTCTCACCGTCACTCTCTCAGCTCTAGCGCTCAGTCGTGCTGAAGAGAAGCCTCCCGAAAAATACTCAAGAGGTTTGACTTTTCTTCCACCGCCGGGCGAGGGTCGAGGAGGCGCGGTCGCAGAAGAAAGGAACACGAAATTTCCACATCGCAGAAAGATAAGGAAATTCCTTGGAGAAATGTTAACATACAGTGAAAGTTCAATTGAGGAATGGGCGTATTTTGCGGCTTCTAAATTCTATCAAATTATCGCAATTTCTTCTGTAGTAGCGCCACTCGAGAGTGGGAAGCGGGTGGTGGGTGGCGACCGAAGTTGCTGTTCGCGAGCAAGGGAGGAAGAGAAAAAAGTACAGAGACCAAGTACTGGTTGGATATTTTCACAGGAAACTGTGAATCGCCTTCTAAGCATTTCATGCGCTTTGTTCTTGCATTTATGCATGATTTATTTTTTACCCCACTTGCCAATGTTCCACTGCTGGCGAGAAAGTTGTGTCCAATGCAATTTATGTGTCAGGGAGTTCTGCTCAAATCGATTAATTTATATGTTTTACACACCATGATTAATGTCTTGTTTGTTTTTCTCAGGAGCTTCCGGGACTACCGCAAGGCGCTCGTGGTGACCGAACAAGGGGTGGCGCAGAGGAAGAATGAATCTACGAGATGGATGATGCTTCTGGGATCATTTAGAAACCCTCTGGGATTTGCATGTGTTCTGTATGAACACATCTTCAGGGACAGATTTGAGGCAATTGCTTTGCCCAGCTTATACTAACAATTATCATAGATCTTCAATGGAATTGGATCAGAAGAGAATCCCTTTATGCAAATGGTTTTCGATTTAAATTGATTTTCAATCAAAACAGACTAGAATTATCATCCCTTCAGCTTTGGCCTATGCATTTCCTTTGTATCTCCTTGTTCTTGGTCAAGTCCAGTGTTTGGAACAATACTGCAAAATAATCTAATTCTAATATATGTATTTTTAAACACTCGTTTATTAATAGAAATACCCTAAATAATACCGGAAAAGCAGCAAATTGAGTTCAAGAAATACATTCTCGAAATGATTAATTGAAATTTCAACTGCGGTTGCTATAATAAGTATGATAATACACCAACAGCGGATAAAAGCAACGAATTTCACACTGTCTCAATGAAATTTACCCAAATAAATATGTTTTCTGACACACCGCGTATCTCCTGAGAATCGTGATTAACATCTTCCAACTCGAGACAAATCCACAAATGTCTCAAGAACATCTGAGGTTTCTTCTCGCGTGAAAGCTCTCTGTGTTGTGGTAAAGCTCCCAGGCTTTCGAGTTGAAGCAATCATTGTCAAATAAATAGAAAGCGGAAATTTCAATTACAATTAAAACAATGAAGTGAAAAAGGAGGGTGAAAAGTTCAACTGTCGGCAATTGTTTAATAATTCCACTTCTACCCTTTCTCTCTCTCGCTCTGTGAGCTTTGTTCAGCTAAAATTCACTGCAGAACCACACACAGAACACTTTCGAATCAAGTACAGAGCAAAGTTCGTGATTGCGCGCTTCTTGATTTCACCCAGAGACATGACTCTTGCCACGACCGGGAGGAAAGGAATTGTGTGTGGCAGAGAGAGAAAGAGATAGAGGGAGAGAGAGAGAGAGAAAAACGGAAGAAGAATGATCCAATATCCAATTTAATGCATTGGCGGCAAGAGGACCCAAGATGATCAATTCAATTTGCTTCAATTAAGCACAAAAAATCACTTAAAATTCCTCTGAATTTCATGGGTCAGCGAAACAGAAAAGACAAGCGAACGCAGAGTGGGTGGGCGGGTTTGATTAAACGGCGTGATAGACGAATTGAATGAAAAAAGGGAAACCGTGGGAGAGAAAACGCAAATCGAGGGGTTTCCAGCTCGGCAAATTCCTTCAGTACAACTTCCCATAACATTTCCATCGATATCTACACCCTTAATTGAATTGAAATGATTTACGAGCTTGCGGAATTTCTGCTTTAAGAGCGACTTCCCAACTTCCACGTATATCGCAGTCTTTTCACTATGCACGGGCAATACAGTATATAGTTTGGGGGAGGAATTACGAAGGAATTCTCCTGATATCTCTTCATCAGAAAAGATTTTATAGAAAAAAGGGATGATCACCCAAGTCAAGCGGAAGTTCTGTGCGATAAGACATTAGGTATTCTTGTTTTGCTGTATATATTTTAGAAAAGTGTGTATCCAGAGGAAAGATTTATTCTTTGATCTTATGCCTTGTGCATAAAATGCAATCACTCCTTTTTGGACCCTTTCCAGGTGATTTTTCCACCATCAGTATTTATGAGTTTAATCGCTCCGCTTTCCTCGCCTCTTTTCATCCGAATTTTTTATGAACCACATAGAAAAATAAAATATTGTTCATAATTGAGAATGAAAAAAAAAAATCTGGGGCATCGATTGGAAAAATCATATTGAAAACACACTGAATATTTAACGAGGATTCGTATCATTATTCTCTTCGTGAGCTTTTTCCGCGAAAAGTTCAATTTTCGTATTCACTCTCTGGAGTACACATTTCAAAAACACACCAAGCAAAAAGATCTGAGGCGGATGACGAGCAGCGGAGGAGGGCACTTGGAGCGTCTGGGCTGAGCTATGTAGTGGATATGGAATGCTCAACTGTGAAAACTGCACCACACTGGGTGTAAAAATTATTAACCCCTGGCTGTGAAATGGAAATTCTGCTGCAAGTTTTCATTTCTCCCCCCACCGCGCGGTGCACTCTCACGTTCAATTTAGCTAGTCTGGGTCGGTACAACCCAAAAGCCCGCCCACCAATTCACCTTTCTAATATGTTATTCATTGAGATGGTATTTCGTTTTTGGGGTGTCTATTTTGTGTGTCCAGCAGATGAGGGAAAATCCATCATCCCCGCGTGCTCTTCCCAACCCTTTCTGGTCCCGGCGAAATTGTTGCACGTCCAACTGACCTGATATTTTTGTTGTATTGATTCATGTCCACCTCACCAGCCCCCGGAATTCCCATCACAAGTGCACCTCAAACCCCAAACCCCCCCCAAACCTCATGAGAAAGGTATGGACGATGGAGTGTGAGATGGAGAAACGAGAGTTGCAACCATCACAAATTGGTGATATTTTCACCTGTTTTCCCTACACCTCGTGCTTGACTGAAGATAAAAAAGCATCGTGTTAACCTTCTCACTCTCGCCAGGGTTTTAGAGAGCTTCGAAAAATGCTCCTCACACCATATCTTTCCCGGGCCCAGAGCTTGGGGATTTCTTCTTGTATTTGTATGTGATGCTCTATTTCGTGTGAAATAGATTCACATTTCAGCTTATTTTAGGTGTGAGGCGACAGCCATATATTTTCCCACCCATACTGTCTCTGTCGATGGAGGAAAAGCCACCCCGTTGAATTTAACCTCGCACACACACACACTCACACATCCCCATTGCCGCCCTGCAGAGGAAAACACTCGAGGATAGCAAGGCTTGAAATAACAAGTCAACGGAAATTACACAATTAAATGATAATGAATAATTAAACTATATTATGTACAGCAAACAAAACCCAATTGCTAAAATTACATTTAATACACGCTGTGAAGCCTCTCACAAGGCATTTTCAGTTAAGCTGCTGAGGTGCAAATAGAAAGTTTATCGTATGATTTTACGACAACCACTATTCAATCCAATATGAAAACTTTCATTAATCTTTTTTAGTCGCATCAGCATAAAATAGTTTTTATTGATTCTTCAACTGAGAAATGTACACTACAGATATATTATTGTGCATATTGAAAGTCTTGTTAGCTTGTGCAAATTTGCAATTTTAGAATAAACTTTCTCCGACAAGAAGCATTTAACTCTTCGTTTAACTTCACTTGATTAAATTATGCAAACTTCCCTCTTCGCCTAAATAAAAGTTAGATTCACGAAAAAGCGGGCCGAGTGAAGAAATCAAGACACCAGAAGTTGATTTTGATATATTCTTCATATTATCATACACCAAGATTGCAAATGTTTGCTGGCAAGTTTGCTGGCCTTCTAACAATTATTTTGCCATTACCCACGGCTAGTTTGCATTCTATATAAGCAAAGAAATGAAAATTATTCTGCATAATTATCATCCACTAGATGTACAAGGAAGTTCTATGCAAACTCAACAACTTTTTGTAACGAAAACCTCTCAAAAATCTGAATAAGGGAGCAACACTAGGAACGCATTGTGTGTAGAATAACTTTACAAGTTCCCTTGTATACACATGCATGATTGTGTATGCAAATTTCACTACCTACAACTTTCTGTTCGAGGATTAAAATTCCCAGAGAGTTTCAAGCCGAATTGCCGAACGCTGTAAATATTCAGTAGGAAATTTCTGAATTTCATATTTAACCATTACATATACAAACTGAAAATTGGCAACGTTTTGCCGGGAGAAAGCCAACAATAACATAACCAGGTACACACAATTGATGATAGAGAGGAGGAAAAAAAAGTATTTTCCCGTGTATCGTTTACATTTTCAAATATTACTTGGGCATATATTGGAAAGTACCCGCGCGCGAAGGGTGGCTATGGAGTGGGTGGGAATGAAATGGGTGAGTGTGGAATATAAAGCACGACAGACACGCAGTAGATTGTGGAAACATGAAAATTGAATATTTTATGAAGGAAAACATTAAAAGGTATAGAACGATAAATAATATGAGTATTATACGCGGTCGGCGGAGAAAAATAGCACGAGTTTCAACATGCTTGCAAAGTTTGTTCAATGAGAAGCTTTCTCTTCTCCGTCCGCTTTTGCCTCCTTTCTCGCTTGCCCACCCTCGGGCCCACGTGGGTGGGGCGGCTAGGCCAGCGCAGAGAAGGGACCAAGGAAGGGACAGACACAAGGAGGCACTTGTGAAATATAAACGAGAGAAGAGTACTCACACGAGCCACTGAAATGGACATGGAGGGAAAAATTGCTAATTTGTGTTGTTTTTCCTCGATTACCCCCCAACACATCCTCCCCTCCTCCACCGTCGCAGTGATCCACCCCACGGCCGCTCCGTGCATTGGTTATTATTAAAAAATAAGAATAGAACCAGTACAAGCCACAAAGTCTCATCTCATTGTGTGCCAAAGCAGAAGGAAATTTAAGCATGTTGTTGCAGAAAAAAAAGCTAACGAGATGAAATCCATGGAGTGAGTGAGATGTATAAACGGCAGGGAAAATCTTTATCCTCGAGGATGAAAGATTTACAAAAGATAATTGTTTTAAAATAAATAATATTAAATTCAGTGAATTGTTTTTACCCACTGCCTCGAGGTGATAAGGAAAATTTTCATGTTCTCCCCACCAGCGTCTCAGAGTCTGTCGATTGCGGGCAAAATCTCTCGGTTGGCAAATGCTTCTTTCTCCCCAAATACATTTTCTCATTTTCTCTATGACGCTTAATCCCTTATTTTTATACTCCCAAGGCATATCCTAAGTATTTCATATATACATACAGGGTTGGGGAGGAAACCGCAGATGGGAATGTATTCCAGGGATGGGGGCAAAAATATACGATTCATGTGGAGAAGAAATGAGAAAAGAACCTGGAAGCTATTAAACTGTAATCTTCTTCTAAATATCATTCTGTTTTTATTTTAAAACACATCTCAGACTCACTTTTTCCATCCTCACCAATTCCAAACAGTTCTTTTTTGTCCCTCTTGCCTCCTCTTCTGCGAAAAACACAAACAACTTACCAATTTCTCTCGTGGAGCTCCTCTCCCTGTGGCGTGGGTACACACAGCACATCTCTTCACCGTCATTTGTGTGTTCAAAGCAGCAGAAAATGTTCTTGAATCGCATCTTAGTTGAAAACTTTCTTCCGTCTGGCCTCATTGGGATGTGTCTCTCTTCCACCATTCACTTCCAATCGGACTTTTTACCCACCCACACTCTCCCACCCACTCGCCGCCATGCCCCTTTTCGGGCGGTGGTGGCAAAAAAGAATCTGTCGGTGGCGGAGGAATAGAAATCTCCCGATTATGTGGAAGTTTGTGCAACAAGCTCCCGCTTTGTCGGATGGAACTTGAATAGAATGGGAATATTTGCTAAATCATCATAACCCTTATTCTGTAGGATCCTTATCCACGATAGGAGGGAGTCTTTTGAGCATGTCCCAGTGACACAAACAGCTAAAACCGTTCCATCATCTTGCTCATGGACACTCCTCACCCGTCCCACCTCGCTCCTGCCAGTGGACATACCAATGCCCACGCTGCTCGCAATGGCCGGTGGGACTTGGAGCGTTTCAACATCTGCAAATAAGATTAAAGATACACACAGTGAGATCAAGGAGATGAGAAGGGAAAAGAGCATTATGCTTATCATCAAAACACTTTGAAATGAATTGCTTTGAATTGAATTAATCAAATGCGTCGAGTATGGAATTCTACCTCAAAGGTGCGTTTTCAACCACAACTTTGAGCTGAAAACAAACTCCAAATTCAATATGATTTATAAAACTATACAATTTGTCGTGAAAATATTGGAACAAATCAATAATTAGGATGTACAAATTAAATTGTTGAGTGTCTTATTGTAACCCACTTCTGGCAGAGTTATAATTAGGGTTACTGTCTTGGGAGTTCAACATCCAATTTATTTGGGAGACCATAAGAATAAAGTAACAAGAACAAAACAACATGTTAAGAAAGAAAGTCAAGAGAAAGTTAGAAGTGAGACTTTATTGAAAAGAAATCAGTTCCCAATACTTTCATGCACATGTAAACATAAAACACAAAAAAGAGTCTGAATATTCTCATGTATATTTTTGCAATGTTTATGAAACAGGCAAAGACACTTGATAAAAAATACTCTTAAAGGATGGAGAAAAGTATAAGATTGTAACTTTAACTTGCAACAGATAATCTCATAGTGTAACGCTTCTTGTAAATATGAGCTCAAGTTCTCTCTGAGAGTGAATTGGTCAGGGCAAGTCTGATCAATACTCACCATCTGTGTTGGTGGTGTCTGCTGGTGGAGCAGGAAGGGCGTCTCCACGCAGGATGAAGTAGTTCACGGCTCTGTCGCGAAGCCAAATGTTGAATGGTCCCTCGATATATATTGCCTTGGCGTCTCTATAGAGTTTAACGAGCTCCTTCTGCGTGGGCGTCTGCCCACTCACAATCCACGTCTCATCGAGCACATTCTCCACATCCTTGGTCTCGAACACCTCCACCGTGGCTTGGAGGTCCACCGTCATGATTCTCTGCACCGCCAGCTTGGCCACCTCGAGGTCATCATCGGGCATGGGCCTGGGCAGGAGCCATGGCGACAGATTCTTGAATTTGGGCATCCAGTAAAGCATTCGTCTCACTTTGCGCACAGGATGGCCTCTTTTGCCGAACGTATTGACCAGTATGATTTCCATTTCAGTGTCCGGTATCACGCCGTTGTCCTCCATCTGCTCCAAGAGATCAATCTGCACCTGCTGCTGCTTTGGGTAGTGCATGAACTCAGACTGAACTATGTTCTGAGGGATGAACTTTCCCTTCGGCATTACATCCGCCAGCGCCTTGTACACCTTCAGATCCTTGTGAACGCCGTACGGTTTCATGTACCGCAGGGCAGATGTTATGAACTCCACGTAGTTCTTCCTGTGGCGCGCCTGTGTCTCAAAGGCCTGGATCAGTGTGAGATATGATTGCCGGTTCTTCTCCGCGATGCTCTCGAAAGACACATGAGTGAGACTTTTCTCCTTCGTTGGCTCCTCCTCGTCCGCCGTCTGACGTCCACTTTCTGCATTTCCACTCGTTGAATAGTGATATACTCTGGTGGTACTTAGTCTTTGCATCATCCTTCTGAGGTACAGTAGCGTCATTGCAGAGATATTCACGTATATTCCTAGAATTTTCCTTATTATAAACACCGTCTTTACCAAATGACTTTTCTCCGAAAACGTCAAAAGCACGTTGACGCGCCTTACGTCACATACTTTCCGGAAAGCTTTGCCGCCAAAAACACAAAAACAGGGCTATTCATTTCATCAGTATAATTCCTTGAGTAATTCAAAACCCTTATTTCACAATTTTTCCGAGTTTGATTCTTTACAAATTTTCTCAATCTCGCGTCCTCAGGCCCCAGATGGACGTCCGACGCGTTCCCACGGTGGGTCTGGCCACAGCACTGTTGATGAATTTATTAATTCCAATACTCGACAGGGAGTTGATGATCACTTTCAGTTGGTTATCAGAGAGCATGCCAAAGATGTCCAAGTAATTCAGCGATGGCATGAACTGGAAGTCCCTGCAAATAAATAGATCAGAAATCAGTGCGATGGAACATCACATTTCTCTGCCTCAAATCCTTACATCAGAGCGTATACGGAAATGTTGTAGCACCTCGAGAGCGACAGGTACTCGAGCTCCCTCAATCCGTTAAGGATTCTGACCACTTCCACAGTCAGCAAATTACAGTCCGACACATCCAACTCGCGAATGTTTGGGCAACGATCCACCAATGTGCTGAGATCTGCAAGAAACACGATATTTGTACAGGTAATTGGAGAGTTTTCCAGCCACACAACTCACGCTCGTCTGTCAGGGTTTTTCTGCATCCAGCAATATTGAGTCGGAGGATGGTCAGAGACATTGTTTCTACAAGTATGGCCACAGATTCAGTCTCCAAGTTAGTCCAAGAAATGTTTAAACTCTGCAATCTGAAACACCACAAAATCCGTTATGCCAATTCACAGGACAATTCTCCACTTAGCTCACCTATTTAAGCGCGTCAGGAGGGACCTGAGGCCCCTGCTCCTCACGCCGGAACACAGAGCCAGGTTGAGCACCTCCAAGTTGGTATTCTGGGCAATCTCTTCGCACACACGATCGCTCAGCTGCAGGTGCTCGAGACTCAGCTTCCTCAGCTGTCGGCATGTCTTCAAGAGCTGGTGCAGGCTTGCGACAGTGACGCTGGCCATGCTCAGATCTAAATACTGCAACTTGCTCTCGAATTGATCGAAGCGAATGAAGAAGTCCGGCTCAAATATGGGATCAATGATTTTCGTCTGCGCCAGACGCAATATGATCACTCCACGCGTAATCACGCGACCAACAGCCTCGGGGCGCAAGGATCGGCCGGCCAGATCCATGCGTGCCCACAGAGTCTCGTCCTGCGTGAGGCGCAAGAATCTTCTGTTCACGAGACTGCATTTCATCAGTGTCTTCTTCGGCAGCCATTTGAAGACATGCAGAATCATCTCGTCGGACAGCGTGGAGAAGTGATCTGCAGAAGAGGAGAAGTCATTAAAAACATATTTCAGGGCTTTCTTTCTAATGCTCACCATATTCCGATGATTCCCGGACTTTGTACAAATAGAAATTCTCATCTGAAATCATTTGATACGCTGTCTTTATGCTATGCATTTTTTCCACGTTACATAACCTTGGCACAATTTTTGTCTTCACTTCCTGCAGGGAGGCCACTCAGTTCCTGCCCTGATTCCTGCGGTTCCTGCCCTGTCTAGAGACTTCGAGTATTTACGCAGCGAAAAGGCGGCAGACTTGGCATCTGTTTGGAAGACATTGAGGTTAGAGATAGGGAAATATTGCCCATTTCCCGCTCACAGACCTAAATCCATGAAAACTCCAGCATTGAACTATTCTTCAGGCGGTTCTTAATCAGATTTTTTAGCACAATTAAGCAATATAACAATATTTCTTGGTCAAATTATACAAAAAAGCACTCCTTCCCTCACATATTCTGTTTTCCGAATTGTATTTTGACAAGGCGTCTTCCTTTCGCCGACATTCAGGCGCAATTCGTTGTTTTGCCCACTTTCCGGCACATCTTTTCCCGCTCTTTTATTACCACCTTGGGAATATTTCTTATCGTGTTTGGACTCGAGATAAGAGCATTTTGCGCTCTGCTGCCTGAAATTACGCTGTACAGACACACGGCACTAGCCCCAGAGGTTTGCTTTCCACTCAATAACATCATGCACACGGCACGAAATTACTCAAACTGACTGCTATAAAACGAGCGGGAATTTTTGGATGTGGTCAGAAAGCAGTGATCATCCCAGTGTTGAGAACATTTGTGTGAAGTAAAGTTGCCCAGAAAAACCCTCTGAACAAGATGCCGTGCAAAGGTTGCGATCCAAGTAAGTCTTTCACTGTAGTTTCTGACTCTTAGCCTTGGACTCTTCTGACCACAATCTCTCTCTCCAGACTGCAAATCCTGCTCCAGGAACTGCTGCCAGGGCTGCAAGTGCGACTCCGCCACGAAATGCCCCTGCAAGTGTGGCGACAATGGATGCTGTGTCAAGGAATAACATCCCCAAATTGGAACAGTTTCCCAGAGCTTCTTTCAATCATTTATTATCAATCAAATTTTGGTTAAATGTACTTTTGCCGGATGATTCTAGTCTATTTATGTTTTTTTTTAAATTATAATCAAAAAGTAATCATCAATCTCTTTATTATTTACTCTCCTCCTTCTCCGCCTCTTGACCATCCCCATTCACCGAATGTCTCCTATCTTCTACACCTCGCTTTAACAAACATCTTACATTTTACACACTAAACACTATACATACATTTTTCTTTAACAATTAATTGTATCGATAAATTGTGCTTTCTCTCCCATTATATAAATATATATTCTATAAATTAGTCTGTCTCCATGATCTCCACCAGAAGACCACGTATTGTAAGACTTTGTGTTAAAAAATGATTATCATGATGAAAAAAATAAATCTTACAGTAATATAATATTTCCTAGACTCATACAAAAATCTTCATTAGTCATCATATAAATAAATTATCAATATATACATATGTGAAATAGAGTTTGCTGAAGGAAGGGAAAATGAAGGTTCAAGAGGGGCATTCCCTTGCTATAATTATCCGCAATATCTACACAATGTTCATATTTTCTTTCTACTCTCATTTTTCACACTTCTTTCATCTACTTTAACTATTTTTTTCTTCTTAGTTGTCGCCTCTGAAAGAATTAGAGAGAATGTTCATTGAAAACTTTGCTCATTACAAAGCTAAGGTCTCTTAAAAGATATCTTTATTGACAGGAAAACTCTGCAAAACTGACACACTTTTTTGTAAGCGAAAACAAACAAATAACAAAAATAAAAACACAAAAATCCCTCATTGAATATATTCATAAGCAAAATAATAATAAAATTCAGTTGCAAAAGAGCGTATATTATTTAATAATTGTGTTTTTTCATCACCTGAAAAGAAGCTTGGCAGTTGATTTCGAGACCTCTGACCTTTTCATACTCATTCTCTCTCTCTCTCTCCCCACACACATTATATTCTTCTCTTACTTGCGAACTGTTGAAATCACAGCTGAAATTTTATAGCAAATATTCAACAAAACCATTTCTCAAATTCTTCCACGAAGAACACACTACAAACTCAAGCGATTAGCGACTAAAAGAGTCTTCCAAATGAACGTGAGAATCTAAACGAAAAAAATGCACAAGAATATGATGAAAAATGAACGCAAAGATCACTTCCTCACTCAGTTTATCATTAGATATTCAATCTATTCATGGATTAAGTGGTGAATTGAAGAGAATACTCTTGAGCCAATGCACACGACAGAGACAATCGAGACAATACAAAAGGGAATGCTTTGAAGATGTTGTACATACATATACCTATTCGATCTTTTGTCACATGTGAGAAAATACATCGCACCTTCTCTCGAACAGCAATAAAACCACAAGAATTAGGGCAATTGACAGGAAATGGATTGGTAATAATGCATAATTCGACAACCATTGGACATTTCATGTATCAAAATGAAAGAATTTCAGTAGTCGTAAATATTCTTTTCTATAAAGAAATAAATAAAATTTAAAAATAAGGATAAAAAAGGGCCAAAAATGGCATTAAAATTTATCACTATTTGAGCGAAGGTGCGACATTTTAACGAAACGAATATGGATTTCACTGAGAAACTGAAGAAACTCTCTTTCCTTCCAAACAGAAAACCCCAACATAAAGTAACTTAATGCAATAAAAAATGATTAAATACCATCTAAAGTCGATACTTACTGCTGTACTCAGAGATATCATTGGATTTCTTGCTGTTGAAGCCACCAGTTGTTGCAGCACGCGAGTCGTTTTGCTGGAATTCCTGCAAAACAAACAGTAAAAAACACTCATTAGTCGAAAATCGATCAAGTGACTCACTTTTCTTATGTTCTTTTCTTTGTCATTGAATTTCATAGAGCACCTGCAACTCCTTGAGTTCCTTCATTATCTGATTGACGTCGATATCGTTGTCATTTACCAAAGCCAGTGGATCCAGATCGCGACTCTTCGAGACCGCAGAAGCTCCAGAGCTCGCGGCTGCGGCTGAGACTGATTTGGGTGGTCGCTGAAGATTCTTGGGAACCACCCTCGCCGCATTCTTCTTCACGTCTGGCGTACTTTCCACGATCTCACAATCACTGCTGCCACTGCACGACTCGCTACTGTCGCTGCTGGTGCTGCTCAGATCTTCGAAGATCACATCAGGCTTCACCGCGCCACTGTTCACCTTCTCCTGTGATGCCCCAACAGTGCTGTTGACAGTCGCCACTGATCTCACTTTGATAGGCGTCAGTACACTGGCCGGCGGCACTTCCACCTTGGCTTTCTCCTCAACCAGTATCACTGGCGTCTCTTTCTCAGGCTCCATTTTCGCTGATGATACCTGGCTGATGACGGTACTTGGCGCCGGTGCCGCGGCCGAAGTAGTCGAAGAGATAATGCTGCTAATACTGTAGTCAAATGACTTCTTGGGGGGCGGAGTGGCCTCCTTGGGCGGTGACTTGGAGACCGTCTTGAGGACTGTTGTGGCACTCGGTGTGACTGAGACTGGCGGTGGCGGCGTAGGAGAGCTCGCAATGGAGATACTCAGACCGCTGGGTAGTTGCGGTGGAGCACTGGGCATGGCAGACGACGCCGTGGGAACCTTGGCGGCTGCCTTCACCAGCTCCTCCACATTTGTAATAGTCACCTTATTGTGAACACTCGGAAGTGGTTTCGACGCTGGCGTCGCTGAACTAACTGGAGTGATGGTTAGACTGCTGTTGCTGGGGAACGATGTGGTGGATGATGAAGCCGGGATCAGAGGAGGCTTGGGCTCCACCTTTTCTGCCTTACTCAAATTTGTCGCCACTGGAACACCACTTATCTGTGGCTTCAGATCATTTCCTCCCTCTTTGACTGCCCTATTCACATTCTTCATGTCAATCTTCCACTCCAACTCCTTCAACAATCCCTCCAACTTCATCCAACCAGGCGACCAAATTGGCAAAACATCCTTCTTCAGACACTCCAGCACATACTCCTCCACAGTTCCCTTCCGTGATTTTAATTTACTAAAGGCAGACCGGCATGCGTTCACAACGGAATTGAGTGATCTCCTTGTCGTGTCACTCCACACATATTGCTTCTTTGGCCACTTGAGATCATTCTCATTCTCAGGAATCCCCATGATAGCCATACTGCTCTTTAGCTGCCTTATCCTCTCGTTCTCCTTCTCATACGACTCCGCCAATCCTGGCATGCTCTCCTCCACACTCTTCTTCAGCATCACCACCGCCTTCTTCACTTTCGCCTCCTCCTGCTGAATCCACAGCTTCTTAGCCTTCAGCATCAGCGTCTGCTTGCTGCATGGCAGATAGACTTCTAGATGTGAGTACACTTGATTGCGCACATGGCCGCCGGCAGCTCTTGCGGCGTTCTCAATCTTCAATAGGGTCTGCTGAACGCTGCTATCGAAGAAATTTGTCTTGCCCATGGATGTGGCAAGCCTGGCGGACTCCTTCAGCAATACAACATTCCTGAGGATGTCCTCACTGAGATTTGATGGCAATTTTGTCTCAGGCTTCGCTCCACTCGTTCCATTGGGTATCTCGATGGCAGTGCTCTCGTTGGAGGACTCCGAAGTCATTGGGGCACTACTCAAATCCACGCCATCAGTTTCACTCTCTCTCTTGGCCGCATCCTGCATGTTCCGCAGACTGTCCCTCTTCGCCCGCAGCATGTCCTTGACAGTGGTTGTCTTGAGACATCTGTCGTCACTCTTCTTCTGATCGCCTCGATTCTTCTCTGCGCCAGTCGTGAGTTTGGCCTTTGATGACTTTACCTTTACATCATCGGCATTGACACTCTTCAGTTTCTTCTCTTGATGCCCATTCTTCGGAGCACCCGGAGCAACTGGCTGCTTCGTGGCCTTCGCCTCTCTTCCCTCCTCGTCACTGCTCGATGAAGAGGTGGAGAGTGTCCTCTTCTTCGGCTTGGGCATCCGCTGAGCGTCATCTGGCCTCTCGTAATTAGATAAATGCTGAAATTCGAGAGGTCCAGAGTTGATATAGAAGCCACCACGAACTGTTTCCACCTCCTCCGGAATTAGTTCATCATACTGCAAGAGAAAGAATGTCATCATAATCTCCACTGATACCGAGACTTTGCCTATCAGATTGATACTCACAGCTTCGGTATTGTCAATGAATGAATCGCTTTCATCGTAACCCGCGCCCTTGTCGCAGTAATCCGCCGAAGTCCGGTTGCTGTGCTTCTTCCCAAACGCACTATTGCATCCCTGAAAAGGTCACACAGAGAGCTTAGCTCCAATTCCTTCCACTCCCCTTAAGCAGTCTTACGTATTTCTTCTCCAACTCCTTAGCGATGCGAGCAACATCGTCATCGTTCTCAAAAGGATCCGCTACTCCGAATCCGTTCAGTTTTGAGATCTTCTTTCGCTTTTTCTGCAATGACGAGAGATACCGTAAGAGAGGAGACAAAGTGAATGGGACTCGAGTGCACTCCCTCGAGGGCGACGTAGAGCTTAATGGCGCTGTCAACGCCACTCTTCCTCCCCATTTTTCATCCTCTTCTGCACACGCCGCCAACGGCAATGTGGCCCCATCTCCCATCCGGCGCCCCCATAGAACGAATACACACGTGAACACACCTTTTCGGCATGCAGAAGTGCCTGAAAGTTGAACTCGGGAAATGTGTCCGCGTTGGGCTCGAACAGCTTCAGCTCCACACGCACTGTATTTGCAGCCTTTTTCTCTCTGTCCACATCACTAATTGTCGCTAAAGTGGCACGCTTCGGCTCGGACATTATCGTCCTGTCTACCAATAGGCCCACACTGAAGTAATTTGCACTTCTTCCTGGATAAATTCAGCGAATAAATTGGGACATAACATTTCACACCACAAACAAGCATTCACTGGACTTGCTCAATTTCCCGCGAGAGCGAGCCACCTGCGAAACGGGGAGACAAATGTGAGGTTAGATTTGTGGAAGCGATGAGCGAGGAAGATTCTCTAGTTGCCGGCTCCAGTAGTGGCGTGGAAATCCAGTCGAAGGATCGACTGCGAGTGTTGTGTATTCATGGATATCGACAAAATGAATTTAGCTTTCGCAGCAAATTGGGATCTTTCAGGAAATACGTGGACAAGTATGCGGAATTTGTTTTCATCACAGCTCCTCACCAGGCGCCTCCGTTCCCAGGCGAGGAGGACAAGCCGGTAAATGGTGAGGTTACTTCAATATTCTCTTCTCCACTGCTTTGCTCATCACTTTCTTGTTACAGAGAACCAGAAAAGCTGGTGGTTCAACAAGCCTGATGGATCATTCCGAGGAATTTACAAAGGCGGCCCAGTGGTTGGCTTCGAGGAGAGTTTGCGACTTGTGGAGAAGACTTGGGAGGAGCAGGGACCCTTTCACGGTATTCTGGGCTTCTCACAAGGCGGCTGTTTTGTGGGGCTCCTGTGCCACCTGGCAGAACGTGGTATGATCACAACGCTGAAGCCCCAATTTGCAGTCATCGCCTCAGGATTTCGTTCGCTGAGTCTCGCCCATCTTAACTACTATGAGAATACTGTGAAGATTCCGTCCTTGCACATTTACGGAGAGAATGACGACATCATTCCCACAGAAATGAGTGAAACGCTGGCTTCGGGCTTCGAGAACAAGATTGTGGTGACTCATGCTGGCGGACACTACTTCCCTGCAACAGCTGCTCAGAAGATGCACTACGTGGACTTCTTCAGAGATCGCCTTCAGACGCATTTGGAAGCACTTGAGCTTGAGAATCACTAGTATTTTCCTTTCTCTCTCTCTCTTTCTTTCAAGTTTTATTAATCACTAATTTCTCATACTCTTCTTTCTTTTTTTTTACAAATTACATAAATTATTCCACATTCGTTAATTTTTTTCTTCCTTTATCGTCTCAATAGATAAATTATAAATCAAAGAAATTTATATGCAAGTAATTGTACATTCATAGAAAATTGAGGGATAGCGCAAGAGTGTTTCTCAGGGGATGGTGGCAAGTGGAAGAGAAGGCTTGAAGTAGGTATATGCGGAAGGACTGAGAATGAAGCCACTTGATTCTTATTGAGTATTTAGAGGCGAAACTTTGTGATTCCCACACACGAAGTGTGTGCGTGAAATCTGTGGCGTTAGCCTGAAAACAGCACCAACTTATTGAATTGAGAGCGGACAAGAAAGTCGTCATTGTATCTCTGTGATCTTCCACGGATGAAAACCTCCCCAGGAAAAAACTATCGCATCGCTTTTAACTATCTAAAAATGAAAAAGTCGTAAAAAATGTGTGTGTGCTTTGGGGAGAAGAATTTTTAGAAGGCAATCAAGAGTAAATATTTCGAAACCCGCTTTATTATATCTATTTATCAGGCGTGAAAAGAGAATCGAGATGTATTTTTGGGGGAAAATGCAGAAAAGATGGGACAATACAATGCAAACTATAGAAAGAGAATGAATCTGTTAATTAGAAAAAAATAGTGCAAAATAAATTCCACATTGAATTGGTAAATAGAAAACATATTATTCTGAATTTTCTTGCAAGTTTTTTTTTACCTCAACTTTATGAGCTGTTTGTCCAAAAGAAACACTTCCCTTCAGCTTCTTATCTCACATGAACTCCCGTCGCTTCTCCGTGCGATGTTGCTGGCTCCATTGAGAAGAGAAAAAGGCTATTAAGCAACCTGCTCCTGGCCATTGGCAGCCTCTTGGTTCTTCATCACGTCCGGGAGGTCTGGCGGTGACGAATATGGTGTTATTTCGAGCGCCTCAAATTCACCCGTTTCCGTCCTGATGGCCAGACCCAGCTGAGCCGGTGCCTGGGCCTTCGCTGTAACAATTGAGATGCCGTAGTCCTGCAGCGGTTTATCGTCCTCCATGATTGTGTTGTCTTTGTTGTACAGCTGCTGATCGCGGGGTCGGATCTTCAGTATTCCTGCAAGGAGCAATTGCACGCTGTAATTGGCACGTATTACATAACTCGCGTAGGAGATCGCGCGAATTCTAAGTGAGCGCAATGTGGTCAAGGGGCAAAAAAACGCGAGCTGATGATTCGCTCTGGAGAGAGGACTTTGTCCTCGGCGCGAAGAGTCGGCTTGGCGATAACGCCTATCACCTCGTCGCTCCACTCATCGCGACCATCGGTAGCTGCCATTGGGTCTCCCGTGCTGAATGACGTGCTCGCGAGGGAATACCACCAGCATCCGGGAGCGTGCGTCCAATGCAACCCCCTCACAAATGCCCAACACCTTTTCTCACCTTCTATCATCTTTTTCAATTCGCTAACTGTCGTGTTATCTTTGGCGTCTGTAAAAATGGTTGTTTTCTTTCGCCGAATCATGAGGAACACGTCCTGAAACAAGAGAGATGCACTGAATGAGCTGCCCTGGCCAGAAAATGCCCCCATCATCCGCCGCACATAGGTTATGTCCGTCAAACAATGACAAATTTTATCGTTTCCGATACCTTTTCGCATGTCGCCCACTCACTCACCATTTTCCACTATATCTGAGGCGTCTGTAGATGATGTTAACGACTAGAGAGCTAGATGGACACCCAGGGAAAAGCCTTTTTCTTCGACCACAATAAAACACAAATTCTAATTTTTCCTCTTTTCTAGCACCTCTTCTTCTTCTTCTTCCTTGGAGCGGCTGTCAGACTGGGAGCGCTCCACGTGTCAGTCACCGGCAATTACGCGAAGAGGTGATTTTACAACGCCGAGGTGGTGAATTTCAATTTATCACCTGTCATGGTAGCGTGCTTTGTTTTTTGTTTTGCGCTCTTCCTTTTTTCGCCTCTTGGCCACAAAAGAGTGTGCAGAAATGATGATAATGCATTCTAAAGTGATGCCTCTCAAGTGGGTGATACATTTCAATGAGACCGAAAGAAAAAGGCCTATTTTGAGAGAGGTGTAAACGGTGTAAACAAAAAGCGCTTGACATAACCCTAAAAATCAGTGTAAATTGCGCAACTAACTCATATACTGCTTAATTTGCCATGTAAATCATTTAAGAGGCAGTGGAACATGTGAATTAGCGACCTAAGAACTTGACATAATATACTACCCACCAAGCTGAGGTAGTCGATAAGGAGGGAGAATCCTGCGAGCTCCTGATGCGGATACTGTATTGGCGGGCAATTAGATACACTTACATAAGATTTTAAAAAATTTCCTCAAGGCCTCCAATAAGAGGGCTTGAATTTTTCATCGCGTGAAAAGCGACAAGAGTGGAAAAATCTCTTGCCGAGAGCTCAAAGTGATTTCAGGTGAATTTGGCTTTCTAGTTCAATAACAACCACTCGGCCTCTTTGCACTTTGATAGTCAAGCGCCTTAATTCATCTCAATTATATAATTTTCTTTGCAGATTTTTCTTGAGCCACCTTCCAACTGCACACAGTTTGTCCGATCGTGCTGCAGAAAAGAGACGTGAAAACATCTCAGTGACAAATTCATCAGAATTCTGTGAGTATGAGATTTATCGGTGAAATCAATGCGCAAAATGCACTGCCCAATATGATTGCGGTCGTCAGACGCGCCAATTTGCATAATACAATCATTCTCTCACTGGACAAAAGTGGCGTCGAATTGAATTTACACATTCTGCTTCAAATGCATTGCCCATGGAAATTAATTCAAGACACTTCCGTTCGCACATTGCATTCTCAAATCACCTTTTCAATGCCAAGAGTTCGAAATCATCGGGCAAAAGGGCTCAATCACTCCAATCCGATCATGCAGGGAAGTCTCGACATTTAGCTGTACAGAGATGAGAGAGAGTGGAAAAAAGTCAAGATAATACTGCCAATGGGAATATACGACGCAATTCTATCCGGTGGAGTGAACTAAAACTATGTGTTGAAGCAATGCCTTGGGATCACACCACATTGAGTGTCTAATAGAATGATTCCTCGAGCGAGAGAAGGAGAACAGAGAGAACAAGTCTCGTTAGATCAATTCTCATTATCCGGTACAATTTGCTCGTCTGCCAGTGTCTTTACCTTCTGTTTCGCTGTCTTTCCGAAGAACTCCGATGTTCAGGACATTTACTAAGAAGCTTATTATGTCCAGAGGAAGAAATACTTTTTGAATTCTTTTGTAGAACAGAGCTTAGTATATTGTTGTTGTTGCTTATAAATTAATATGTCTCGCTCTTTCTTGCTTCCCTCCCATTAAATTATTTCGCCGGAAAGTGTGTGTGAGTGTGTGAGCATCACATAAACTCATTTCCATAACACTTCTGTCGAAATACAACGCTAAAAGTCTCCAAATGTGTACAAAATTTAAGACTAGAATCTTTTCAAAAATTCTTTTCGAAAAATTCATTGGGACCCTCGTTCGGGAGTCTTCGGAAATCATCGAGCAGCCAATAGCAACGGAGTATGTCAAGGTCACGTAAATTTACGGCTGATGCAATTCTAGCTTCCGATTGGCTTTTGGTTCAATCCGAAAAATTCATTGAAAAATTCGCAACTTCTGCGTGTAGATTTTTTTTGCGAATGTCACACAGAGACTCTGTGTGCTTTGTGTTATCAGTTGAATTTATTATTATTGTACATATGTCGTGTGGCACAGCACCAATTGATCGTGTGCGAGTGCAGTGAGAAGGGATAGAGAGACATGAGAGTTCAGGGAGCTGTGTTGAGGCTTTATATATCACAAGAGACACAGTCGTCTTCAGTCATTTGAATGAGCCAGTCAGAATCAGTCGATTGGCCCTCGAAATAGCTTGAGACGGCAAAGAGTGGAGATATAAATTGAATATAAAGTGTGGTGTGAGTGTGCAGTGTAATTTATAAATGAGAAGGAAATTTCCTTCGCCATTGCAATTTCACATAACTTGGACGGTGTTGTTGTTAAGGAAAGGGAAAACGTGCTCAAATACTCGTGCAATTTGGACGTGAATATCAGTGGCTTTGATGGGAGAAATAATGTGACGAGACAATTTGTCGTTTAATTCTTTTCAACTACTTAAGAGAACTATTCCTGTTGTACATTTTCTAATAAGTACAATCAAGTATCTTTTTCTCACTCACTGACTGTCTCTGTAAGCCTGACGATTGGAACAAAGTGTAGACTGTATAAATTGCATAAGGCGAATCTTATCACAAAGTGCTACCGATTTTGTGGAAAAGTTTTGTTTTCACGGGCTGAAGTACAACGATCAAAATGCTGGGAATAATTGAAATATTCCTCTTTCTCTGTGTTGTTTACTATTTATTTGGCAAAAGGTGAGTTTCACAAGAAAATTGTCATCCACCTTCGATGCAAATTTTAATACCTACACACATTAAGAACTGCTCTCTGTTGATTATGTAAGCAAAACATTGTGAGTCAATTGCATTCAGTGGTCAAATTTCGTGAATTGCTTCCATTGAGAGACATTCAAATCTCGCACGAGGTTTTCTCTCTCTTTGGGCCCACCCGATGTGACTTCCACTTGTGCATATTTTGAAGGCGACGCATTGATCTTTTAAACATGAAAAAAGTCGCACAAGACTGGTGTGATTCACTGTTCTTTCTCTCTATCATCTCTCAACTGTTTATTGGGCTATTTATTATACGTTGTGTTTTTGTCCTCAAAAAAAAAAGAAGAAGAGAAAAAAGAGACGCTGCTAGAGAGTTTTGCGGTAAACAAAGCGCGAGAGTGTGTTTTGTCGCGATAAGAAGGAGCGATATTGCAATTTATTAATAAACTCACCTGCGAGACAGATTCGAACAGGTGATTTGGCGAATTCTTCTAGTGATAAGATTATACTGAGCTTGCGGTCAACGGTATCAGTGAAAGTACATTGGGTCCAAGAGGGCAAAAATCACTGGGGGGATTTGTATGTGGTTGTCAAGAGGGGGGCTGTAATCGTCATTTCCCGTCGTGAGACAATAGGAGGGAAAACCAGGAGAGACACAAAGAGATTTAATGTTATCGGGAAGATTCATGTCACAAAAGCCAAGAACAAAAAAAAAACTCCCGCTTTTACTATCAATGTTAATTGGGTAAAAATGAAGTAACTCTTAATCCCGCCTCAAATATCAAAAAATCATCAAACCTTGTCCTATGAGAGTTGATGAGTGAACTCTGTCCTTTCTTCCCACGCTTGGCAACAATACACACAGAATGAAGAAGAAACAAAAAATGCCAAAGAAATTTTTTCTACTGATAGGAAAAGTACACGTTACTAATCAATCATTTATTCAAACTGTGAGAGAGTTTTTGTTCTTCTCGTCTCGCTAATATACAGGTTTATTGAATCTCAACAATATTGAGTCATTCTACACAAAAATGTACTTTATCTCACATCAGAATCCAATACGCAATTCAATGACCTATTCTTCCATGCAAACGCGATAGGGAAGAGTGTCCCGATCATAAATCCTTCTGATTTGTGTATTAATATAAAGTGAAATACTGATGATGAGAGATGATGGAGTGTGGAGAGAAAAAAGCTGAATAAACATGCTGAAAATTATCATTTAGAGAAGAAGAATATTGTCCGTCACTAAAAATACAACTTTAATAAATAGGAGACATACAATTTGTGCTGCTATTAACACTTGGCACATCACTGGAGATTACATACATAGGCTTCATCTTGCCCTCGTCACAGACTCAATTTGATACGACCACAAGTCGTATAAATAAATACAATTCTTATTCTAATGACACTTTACATACATACATACCATGATAATAATAAGTGTGCACAAATTATCATGAATGTGTCTCTTTCTGGAGAATATTTCACAATGACTGCTCAGCAGTCATTGAAGGGGTGAAAATGAGATTTGTGGGGCGCAACATTGGGAACAATACCCTCCGATTCTCATTTGCTCTTAAGAAAATTTTGAATTGAATAATGAATGAAATAAATATAGAGTATTTTTTATCGATTTCTGCTCTAAATATAAAAAAAAGTATCTACCGGAAGACAAAGTTAGTGATATCAATAAGACAAACTACTAGTAAAAAGTCCACTACATTTTTCGCTATTATATCAGACGTGTGCCCCCAAAAAGACCCCAATCGTTTTTTTTCCTCCTGCTTTTGATAAATAAAATGTAAACAGTGCTTTTTTGTCTACTGACTTTGGCGACAATTCAGTTAGAAATGACTCTTCTTCTTGCCATATATTATTGTATCTCATCAGTGAACGCAGAGATTGATTTCTCTCTTGACCATTACACGTCTGTTTAGAGTTCACAATAAAAGTCTCATTGGCTGGAATTGATGATAAACTTTAGCGACCCGCGCGTCTCCTTTTCAGACTTTTTACATTGCTTTTTGGCTCATGCCTCGTTTTATGCTCGCATTCACTCTTTCATTTTTGCTCACATTGCGCCAAATTGAGAGACAGAGAGAAATACTCGCTGTTTTCCCTCTCATGTCCGCGAGAATGGACAAAAGGGGGCAGAATAATCTAGTATAAAATATATTTTATGTATGTAGAAAATCCCGATCGGATGATTTTCTCTATCTTACACTCGTTTGTCTGAAATGTGTGACGAATGTGACATTCGTTATTGATTGTGGTGCTCTCTCATAAATTTTCCTTTATTTTCATTTATGTGTGAAGACGAAAAAATTGTATAAAAATATGCAAATCTTAACCGTATGATTTGTTATTGATTAAAAATGTTTAGAGGACAGCCGAGTGAAATGTTGAAGTTGGTATTTCTTAGACTGAATATTCCTTTGAAGCCAAACAATCTTCGCAATCTTCTGAGCTTGTGAATTGAAATGTAGTTTAATTGCGCGCTACTTCTGCATGCTTACATGTGATAAAGGGGTTGTTAAAGCATAAAAACATGAACAAACTTAGGTATTGATGCGATTTGTGTTCCAGTCAGCTCCGATCTTCTCTACATAATATGGTGTTGTTTCTCAGTCAATGAGAAAAGAGGCATCAAATTCATGGGAAGGCAATGAAGATGACAACAAACAGGCTTGCGTTTAGCGTGCCTGTTGAATGCAAATTTGCTTTAAAAAATTAAACCTTCTAATGGTATCACATTCACATTGATGCACATAGACATTGCGACTGAAATTGAAACCTTGAGAAGAGTATATTTTTCTCGGCGCTCCTCACTCAGTGTGACCCAAAGTTGTGTTGCCAATGCATTTTTTTTACTGGTTTACTTGACAATCTCAAGCGCGATTGAGTTCAATTTTCACTGTGCAAAAATGTATCGCTTTTAAACACTTAAAGTTGATACAAAAATGGCAATAAACCTGCTACTATTTTCAGTGATTAATAGAGAGAGAGAGAGAGAGAGAGAGAGAGAAAAAAGATCAACAAACAACCAAATGTCCCTGACCCCACTGAAAATCGCGGTAATCACGTCTCGCATCTCTTGCTCTGGTTCATTGGACCAAGAGGGGGGTCGATCGGTATTAGAACTCGTTGAAAAGTTGATTTCACAGTGACACTATTCATCGAATTTCGTCATAGGCAAGCGATTGCATTAATAAGTGGCATTAAAATGCATTGAGATTAATAGCAAGGTGTATTTTGCTATGTTAATGCTCAGCGACAAAATTGGCAATTTTTTCTGTAATGCGTTTTGATCAGATTAACCCTGAAATGAGGAATTTTAGATAAATGAATCTTCACAAGTGTGATTTTAGAAATCGATGCGCTTCCTTCTCTCCTTGAAGACGATGCGCGCTGGCGTAAGAGCGGAAGAGGGGATTGTCAGTGTAAAGTTGACTATCTGTCTATACTCAATAATTAACGTGCAACAGAGTTTGTTGATCAACTCTTCTTTGGGTCTGGTGTCCCCCCATTGAAGTGGTTGTGACCCATCGCATTCTTCTGCGTGCTTGTCGTCTCACAATGCCCCAAAAAGTCGATGAGGTGGAAAACAGAGTTGAAGAATTTGTGGGCATTTGCGCGGGTTGCGCGGGAGGAGGAGTATGGGAATTGCTGAAGGGAAATGAATAATAATTGTAGTTGTACTTCCTCGATTGTGTGCTGTCTTTGCAGGACTGGCGACATGGTTGATGTGATGTCGACGCGCCTTCAGGAGGTGTACGGCTCATGGACATACAATGGCTTTGGCTGGGGTGACGGCGGTCAGCGTGTCGAGGAGCGTCCCACATTCGATTTCTTGCGTCGTTTCGGTGAACAACAGCGTCGAAAGCGCGCTCAGGAGCGAGAGACGGACCGGCGCACCCGTGAGAATTATCTGTACGAGATCAAGGAGTCCACGATGCAGATGCCGACGACAGCACAGAATCTGCCCCAGGGTTTGGCGTGTCGCTCCTGTGCTCCCGGATCGGAGATTCAGTTGGATCCGCACGAGAGGCGTCGCGATGTGATTGATGTGTTGCGCACCACACAGCACGCGAATCAGGGCCCAAATCGTTCAAACTACGACTGGGGCACGTGGTTTCCCATCCTGGCACAGTGTCTGCGAGTGAGAAAGTATCACTTTCCCGAAGTGTCGCCCATTGTGTTGGAGGATGAGCGCGTGAAGAGTGCCATTGATCAGGCGGCAATCCAGTCGGTGCGCGAGGAGAGACAGGCAGCTGAGGCTCAAGGTAAAGCCTTCAGTGACACGGAGACGTACACGGAGATGCTGGAGCGGCACAATAAGCGAGCTCGCAAAGTGATGATGGACATGCGTTCGAAACTGAGCAATGTGTTGCTGCAAATCACGTCGTGGCTCATTTACAAGATTCTCCCCTGTTTCCTCACGGGAGCTGTGGCTCATCCGGCACAAATTGAAATGCTGAAGGCCGCCTCGAGACGCTCTCCGGACACACCATTGATCTTTCTGCCGCTACACCGAAGCCACTTGGACTATGTGCTCGTGACATTTATGCTGCTCAACAATGATCTCCGCGTTCCCGTAATTGCTGCGGGTCAGAATCTTCGTATCCCATTCTTTGGGTGGGCTTTGCGTGGTCTGGGCGCTTTCTACATCAAGCGGAAGATTGATCCGGTGACAGGACAAAAGGACATTGTGTACCGAGCTATTCTCCACTCGTACTTACAGCACTGCCTCACGGCGGGTCACAATGCTGAGTTCTTCATCGAGGGCGGACGAACGCGCACGGGTAAGTGTGAGAGTTTTATCAAGCACTTATCAATAGAATATCACTAGTTAAGATTAGTAGTTAATACCTCTCTATTTGATGTACTCTATCAGGAAAACCGTGCATTCCCAAGGGTGGCATCCTGTCTGTGGTGGTGGAGGCTTTTATGGAGAAAGCCCTGCCGGACGTTCTACTTGTGCCTGTATCAGTGAACTATGAGCGTCTCGTGGATGGGAATTTTGTGGCTGAACACTTGGGCCAGAGAAAACCACCGGAGACTTTCATGTCAGCCATCTCGGCCATCTGGAAGGCAGTAAAGTCCAACTATGGCCTGATGAGGATTGACTTCAATGAACCTTTCTCCCTGCGTGAACTCGTGGATGCCTTCAAGCGGAATCAAGAGCGTGAATTGCCATCAAAAGCAGAGCCTGGCGATCGTCTGTTGCAGCAAACCAAATCCTCCACATCGCTTTACGGCACTGACATTGTGCAGGAGGACAATCGTGCGCTGGTGGACAGTATAGCACGGCATGTGGTGTACGATTGTGCCAGTGCAACCACCGTGATGTCCACGAATGCCGTCACATTCCTTCTACTCACGCGATATCGCTGCGGTGTGACGCTGAGTGTTCTGACACAGGCTCTGGATGATCTCCGAGAGGATTTACATGGGATGAAAGACATGGGCTTCACTGGCGAATCACGAGCAATCATTGAGTATGTGATCAATCTCCTGGGCACACAACTCATCACCACAGACACGAGCAGTGGCGAGATGTTCTTGAAGCCAGTGAATACAGTGCCGGCAATGCTGGAGTTGTCCTATTACGCCAACACCCTCATGCCCTTCTACGTCCTGGAGTCCGTCATCACGACAGCTATTTATGCCCTCCTGCCGCCCACAGAGATGGTGGATGACTCAATGTCGCTGCTGGAAGAGGATGTCTTGGCGTTGTGCCACAAATTCTGTGATATCCTCCGATATGAATTCATATTGAACAAGCCGTGCCAAGATTTGGATACTCTCCTCCACGAGACACTCTTCAAAATGCGTGATAGAGATCTGATAAGTATTCCAAAGGTGAGGCTCTCGCTTTGTTGTGATTTCATGTTCATTGCAGTTGTATAATTTTGATATTTTCCCATTTGTTTCAACAGAAAAACTATACAGAGGCTGAATTGGATGCACAACGAGTGCATCGAACACTCCTGCTCAATAATGACCTCGATGATGACGACGAGGAGTTGTACCATTTTGCCCAAACAGATGAGAATGTGGTTGTGATTGACAAGAATCAGAGGCATCAGCATATTAATTCCATCGCCATCCTCGCACCCATTGCCAGAACATACCTCACAGTCGTTGACTACTTGCATCGGCTGCTCGGCAATGCACAGCTGGAGGTGGAGTTCGTGAAAGGCGCCCTGTCGGAGATCAGGCAACAGTTTGACAATCAAGAGTGTGAATTTGGTGAGATTTGCAATTTGATGGGCTAAATGCAAGAGTCTCATCACTAACACGCGATGACTGACTTTTCAGGTGAATCCGTGTCAGTGGAGATGATCAAGAACTGCCTGAAGTTGCTGGAGAAGTGGTCAGTGGTGCAGGTCGAGTGCGCCGGCGGAGTCCGCCTTCTGTCCCTGACCCACCACTACAGCTCATCCGCCGGAATTGAAGAGGTTTACCAGAGAATACAGACATTCAATTGCGTTCATCGCTTCAATTTCTCATCCAATTGACAGCGATGACCTAATTCTCTTGCAATTCGATGCATTTAGTGTATTTTCCGCCCTTTGCCCTTACATCTCCTCCTCCCATCATACCAAGTTGTCCTTCATAGAGAGCGATGAATTGTCTAAGATGAAGAGAAACTCGTGTACAAAGGTGTTTTTTTGCAGTGAATTAATAATAAACGAATGAATTATAGTGAAAACACATTTCTTTTTGCAATTAACTATATTTATTATCCTTTTTTTTCCTCTCAAACCAATATATACAGAATCTCTTTGTTCTTTTCCCTCAGCAATTGATTTCTCTTAATTGAATTAATAAGTGAGAAAAATCAACACAAATGATTAAAATCATGAATTTTATTTGAAGAAAAGAAATGCAACGTATAATCTCAAAGTGTTTGATTCTATCACATATGTTCAGTAAATGAAAAACAAGTGTGAGAAATGAAGAAAAAAAAGTATCTGAGGGAAATTTCATTCGCACAAAGAGATGAAAACACCTTAAACACTAATAGGATAATCTTGAGATAGGAAGAGAGTCCTCTCTCCTCGGTTGCGAGGTCGAGAACAAAGAGATAGATGGGAATCATTCATTGAGTTGCTCAAGAAGGAATTATTAGGGATGAGGAACTTGCAGGAAGATTCGCTGGGGATATTGGAAATTTGTTGACTCTACGATGTCCTCTCACTCATTCTCGTCCAGGAAGCCACCAATGGGTCAGTGTAATTGGTTAACATTTTGGGCTATTTAGACTGAAACCTGGAATAACTCAACATAAAAATATCTTGTGTGCTTTTCTTTCCTAAAAACTATAACTTTTTCTTAATATCTCGCCATCTCAGGTAAGAATTTTCCTCTTCTCTCTTTATATAGCGTCTCTCATGATAAAACTTCTTATTATCACAAATTTTTAATTATATAGTGGTAAGATTTTAAAGGAAATTATTTTAGTAATGGGATATTTTCCGCACGAGAAAATTATCTGCATGTCTTTCTTTAAATTTTAAATAGTTCAATTTAAGTGACCCTCACAATGTTCTGAAGGCTATCGCACTCACTAATTATAGTCTCTCTTCTTCCCAATTAGTCCACGCCAACAACCAACACTCTCACTTAATCGTGTCTCTCAGTGTCTTTAGCACTCGTTCAATCCGTCCTTCACACTATGTCTCTCCTCCATCCACCGTTCCACTCCCACGTCGACGCAGCCCGGCAGCATCCTCAGTCGCGCGCCTCTTAATCCTCAATCTTCCCCCAACAGAATACCTCCTCATCATTATCATCATCATCTCTACACATTCGCAAGAATATTCATGCTGTTCTTGCAGTCGATCTGCACCTTCACGCCATCAGCAGTGACAAAGGTGATCTCTATTGGCTCCAACCACTCCACACACTTCTGCGCCGAGTCGAAAGCCAGCATTTTTGCTACCAATTCCACAGGAATATTCGGCCGATATCTGTGATTCGCAACATTGCATGTGTGTGCGTGCCATTTCGCGGTTTTGGTTTTTGGGGAGATTTTATGATTGGAAATTTTTCGCGAAGGAGAAGAGTAGAAGATGGCATCAAGAGAGAGAATAAACAAAAATGTACAATTATTACATAAAATCATCACTCAGACATAAAATCATTCAAGAGAATTTTTTTTTTGAGAAATTGCATTGAATTCCACATAAAATTCCACACGAAAAAAGTGGGAAAAAACATGAGCTTTGAAAGAAAAACCACATGATGAACAGTGTCTATTGATTTCTCTATGAAAGAAAATTTTATAATTATATTTTCATTACGTTTTTTCTTATTTGGCAAATTCAGCATTTAGTGATGCATTCGCATAAATTGCAAACTTGATATTTGATATTAATCAACTTTAGATGAAAAAATACACTGATAAGAACCATGACTGGGCAATTAGAAATATGTTAATGTCAATTGTCAATTGAATGACTTTACACACACTGTGGTTGTTCTTCCGCAACCTCCATCGTCTTGGCTGAAAGAGATATTTTTAATTATTGCATAATGTGGAATTAGTATGAGAAATGAGCTCAGTCACACCGTCAGGAACCCACAAATCGCATTCTTTCACTTCACACTCTCACATGTAAATGAGCTTTTTCTTTTGAAAATTCTTCAACCACTTTTTCTCTCTTTTTTTTTCTAGTAAATCTCTCTCTTGCTCTCACTCACCATTCCTGCCACCATACAAACTATTCAAAAGTGAATCAAAGGAAATTGGTGGTGTGAGAGCAATGAGATCATATCGGGGGAAAAGGAAGATAACATATGGTAATGTAAGAGAATATATAAAAATAAAGGTTTTTACGTACGCTTTGACAATACTCTTAAGTGCCAGCTTGCGTTCCCTATCGACAAACCAGTCAATTAGGTAGCCAGCCATAAGGGGAGCGGACTTGTATAATTGGAAAAATTTGCAATAGTTACCCAAAGCCCATGCCGTTCTTAATTCTAAGGCATGAGCTACGGATACATTTTCACGCATTGCCACTGTCAGAGACTTTAGGATTGTGGTCAAGTCTGCAAAGAATCAAGATGAGTAATAATGCAATTAGTCTTTCAACAAATCACTCATACTCAAAAGCACACAAACACAACATTTACCGAGTGTATTTTTGGTGAAGATATAGTAGAGTATCCGATATGCGGTGAATTCTAAACAATTCTCTCCCCCAACCTCACCATAAAGCATCTTCAATTGTGTCTGACACTGATTAAACTCCTCATGATCCCCCTTTTCCATTGCTATTCTAGCGTGTGTCTCGTAAACCTCCACTGTGAAACCATCACGAATACCTTGAACCTATAGAAAGCACAAGAAAAAAGGCAATCAATTAGACATACATTCCTTCACAGCATCATGTGAAAACTCAAACTCACCGTCAAATCCTGGCGAATAGACTTCAGTTGATCACACGCATAGTAATAGTCTTGCTTCTCCACCCATCTTGCCTTCACGTTGGTCAGAGAGATCTTCAGAACATCCACAGGCCTCACTTCATTGGACGCTGGCGCTTTAGTAAGTCGCAAAAAGGATTTCTCCACATCTCTGCATGTTCCGACGATGTGAATGTCCGACAAGTCAAAGTGACCTTCCCTATCGTCTGCATCGTCCACGAATGGCCGACTGACGGACGGCATCTGAAGCTTCTTGCGCTTGTTGAAGGGATTCATCGCGACACTCACCACGCTCGACTGCACGCTGGGCTTATTGAATCTCGCCGCGCGCTGCTGCAGCCTCTCGGCACTCCCCTCAACGGCACCCCCAATAACGCCATTTGCAGAGTAAAAGGGCACCTTCTTCGTGGACGGCGATCCACCCTTCTTCGTCCTCTTGCTCTTGGCACCCATGGAGAACTTTGACGCCTTGCCACCCCCCTTTCCCCGGTACGACGACGACGCATTACTGCTCGAGCTCGTGCTGCGACGCTTCCGCCGCGGACTCACCGAAGAGCTACGCGATCGACGCTTCAGGCCATGGCGCCCCGGTGACTTCGAACGCGATCGACTCACTCGGCTGCTCCCGTGGCCAGACTTCGAGCCCAGACGCGCGCCGAGACTCTGCGAGATTCCCTTCTTCACTGACGAGCTTCCCGACACACCACCAGACTTCTGGTATTGCGTCAGGAGACCCGCAACCGGCGGCCTCTGCACCAGCATCGTATTCCTCTCACTATGCACACTCGGTATGGGCTCATTGTCCCAATCCTTGGTCCACAGCTCACCCTTGTTCGCCGCCGCCGTGATCCGTCCCTTCAGACAAATCCCAATTTGGTCCTTGTCAAAGTCCGTCTTGCACTTAGCATAGCAACGCGTCACGTAGTTGTTCAGACTTTCGGGCCACGCATCTGTCGGATTGTTGAATGGGTTCGGTGGGGCCGCGGGGGTCTTCTTCGGGAAATTCACCGGAGGCGGACTCGGCGCCTTTGGCACTGCCGGAGGCAAAGGTGGCGGAGGTTTGGTCAGGTCGGGCGTGATCGTGGGCGGCGGTGGAGGAATTGGCTGTGCCGGAGAAGTATCATTGCCGCCAAATGCCTGCTGCTGCTGCTTGTTCTTGTTCTTCTTCCTCTTCTTCTTCTGCCCGTTGGGGAACTGCTGCTGAGGCTGCTGCTGGCCGGGCTTCTGGCCCATGTTCGCCAAGTGATTGTGAAAGACATTCTGCTTCGTGGGGCGATTGATGTGGAAGCGAATGGGACCGAATTTGGACTGCTGTCCTTGCTGCTGCGCCTGCTGGCTGCCGTTGTAGTACGGCGCCCGTGGACTGCCGAAGTTGGACACCGTCGGCGGCGGTGGCCCCGCTGGCAGTGGCGGATTCTCAGTCGAATGCTCCTGATTCGAAATCGCCACATTGCCAAATCCAGGCGGGGCGTTTGACTGTGTCATCTGACCAGCGGGTTTATTGGGCTGCTGGTAGTTCATGTAGTGCTGAATGTGCTGATAGTAGGCGTTGTAGTATTGCGCATACTGTGGACTGAAGCCCGCGGTATTGTACATGTTGCTGAAGTTGTACATTTGCCACGCCTGATTCTGCTGCTGTTGCTGTTGTTGTTGCTGCTGCTGCTGACTATTCGAGTGGGGTAACGGTGGCGGAGGCACTGAAGTATTCCCGAGTGTTCCGGACGTCAAGACACCTCCCGCAGTCTGACCCATTGAACTCGTTCCGGACACCTCAGCCATAGTGGCACTTTCCACACTCACAACTTACCTTTCCTTGTAAGAAAAACTTGTGCAATTACTTTGAAAATGACCTGGAAAGGTATTTTACAAGAAATTTCAAAATGGCGGATCAATTGGGTCACCCTCGCGCCCCAGGAAAACTCCAAAAATAACACCTGGGACTGGCAACTCACATAATATTTCATTGAATTTCTTCTCTGCGAAGTCCAATTGATAGATTTATGCACTTTTCTCTAAAACCAACGCATCAATTAATCTGCGAAAATGGAAATTTTCACTCCGTATGAAACTCACTAAACAATGGCGTTTCTGAAACTCACATCGTCTGAAGTGAGCGCTGAGCAGTCTAGCGGCACAGTCACCAGGGGCGCTGTCGGCATGGTGAGTAGATTCAAATTTCAACAGTAAAATGGAATATACGCAACTTCTTTTACTCCACAATTCATTTATTCCGTAAAACAAATATATGCCTTATTTGGACATTGAAGGATGGAATCCACATGATTTATCGATAAATAATACAAACTATTGCACCGAAATATATTCAATTCTACTATTTTCTCATATTGAAATTACTGACGGTTGCATATTTCACTTTGTTACAATTTTTTAAGCTATATAGTATAATATTCTAAGCTCCAAAATTATTCATTACCCCATTGTGTAGCACAAAAGTCTAGCCCCTGGGATTTTTCCTTACTTGATATGTGATAAAATTATATATACTTTATCTGTTGTCACAATTCTCAGTCACACAGATATATCATTTCGTGCTCAATAAAAGTCCATAGAATTTAAGTACAAACGTAATAAATAGTGTTAAGCGAGATTAAGAATGGCAATACAAATTAGAACAAATTAAGTTAAATCGTCTTTGGTATCTTTCCTTTCCTAGTCGTAAGTCAAAAATCAACAAAGCGTTTTGGGGAAACAGACTAGATATTATTTATCAAATAAAAATAATAATATTGCACTTTTTAGCAACACCTCGAAGTTAGTCGCTTTAGAACACGAAGAAAACTAACATTTAACGATCAAGAAATACAATATTAGAGCATCTCGTCTCAATGGAATACTCTAATGCGGGTATACAAATTCCTCTCACATTTCCAATCACTTCCTCACACCTCTTCTGTCCACTTCTATTTTATAGACACGTAAAAACAATTAGAGAGAATTATTGAGAGTATTAAAATGGTTTCATATATACTTAATTAATAGTCTCACTGTCGAGCTGAAAGTTATCTTAAGCGTTCTTGCCGCTGAAAATAGCAAATTCCTTATTTAAGACGCTGCGTCACATTCGCGAGAGCCACGGCAAAAGCTTGCAGAGCTGAGAAGGGATATTGGAAATCGAGGGTGTAAGCATTGCCGTCAATTCGCCCAAACTGCATGACCTGCAATTGCAAGAGAAACCATTAAAAATATCTTACAATTACGAAATGCAACAACAAAAATACTCACTTGCTTTCCGCGAAACTCAATTTGAAAGTTCTTAGCGGACTCCTGAGTCACGCGGCCGCCAAAGTCCAGCTGATACACCTGACTATTCTCATTCCACATTGGCGCCTTGTTGTGCATCACAAACTCGCGCCTCAGTGGAGCCGGCTGCGAACAAACTGATGACGAGGTAGTTCCATTCGGCTCAATCTTCCCCCTTTTCAGCTGCCAAAAGAAAATCCCCAAGAATTTAGAAGACAACTTTTAGCCTTTGTGTCACAAGAAAAACTCACCTTCTGCCTCAATTGAGCCTTTTGGAATGTCTCCAAGTCACGATACTGCTTCCCACCAGACGACGTGTCCTCTCCGGATCCACCCTGACCCAATTCATCGTCTGAACTCTCCACGGGCTGCTTTTTGCGCTGACGCCTGTTGAGAAGCGGCGAATTCAGGATGTGCCTAATAGGCGAGGCGCTCTGGTGTCTCTTGCCCTTCTTGCTGGGCGCCGGCGAGGCAGGACTACTCTTTGGCAATTTGCTGGTATGTTGTGGCGATGGTGGCGTAAATCTACCCTCATCCAAATCCCTCAAGCGACTTATAATGCTCTCCAATGTTGTCAAGGCCTGAGTGTGCAGAGACACCGACGCTCTCTGCTCCATGGGCATTATCTCTACCTGATCATTGTCATAGAATCTCATGGAGTCATCCTTCTTCTTCCTCCGCGACAAGTAATTCTTCCTCTCCAAACTCGGCGATTGCTCCTCACCACGCCTGCTACTGGACTCTTTGTAGCGATGCTTTCTGGAGAATAGTGGACTGTCCGTGTAGCTCGTGATGACTTCCGTTCGTTTACTGCCAGGCACAGAAGGTCTCATCTCCAATCCATTGTTATTACCAGACATTCCAGCACCATCATGAGCAGAAGCCGATGGATATCGCCTTGGAGTGGCTCCAGTTTTGCTCTTTCCCAACATGCTATAGTTGTTATTCACACTTATGTTGTTATTCACCAGATTCTCATTGCGCTGCCCGGGAGATTTTCTACATGACAGACAAACGCTCTCAAGAGAACTCACAGTTGGAGATATTTGTTTGCACACCGCACAAATTTTAGGCTTCTCTCGACGATTGAGAATTGGCGTGCGAGAAATGAAACAAGTTCCAGTCGACGTTTTCACTGGTGGATCTTTGGAAGAATTTCCCTCTACTGGCCTTTCTTTCTTTGGCTGCTCCCCAATTTGCTGCAGATCACAAAAGTCCAGACTCTTCGATTTTCCACTTTGCTGGAGTTTTGGCTTTGTCATGTCCTGAAAATACAATGAAATAAAATTTAATATTGTTGAAATTCAATATACAGGCATATAAACACTCACATCGTGTTGCTTTCGATTCTTTTTGGGCTTTCTATCGACAAGAATCAACCTCTTGTAGGGCGTGTCTCTCCTAAGCATCAGCAGAGCTGAGTCCGATGGCACCATGTCCACAGAATCAAGATATCCCACACTACAGCTCCTCGTCATAGCATCTGGAATTGCAGGGGCAATCGAGAGAACCGTGGGTGTCCTTCGAATGGTGGACGTAGAAGGAGCAGTCAAATCTGCTGTTGGTGCTTCCTCATCAATATACTGAAGGTCTTTCCGCCTCCCAAATTTGCAATTATCCCTCTGATGACTTCCTTTTGACTCCAGACGTTCGAGATTTAAATTCAGATTCAGCGGCACAGGATTAACATGGGAATTTGTGGTGCGTGGCGAGTCAGCTATGAGGGCACTCTTCACCTGATGCACATTTGTGGTGTAATCTGACGAACTGGAGTAACTCATGAGAGTCGTCTGGGCAGCTGGAGGACGATCAAAGATGATATCACTGGGTGCTACGGCGTTCTTGGGCGATTGCAGTGTTGGCACAGATCCTTCACAGCACAGTGGAGAAATAGCATGGCGAGATTGGCCAGAACTCGAAGAACTGCGTGAATAAGGTGTCACTAAGTTTGTGTAACTCGGTCCCGGACGCGAAGTCACTGTGGCGGTCACTTTTCCCTCAGGCTCTGTCGTGTCCGCATAGGGAAGTTCCTCTTCATAGGACTCCGCCCTAGCCAAGGGCCCTACAGCACCGGCAGGTGGAAGTGGCGGAAGATCCCCTCGCGGAGAGTAGTTCTTGAGAATGGTTGTGAATCTATTCGGTCTAGGTGACATTGGGGCAATTGGAGGCGCCCCTTCCTTCAGACGTCTCGTCTGCACCGGCGGCGGCGAGTACAATGGCTGCTCCTCCTCATCTTCACTGAAGATATTGGGATTGAAGGTCGGATCAGGACCCGCAGGAAAGTCATCCCGAAGCTCCGTTATCACCAGAGTCATTTGACGTGGCTGCAGATGCAACAGAGACGTCTTATATGTCACCTGACCAAGATTTGCCGGAACTGTTTTGGAAATGCCGTGAATCTTAAACTTCGTCCCCCAAATATTTGATGTCACTTCCACAAGCTTCACATCTTCGGGCAGAGTGTCTACATACGCCAATTCATCATTTCCTTCACCACCCTCGTGTGTTTGACCAGATTTTTCCGATCCATTTGCAATATTTTGAGGTTTTCGTCGCGCTCGGGTCTTTCGTCGTCGCTGAAGTCTTGGTGAACCTCGACATCCATCATCCAAATCACTGTCTGACGATTCTGAACGGCCAGTTGTCGTTCCTCCACCAGTGGATTGACTCGATCCTGATGAACTTTTGTTGTCTGGCGAATAGGAGAAGAAAATTGATCCATTCTCCACCTGCGGATCGAAGATGACAAACTCAGGGCGAATTTTGGAGGTTCTCTTTCCTTTGAGAAGCGGCACGAGTCCTCCCAAATATTCCAAGTAAAGCGTGTAGCACGTGCCAGAGCTCAAATTTGAATCGTCATCGTGACGGATCATTGTGCAGTGAAGCCGTGTGGAACACACTGGCGGACGAGACACAAACTCCCTCAGGGACTTTGCATCCGGAACACAGCACTGAAAAGACATATAATTGATTTATCTCATTACCAATTCACACAACTTTAGAATTTTAATCTTTCACAACCTCCCATTGAATTATTCAAAGAAATTCTGGGAAAAAGCATGAAATGTCTCAACTTACTCGGATTGTTTGAGCAAAAAGGTTGCCAATGAGCAATTTGATGCGCGACGGAAGCGGAAGTCTTGAGAGGAAAGCCTCAGATGGGAGACTACCCTGGATCTGGAGGCGACAGAGTAGCTGAAGGGAGGCAATCTTCCTCGACACCCACGCAATGTGAACATGATTTCCTGTGGCTATAAATATCCTCTTGTCATTGTGACCCCACGTTAGAGCACTAACAGGATTGCTGCTGTTGGGGATTCTCGCGGTGTACAATAAATTTCCACACTCTGTGTAGAATTTCACGAAATTCTCATAGACTGGAGTCGATGGTGGATCCAGAAATTCGGACAGATTTTGACACGTTCCCGCCACGGCGAGTAATTCGCGTGAATTGCTCCACTCCATCACGATGCCGAGCAGATCAGTGCGAATGCGAATTGGAGAGACATCATCGAAAGACTTGATGAGATAAATGTAGCCATTCTGGAAGCTCACAGCCAAGACAAATGATCTCTTTGAGGCATTTGTAACGCCTGGCTCAATGTCTTCACCCTCTTCCATCTTGAACTTCTCGCACGACCATGACATGCCCGTGATGCCGACATCAGGGCACAATTGCACTTGGGATACCATCGCTCCGTGGACATCCATCACAATCACCTGACCTTGTGTGGTGGCGAAGTACACCTGAAGAAGCACGAGACAAGAATGAATTAATTACACCGAAATATATTTTCAACCACCGTCGCACACTCACCTGTTGGTCATCAGGCGTCCAAATGCCACACGTGATGGTGGCATTAAGATTGAGCATTGACGACCAGTATCGCTGTCCTGCCACAGATCCCACCAGCACAAATCCATCCTGATAGCAAATCAGGGCCATTCGACCATCGTGTGACCATGCAAAGTGCGTCACTGGCGTGTTGCGATCATTAATCAACTCAATCGACCACCGTCCCTCGTACTTGATCCACACAAAGATGATTCCTGAACTGTCGCATGACGCCAACTTCTGGTACGGCTCATTCCACTTCACCAGGATCACTTCCGCTCGGTGGCCTCGCAGATTGTAGTTCGTCCTCAGAGGAAACTCCATATTCTTCTTGCAGTGTGACGTAGAGAATGTCACACCAACAATCCCACGAATATTTCCCGTAGCCAACCATCCTTCCTGATAGTAGTTCGTCCTGTTCAGCTTCCATCCCTCATCCTGAAATGGGAAAAAAATTCACAGTTTATTTTCAACTCAAGTAAATTCCCAATTTCATCCATATAGCTTATCCAAGCTATTTTCTCCTTCTTCACCAGAGGGAATATTCACACAATTTCTCTCCCTTTGTCGCACTACAAATTTCTACTCATATTCCTTTTGTCGACATGGAGGAAGAGAAGAAATTGGAGTAAAAAAAAAGGTAAATTGGATTCGTTATTTAAAACTCCTCTCTTGGTGAAAAGCACACATACATATATGGGAAGCACTTATTTTAAATCGTATGAGATTTTCTCCGGGTTTTTCTCTCCTCATCCAACAACCAACCCTTGAAGGGTGAATTGAGTGAGGAAATCTCAAGAGGCGCCACAGACTCTTCGCTGAAACACCTTTGATATACTAAGGAGACACGATAGCGAAAAACACCTCAAAATGTTTCCAAGAGGGATGAAGAAGACTTCCCTTTTCGCCCATCTCGAGCTCATGATGGAAGAACTACTCTCGCTTGAAAATCGTAACTTTTTTCTTCCAAGGCCTTTAAACAACTCGATTTGGCTTTATCTAATGGAAGGATAAGAATAAAAGGGAAAATTCACGTCGACATCAGTTTACCATCAGTAAAATATATTAAATTTAAAGTTGTTTACACTTGATTTAGATTTATTATCTCTATACCTTTTCCAATTTACTCTTCATGCAATATTTCACCCCAATTCACAGTAATGGAGCTTTCGCTGAACTTACTATAGGGGTGAAATTTAATTACAAGAAAGGTGTCTTAATTGCACTCGAAAACGTACTATTACATTTTCTATTTCTGCCCTATCAAGTCCAAAAAATATCTTAAGAGGTGATTCTCATGTAAAAGCGTTCTCTTATTCAGCTAAAATTGCCTCAGCGTAGCTTTCAGACTTTCCCCCCTTGGAATTCTCAATGGGCATAATTATGAAGAATTATGTAGAGATGCGACACATAAATTTTCCACACAAATACACCCCGCATTGTCCTTGCTCTATAGATATAAATATGTATGTTCATAAGAGGTAGGGAAAAAATCCTCTCAACGCAGTGTTCACTGCTGCAAAAGAAATTAATTATGTTACTCATTATGAAATGAAATGATTTAAGAGGAAAATTATTTTTACTTGCCAAAATTGTTGCTCTTGAATTCACTCTCAACCAGTCGAGAGAAATTTTCATCACACACCATATTTTTATTTATACTCTAACGAAGAGCTTAAGTGAATTTCACAACCATATTTCAAGCTTATGAGTGTGAAAATAATAACACTTCTGTATCTATGTGTATTTTTGGCACGAATATAATATAATATAAATAAAATTCATCAGAGTTGATTCACCCCTTTTCTCTACAAGAATCGAGGAAAAAAAATCATAAGATATAACGACAAATAATAGGATAAGATTAAATAATAAATGGAATATTTTAAGAATCCTCCACGGTTCACTTTGTATTAAATCGCCGGTGAATTTGCCTCATCAGAAAGAGAAAATTGAATTTATCTCAAATCCACCTTTCCCGGAATTTTCCCTCATACTCGCCTTCTTTTCATGTATAATAAGAGATGGGAGATGGATGAGAGAAGCATGAAAATCTTCAATTTCAGCGCAATTTCGAGAGTGGGAAAATCACACACTTTTTGTCAGCATTGAGTATATCGTCGCTCAATATATTACATTGTTCCCTCGTAAGGAAGGAATGATTGTGACAATAATAGCATTGAATCATATAAGTCTAGCGTTCTCACAATAAGAAACCATTATTGAATTAATATGATATCCACTTATGCGAAAAATGAAAACAATCATACCAGAATTTTTTCGTCGTTACAAACGTAGCATTTCTGACAATAATTTCTGTATAATATCTTGGGGAGAAAAATTGATCGAGATTTCATGGTCCTTTGTATTACTAGAGAAGAGAGGAAAAGGTGAGAAATGGACCATAAAATTCACGTACAACTTACCACTTATCGACAAAATACAAATACAATTGGAAATAAGTTGGATCTGAGTGGAATATAAATTCGATTCAAGTCTGTGATTTCTTCAGCTTAGAAGATGTGACAAAAGAAAATCTCTTATAGTTGTATAACTAAAATATATACAGCTGTAGTGAATTTCTATTCACTCCTTCACAGCAATGGAGTAAGAAAAGTTCTGCGCAAAATATACGGCGGAAGTGGATTAAAATTCTTTATTGATACTATTGCTTCATATTTCACTGGTAATGCAATATATCACTGAGATTAATTTACAATTGAAAGTATCTGACATCACTTGATAAATTTTACTCCGAATTGATAACCAAGACTTTTGACTAAAAGAAGTGGTACAAACTCTCCCATATGAAAGAATACTTCAAAAGTGATGAAGAAATTACAGATTGCAAATGATTCAAAAATACTTATTTTTGATGAAGAGCAATAAAATATAACAAAACGAACGTTATAACAACATTTTGAATGTCATTTGCGCCAATTTCTACTTTAAAGTCCATTATATGAAAATATTTATACAGAAAGAGCATACGAACATTCGGAATTGCGAAAAATATTCTTTTCACAGCTCCAAGAATAAGACTTTTTGCTGAATTCACCCCACATGAATCCTTCTTCCTTCGCGCTCATGAACATTACTCGACTCCCGTGTTGGCAGCATTATTGAATATTTGATATATGGAAGAAATTTCCAGGGTAAAATTTTCTTTTTGCCTTTTCTATAAACTTCACATTATATATGGCCTATGGTGAGTTGCCGCGCAAGGGGAAAGAAATATTGGTGTATATTTAAATAAGAAGAGTGTGTCGTGCTCTGAAATCATGGTTTACATGTACGACAAAGTCATTGAACAAATATTTAATATCCCTGCAAGCCATAGACTAGGAGAGTGAATTCAAAATGAGCCACGGTGAAAGTTTAATATTCAAACATTCAAGTCAACTCTCTGTTATACTTAAATCTTCTAAATTTCTTTGTTAAAAAATATCCAATACCACCATTATCTACAGAATATATTTACTCATTTAAACCAATTAATTTGGCAATAATGAGTTCCTTGATCTGAGAAGTCTTCAATTTCCTACAGGAATTTTCTCACATTTTCACATTTACACAAGTATATTCTCATTCTCTTCTCCTAATGATTGATTTGTGAAACATGATATAAATACATTTTCTCACATTCAGACAGGAAACAATGGCAAGGGGAAGGAAAACTTTCAAACTCAAACATTGCATGTGAATTTGTGCGAACTTGAGGGGGTGGAAAGAAAGGAAAATTTCACTTTAACATGAAAACACACTAATGACACCTCCCATTTCACTCCCGTCCATTCAGATATTCCTCAAATGGGAGAATGGCAAAGGAAAGGGATGAAAAGTCTAATATTCTGCACACTGTAGATATTGATATTCTGTATGTACATGTGAATGTTATATATAGCAAAGATGTACTGGAAATTGAAAACGTGATTATAGCGCCTTTTTCTTTTTCCTTTCATTTCCCTCCTTATTGCAATATTAATAATACTCTCTCCTCCTTGTGGTTTATTCATATTTCTTATGCGCCTTGTCCCACTCTTCATAATTTCGCCATTTCACCTTGCACCCTCTTGTACTGCACATACATATATTCCAATTTAATGCACAATTTGCATGCTAGATCCTTTTCAGAACACCGTACTTCAACCCTACGTCCAATTAGGCACGACAAATGCAATTGACGCCAGAGACGATATATTCACGGCTCAGCCGCGATTGTCAGGAATGGCTGAGAGAGAGAGAGAAAGAGTACTCTGTAGAATCAACAAAGCAAATTTTAAATGAACGCACAGCACAGAACAATTGATATTAAATCCCTCCATCCAAAATGGGAGTGAATGTGCAAAATGAAGAAATGCGAGAATATCATGACTGGGTGGTTTTCTCACCTCCAACGCCAAATGCTGAGTGGTGTCACTTAATTCTTGATTACATCTCACCCTTCACGCCCGCTTTTTTCCACCCCGCGTGCAAACAGTCACACAAATTGCGAGGAAGGCAATTTAAAATTTTCGTGTGCGAAGGAAGAATATCATTTTGCTCCGTCACCTCAATAGAAGCACACTTCCACCACTTGAGGTGTGGAGAGGAGAAACCTATCTTGCCAAGCATCTCACCGGGAAGTGTGAAGAGTTTAGCAGCAGTCCTCTCACTTGACTTTCTGAGGTCGCGAGGAAGAGCCTGAGGAATGGCTAAATGAAGGAAATATATGAAAGTGGGAAAAATTATTTCACACCGTCACGAAATGGCAATGAATTTTTTTTTCGCCTTAATGCCCAGAATGTCGTTTGCAATTTCACTCTCTCACTCCGCACCCCTTCTAAAGCCCTGAAACCATCCCATTCACAATCGCTGAACACACTATCAAAACAATTTACTTGCAATTTCCTGAGTCTGCCCCCGAGTTCCAACGTCAAATCCATCACGAAGTTGATCAATATTCAAGGTCCTCTGTCTGCGTAGTCGATTTTGCATATATAGTGCAAGGATGAAAGGCTCAAACTCGTGGGTGTTTCAATGCGAGAATATTCACTCAACTAACAATCATTCTCGCGAGATTCAACACACTTTTCACAGAGCCACAATTTGCCCTTATCATCATTTCATATTCACTCTTGTTTGCTTGTTGAATTAACAACAAAAAAAAGATACGAATTTGAACTTTTGTAGAGGGTTAAAATATGTACATTATTCAATTGATTCTAAGCTACTCGCTTGTCATGTACAGAAAGTGAGGAGTAATTCAACTGACATAATCACCCCCGTATATCCTCGGCATACTTTCTGCCCACTCCCCGCCTTTTAAATTACAAAGCTCTCCAATAAGGAAAATTCTCTCGGGGCTTATGTAGCGTCCAGAGAGGGTAGAAACTAAGTAGAGCACTGCATCATAAATGAGAAAGTTAATTCACTTACTCTTCAACTCATCTTCACACGTAGCGAACAGAGGCAAAATAGAATATCATAAGTAATAGATAGATGTGGGGAAAAGCTCCATTGAGAATATATTCTTTATTCAATAAATGTGCCAATATACAGTCACTGTATAATAGAAGCGCGATTGTAAGAGGAAAATGAATATCTATTTTTGTTCTCTCTCTCTTTCTCTAAAACACTACAATGATGAACATGTGCTGAATGTGACGAGTGTAACCATCAGCAAGTCACCGGTTGGAATGAGGCAGAGGAGAAAAAAAATGTGAGACCATATAAACAAATAGATATAAAGTGAATTTATATTGTAAGATTGCATTGAATTTTTCGTGTTACATCCTTCCACTTTGACCTTTCTCATTACCACACGACGAGTCTCTTGAGCAAGAAGCCCACGAGAAAGTTATACTGTGTGTATTATGCCTTCCCCCATATCCATTTCCCACCCAGTAAAGTATTCAAGGAGGATATACGAGGCAAATAAAAAAAGTATCCATCATGAAACTCCAATTTGATCCTGTGCCAAAAAAATAAATTCCCAAGGAAACACATTTGTCGTCCTTCTCGAGAGTGAGAGGCAGAACACAAGAGAAATTCTCTTCAAGGTTAGACGTGGCTCTTGGACAGACATTCTGACGCTCCACTCTTGTAATAAATTGCCTGTGCAGACGAAGAAAACCATATCTAGCAAATTATATTGAGTAGTAATTTCGCCAGTAATTTGCAAACACACGCCTCAAAAGCCACAAACACTAAACCACACACATTTTGCAATAAGATATTAGGAGATTTGCCTTACACATGCGGGATATCGATTTATATCTGATAATGTACATTGATCTCTCTTTCGCAATTCACCTGCGTCACAACAATCCCTTATCAATCAAATTTCTTCTCGGCTATTGCGAGAGCGACGAGAAAACCCGTGACAAATTTGCGAAAACGAGAGGCTGACGAAATACAAATCAATTAAACAGCTGATAACTTCATGATATCACGATAGGGAGTTTATTATGAAATTTGCCAAAATTCAAGAACCTGTCAAGAAAGAGTATAAAACACCATCAAGTTGAATTGTTTGGTAGTGTATCACGCAAACCATAACCATGAAGTGCTTTACGGCCTTACTTTTCGTGGCCATTGCCACTGGTACTTTGGCTGATTTTTTTACAACTGTCCGGATTGGCGAAAGACAACTTGGAGAGCAATTGTTGGGGTTTGCCACCAACTCTTCTCTGACCACCACTGATCTTGATGAACATGAAGTTACTATTTTTCTCAATGCACCACCAAATTCCGTAATCACCTATATTCACATTAATATCTTCCCAGTAAGTAATTGGAATTTTCTTTATGAGAGATCTTTCGCCAATTAATCCTATTCCATTTTCAGAGATGGACCTCTTTTAGTTATCCAGTCCCAATTCTGTACAATGCTAACATTATTATTCAAAATCGTAATACAACACACTTGAGTGCTAATGCTTACTATTACGGTTTCCCTCCTGGATCCAAACAAGCCGAAGCTGCCAAGGGGAAGATCGTGGAAGTTCCGGTTCGAAAGGAATTTATTAATCCTGATGTATAAAAGGAATTTGATAGAGTATGTCTAAATCCTTCTGACAATCTTTAAATATATAATTGCATTCTAAAAGTGTATTTTTGATTTAAAAAAAATATTTTGGACTTATGAATCGTGACTCTTATATATAGACACAAAATTACGACGAAAAAATCTTTCGCAATTTTTTCTTTTATTAGTACATTGTATCTGATAACATTTGAGATAATTTACAATTTCAATTTGATAACAAGTTCGATTTTATGGTACCCAATCTCTAACATGGAAGAGTTTCTCTCAAAATATCAGATAATAAATGGGGTATATAACCCACTTTAAAGACTCTACAACCAGTTTATTTTACAATATTCAACGATGAAGTGTACATACATTGTGGTCCTCTTGCTAGTGGCCCTTACAAAGGGTGCTCTAATAGACTTTGAAGTCTTTACTATTGGCAATCGAGAGGCTGGAGAGCAATTACTGGGCTTTGTCACCAATTCGTCCCAATCCACAACCGAGGAAGATTCTCATAGTGTGACCTTATTCTTGAACGCTCCACCTGGATCACGAATTACTTTCGTCCACATGAATATATTTCCGGTAAATCTCTATAAATTAACACTATTCCGTCTGCAGAAATGCACATATAATTCATACTCTTTCAGACTTGGCATGTTATATCCCATCCAACGGCTCTTCCTCCAGATTCCGACATTATAGTTCACAATTTTCTTACGACACATTTGAGTGCAAATGCCTACTATTACGGCTTTCTTCCCGAGTCACCAGAAGCACAAGCCATGGAAGAATTACCCCGCAATAAGGATCGTAAAACAATTTTGAACGACAAATATTGATCGAGTTGTCAAGACAATTAAACAAGTTATATTATAAAACAGAATCAAGGCAGCATAATCCTTTATAAAGGCAAAATGTTGTGATAAAAAGCGCGAAAAGGTTTTAGAAGTATGAGTAATTTCATTGATTGGCAAATTCATCACTCTATGTCACCAAAAATAGGTGATTGAGATAAAAACTCAAGCTAGAGATTAAATAAATAGGTGTTTTTTTCTGGAATTGACTCAGTGTGGTGTTATTCTTTGAAGACAGCTCCTCTAGGTGTTTCTTAGCTCCTTGCAAAATGCAGTGTTTTGTGGCATTAGCAGTTATTCTTTTCTTTGGATCAGTCGTGGCTCAAGTTCCATTCATAATCGGAGAGGCCGAACCTGGACAGGAACTATTAGGATATGAATTTTCTTCGACACCAGTGACAGCGTCTGAGCAGCCACATGAAGTCATTCTCTGGTTCAATGCCACCGAAGGCACACGGATCACCCATATTCAAGGCGATGCTAATCCAGTGAGTGTATTTATAGCATTCTTTCGTGAACATACAAGAATGTACAGTGTTGATTGTTTTTGCAGTCTTGGACATTTGTCGAATGGCCTGCACTTATGCGAAACTCGGTGAAAATTACAATTGGACACAACCACACAACCTTCATGTGGGCTCAAATGTTTGTTTCCGGATTTCCAGCGACTCCTTAATTAAATAAAGGTGTGTGCTTAGTGCAAAAATCACTCACCTCTGGAATATCATCTGGCACCTTTCCCATCCATGACAGTGAGAGAATTGAACAGTCGCACTTGGTGTTGATGCACCTCTCAAAATGCAGATGCATTTTCTTCAAATAATAAACCACTCACACTCCACTCACGAACCCTCCGAGATTATTAATAGAATCGTATCAATTTCCGCAGAGTCGTTATATTGTGTGGCTGTTGATAGAACAGAAAAAAATCAATCAATTTATGGTCTGGCCTCTGTATTGGCTCTCAATTCATTCTCATTTTCGTCCCTCTCTCTCTCACAACTCTTGTACACACTCAGCGTCATTTCATTTCAATTATCCCTAACTAAATGGTATCAATTTCGAACGCTGACAGAATCAAGGATAGAATTGCAAGATACTTGACCGGAGGCGCACTCTTAAATTGAAAAGAATAATAATGTCATCGAAAAGGAGTTCCACATTCTCTATGAAGGCATCTCTCAGTGAAATAAGCATAGAGACACTCATGATGTTCTCAATGTTTTATCGATTATTGCAGTGGAGCTGTGATAAAATTAGAAATATCTACAAAACAGGAATAAATTGTAACGAAACAAACTTTCATGCTCTTGTCTCACGTCGCCGCCACTCGATCGGGTGGCTTCTAGCGAGGCCGCGGGGCCAAATAGACCAGAAGGGGTGGCAACAAGAAAATGCTGGCAATTTAAATTGGAAGGCGGAAGGGAAAAAACTTCATTAAAATTGCATGATTCGCCGTCTACAGTGTCTCCATCCGGAATCGATCGGTTTGCGAGGCAAAAGCCAATGGGATTTGCAATGGCTTCAGTTACTTCTTGGCATCTCTTCCAGGACAATTTGGCAAGTAATTTCGTCCTCGATGGATGCCCCTCAATTAGTGAGTATCTCGGAATTTTATAGTGTGGAAAATACCATCGAAATGGGGCCACTTGTTGATGCTGCTGGCCAGTTTCTAGTCGGTAGAAGTTGCCAAAAACTGCGTGGGAGTCGTGGGAAGTCTAGGATCCTTGACACACACACAATCTTGCTTGGAGACCTTCTCCGGACAGTCGAACGAGGCAGTGCACGATTTGGCCTTGTTCCCGATTGAATGACGCGCGAAATGGGGTGCTCTCGGGATGGCTATCGCGATGGGGGCGCCTGGTGCACACCTCCGAGAATCCTCCCTCTGTTAGCCTTTGTACACGAAAGCGCCACTATTTTGCACATCGCAATCCATTGGGGAGCTCTTTTTCACATGATATTCGCCGAAATTGCGCTGAATTGTAAGAGTTGAGAGAGATGAGGAAGAGAGGCACACCGCAATTCCCAATCATGGGCCAGTGAAACTAAAAATACACTGCACTCCGACTCTCACATCTCTCGACGACGCACCGACACGGACTGCGCGTCGAGGCGTGATTCTGCGAGGGACGGAGCAATGAATGGGGCGGAGGGCGTCCGGAGGCGAGAAGAAAAAAAGTTCAACTCACGTTTCTAACGGACTTTTCACACTATTTCCAACATTTTCACACACTGTACAGACACACAGTCACTCCCTGCATCATTCTGGGCAATTTAGCGTGGCAAAAACTGCAGTATGCACTCTTTTTTCACGGAAAATACCCAAAACCTCCCTTTCGCGAAGGGCAGCTCGAAACGTCAAAGCATCCAAGCCACCCCGCGTCGACTGGGGCGAACTCACCACACCCCAAATTCACCACTCATTCGCCGCGATTTCGCCATGAGGTGACGTGCCCCTGGGGCCAATATAAACACAGCGTTATAGCTTTCTTGCCCGCTTTTCCACCTTATTTATCTAACAATTTTCTTTGTTCATAGAAGCAACAGTGAGTTGAGATGGTAGTGCACGTCTCCCACCATCAATTAAAGTGCACTGTCGTGTAATTAGCTGAGCAAAAGTCACTGCTGTTACAGTTGCTGATATTCTGGAGAAAATCTTTCTAAAGTTGCAGATTTGTCTTGCTATTTAGCATTTAGACACCGTAATACAGGTAAGATAAGTACAATTGATACGATTAGTCGAACTTTGTGCCCACTTTAGGCAGATAAGAAAGCTTTGGGTGTGTTATCTTGCTTTTTTCTCTCTAGGTTCCCCGGACTTTTGGAGGGCATCGAAATGGATCTTGTGAGAGACACGGGAAAACTTGTGGCCGATCGTGTGAATTTTGCTTTGCAGAGCAGAGAACCATGGCAAATTGTTGTGATTACAACCACCACAGTGCTGAGTGGAGTCTGGTTGTACGAGTTCTTCAGCCAGGAGGAGGGAATTGTGAGCCGTTCTAAGAAGCATTTCTTCAAGATGGCCAGAAAGTTGCCATTTGTTAAGGCTCAAATCACGGAGGAACTCAACAAGCGTGCCAAAGAATTCGAGGACAGCGCCATAAAACAGTCCGAGGGACTGTCCTACATCACCCACATGCCCGAGATGGGGTTCAGTGACCAAGAAATTCTCAGCCTTGTGGACTCTCACTTGCAACTGGGCCACTACAAGTGGAAGGAGGGCAGAGTATCCGGCGCGGTGTACTACTTCGATCCCGCTCTTGTCTCGCTCACGCAGACTGTGTACGGCCGAGCGAGCTACACGAATCCACTGCACGCTGACATCTTCCCAGGAGTGTGCAAGATGGAAGCTGAAGTGGTCCGGATGACAGCAAACTTGTTCCACGGTGGTCCTGAGTCGTGTGGCACGATGACCACGGGTGGTACGGAGTCCCTGATCATGGCATGCAAAGCGTACAGGGATTATGCAAGGGAGGAAAAGGGCATTTCCCAGCCAAACATCGTGATGCCTGTGACGGCGCACTCGGGATTCGACAAGGCGGCGCAGTACCTCAAGTTGCACGTCAAGACGGTGCCACTGGATCGCTCCACCATGGCTGTGAATATCCAGAAGATGGAGGCAGCCATCACAAGCAACACCATCATGCTCGTGGGCTCAGCTCCCAACTATCCCTACGGAACAATGGACGATATCGAAGCAATCGCGAGGCTAGGCATGAAATACAACATTCCTGTGCATGTGGACGCTTGTCTGGGTGGTTTTGTGATCATCTTCATGAAGCGTGCTGGCTATCCATTGCCACCGTTTGACTTCCGCGTTAAGGGAGTGACCAGCATTTCGGCAGATACACACAAATACGGATTCGCTCCGAAGGGATCATCTGTGATTCTCTACTCGGAGAAAAAGTACCGTCGCCATCAGTTCACTGTGACCACAGACTGGCCGGGTGGTGTTTATGGATCGCCCAGCGTGAATGGATCTCGCGCTGGTGGCGTGATTGCCGCCACTTGGGCCACGTTGGTGAGATTCGGTCTGGATGGCTACACTGAGGCAACTAAGAGAATTGTGGACACTGCCAAGTATATTGAGCGTGGCTTGCGAACAATGGAAGGCATTTATGTTTATGGACAGCCAGCAACATCCGTGATTGCCTTTGGTTCGCACGTCTTTGACATTTATCGCTTGTCGGATGCCCTCAGCAAGCTGGGTTGGAACCTGAACAATCTGCAGTTCCCACCAGGAGTGCACATTTGCGTCACCTTTATGCACACACGTGAGGGAGTGGCAGATAAATTCCTGCAAGACATGCGGGAGCAACTCGTGGAGATCCTCAAAGATCCTGGGCGACCGGTTGAGGGTAAGATGGCCATTTACGGTGTGGCCCAGAGTCTCCCGGATCGATCTCTCGTGGGTGACTTCACGAGACTCTGGCTGGACGCGATGTACTACACACCGCCTGAGGAACGGAAGAATGGCTCGCTGGAAGGCAAATAGTTTATGGTGAGCTTTCTCTAGTAATACATCAGTCTTGGCCATTTTTTAAACAATATTTTTTATATCAAACAGGATATTTCTGGCGGCAGTTTGCATTTTTTTTACTGAGCTGAGATTTTGTTATCCGACAAATGCCATGAGATGCTCCTTACTGATACAACAGGCGAGCTTGTCGAATAAAATCTAGTCTTGAATGGCACATCATCAATGTAGATAAGAAGTGTTTTTTACACCGACGTTGTTTTGCGAGGCTATTTAATTAACTGGAGACAGAACGACGCGTGATCACGATCCTGATTGGATTCTATTGATTGCTAAGAACGTCACGCATTTGTGCACTTTACTCGAAAGTACCTCATCCTAAACAGTTGGTTTTTGAGAGTGGAAATCGGGGAGAAAGGATGGAAAAATTTGGGGATTTGCTCCACCTGAACTGGATTTACTGAAGAAAAAGGTGGTCTTTGTGTCTGAGATTGTGATGAATGAGTGTCATTAATTAAAGACTGATAAGGATACCTTGTCGAGATGGGGTGATAAGGGAGTGAGATTGGGTATAAAAGTCCAGGAAGACTTGGTGAGAGTGTTTAGTGTGTTCAGTGAATATGCTAAAGTTGGTATTTGTCGCTCTGAGTCTCGCGGCTCTTGTCTGGGCAAAGCCCATGACCAAGGATGTGTCTCTCAATGTGCGTTTCTCTCACGTCAGTGGTATTCTAGCATAGATTTATTGATTACTGGGTTATTGCAGGATCGTCCAATAATCCATACGAGCACAGGATGGCTTCAGGGCACCACGGAGTCGTGTGGTCTCTTCTGCAGCTACTACAGCTTCAGAGGAATTCCCTATGCCGCCCCGCCAACTGGACAGAACCGCTTTAGAGCACCACAGCCACATCCTGGATGGTCTGGTACGAGAGATGCCTCTGAGCACGGCGCCAGTTGTCCCTCGGGATCCCGTCTGAGTCGCACCATCAGCGAAGATTGCCTGTTCCTCAACGTGAGTCAATCTGAAATTCTGGGAATGCTGAGACTAAATTAAAATGCCTTCCATAGATTTACTCACAAAATCTCGTGGGACGTCAAGCTGTCATGGTGTGGATTCACGGAGGCTCCTTCAGCGGTGGAAATGGAGATTCCTTCACCTACGGTCCTGACCACATTGTCGATGACAACGTTGTGATGGTGACCATCAATTACCGTTTGGGAGCTCTTGGATTCCTCAGCACTGGTGATCAGGAGTCCACTGGCAACTTTGGCCTCAAGGACGCTATCATGGCTCTCAGATGGCTCAGGGACAACATTGCTCACTTCGGTGGAGATCCGGACAACATCACAATCTTCGGAGAAAGTGCCGGAGGCGCAGCTGTGCACTGTGAGTGATTCGACAAGGTTCAACGGTTAATCCGCGGAACGATGAACTGATAAGATAACACTTCCTCATTGTAGATCTCCTGCTGTCCCCGAGTGCGCGTGGATTGTTCCACAAGGCCATCTCCCAGAGTGGATCAGCACTGAATCCATGGGCCTTCCAGCCAAATATGAGTGATTGTGGTGAAATTATCCTTAATAACTTCAGCTCATGACATCCTTTGTCTCCCCCAGCCTCGTGATGTGGCTTTCGAGCTTGGCCGAAATTTGGGTCTCGCCAACATCCAAACCACTGCTCAGCTGATCAGCGCTCTCAGGAATGTGGATCCCATGCGAATTGTCGAGGCAACACCCGGATCGATGGAGTTTGTGAGTATTCAAATTGAATATCTTGACCAAAAGGCTTTTTTCATCGCCATGTTCTTATAGGAAATTCCTCGTGGAATCACACCAATCCCCTTCGTGCCCTGCATTGATCCTCCAGGTACCACTGGAAATGAGGTGTTCTTGCCACGAGCTCCCATTGACATCATGCGGGACAGGAGCTTCAACCAAGTGCCGTACATCACGGGATACACGAGTGCCGAGAGTTTGGTGATGATCCGCGAATTGCTGCTGGATCCCAGTGTCTTCCCCACCATCAACGCGAGTCCTCACCTGAAAGTGCCTTTCTGGTGGAATGTGGCTCCCGGCAGTGCGGCCGCCCAATCGATTGCCAACCAAGTGGCTGACTTCTACTGGGGTGGAGGACCTCTCCACAATGACATCAGGGAGCAGTGGACGCACTATCTCTCCGACCTGATGTTCCTCTGGGGCATCGATCAGACAGCTCGGCTTCACGCCAATGGCCAGACTGAGCCAGTTTACTACTATCGCTTCAGCTTCGACGGCAGCCTTAATCTCATCAAGAGAATGATGCTTCTCACCGCATACCCAGGCGCTGTGCATGCTGATGACATTTTCTATCTCTTCTCCGTCACCAGCGTTCCACCGCCACTCCTGCCCACAAATGAGGCCATCATGACGCGCCGACGAATGGTGAGACTTTGGACCAACTTTGCTCGCTTCGGTAATCCCACGGCCAATCAAGACGTTATTATTCGGGTCAACTGGTCGCGCGTGTTGGGCAGTCAGGAGTTCCTCGACATTGACACAGAACTTGCCTTCGGTCGCAATCCCTTCCAGGAAAGAATGGCCTTCTGGAATCGTCTGGAGGGTCAATATGCATAAGCTTCTCAATAAAGACTTTGAGGAGGAATTCTGTATGTGTGTGACTCTCATTCGCTCGACGCAATTCACGAAATACTAATTGCAGGGTGAAATGGTAACCACAAACTGCACAGGATGCTCATTTCAACCATTTCCCCAGCAACAGAATCTAATAATTGGAAATTTCGTCTCTAATTTGGTCAATTGACGATCAAATAAATCAAACATGAATTGTTTCTCGTCCCGCCACTGGTGCACGTGGAAAAACTCCTGTGTGCCATGCTCTTGTGAATATTGTGCTAATTACAGTAATTGAAAATGTGGGTATGCGCGTTTCCCGCCAGAATTTCCACATTTATCATAGAATACATGGTAATTTGGCGGTAATTTGCTTGCCCGCCCAAAATTCTGTGCGTCATTTTTCACGCTTTTCTCCTCGTTTTTCTCCACTGCAAAGAGCCCCAAAAAGTGATCAGTTTGACGTTGGACGTGGAGAAATGAAAATTCAGAGGGATGTTAAGTGCTTCTGGAGAGCAGTGAAATTGACTTGGCAACAATTCTGCGATAGAACATTCATTCACGGTATTCGCTACATTGAGGATTCAGAAGGCAATTTTTATACTCACGTGATGTGGCTTATAGTCACATCCACGTCGCTTATTCTGGCTATAATGCTCGTGAACACCTTCTGGGAAGAGTACAAGACAAATCCCACGAGGATGAATGTCGAGAGTGTTAATGTTCCCATATCAGAATTGGACTTTCCCGCGGTCACCTTCTGCAATGTGAACAGGATTATCATAGAGCGAACGGAAGAGTTTGCAGAGAGCTTGTAAGATTACTGAAACCATCCAAGAATCATCTGAATTACTACAATTTTTTCCTCCAGAATCGTCCCATCGAGTCTTGGTGAAATATCTTCTAAGCAGATTAGTCAGTGGCTTAAGAACATCATCGGCTTCTCTGACTACATCAGTGATGTAAATCCCGATCATTTGGCGACTCTGCAGGATATTCTCAATGCCAATAATGTCTCCATCGCCACCACTATGCGCCTGGTGCAGCAATCCTGCTCATCACTGCTTGTCCGATGTCGCTGGGAGGGAAAAATCGTCAATTGCTCCAGCATCTTCAGTCCCTTGCCCACCTTCCGTGGTTTTTGCTGCTCCTTCAATGCCCTCGCCTCCTTGGGCATTGCGGTGGCGCAACGGACAAATCACTTTGGAATCGGGAGTGGTCTGTCCGTTGTCTTGGCGCCCTCCTTAGAGAACACCACAGTGAGTGGCGCCTACACGAAAGGCGTTCGCGTGTTGATCAACGAACCGGCGGCGTATCCTGGCGACAGGAGCATCGAGAAGATCTATCCGCTGGGAATGGAAAACCTCGTGCGGGTTTCCGGAGAACAGACAAATTGCTCAGACATGGTCAGAAATCTGCCCATAACCGATCGAAAGTGCTACTTTCCCACGGATTTCCGACTCAAATTCTTCAGCAATTACAGAGAGAATAATTGCGATATTGAGTGCAGAATTGATGAAACCCTGAATTATTGCCAATGCGTGCCATTCTTCTTTCCTAATCCCCAAAATCTCGATGTCTGCAATGTTACACGGATTCCCTGTCTGGTTGATAATTATGGTGAATTTGGAACAATTGTATTGTCTATTGTTTTGAAATAATTGTCTGTCCTTGTAGATCTCATCAATCGGCAAAGTACCAACGGTACTGAGCCGTTTTGTGATTGTCTGTCCAATTGCAATGGCATTTACTACGATGTTCGCTCCAACAGTGCTTTTCTCTCCAAATATCCGTACTCGACATCACCGCTTTAGTGAGTATCTTTTTAGATATCCATGAATATGCATGATTTCCTTTACAGTCTCGTGAGAGTAGTTATAAGAAGTTAATTGTGTAAATTTAAGCGCATCATCTTAAAGATTTGTCAAGTATTCTACTTATGTGTGGCGAAAAAACCCTCTGTGGAAAAATACGTCCATAAATTCCCAAACAATCCCATCTGGATGGTAAGTTTATCAAGTTTTGGGGTCGTCCCCACCCAAACGTATCCGCAGAGGTGACGCGCGGTATAAGAAATCTCGAGGGAGATTGAGGTGGTGGAAAATTGAAAATTCCATGAGACGAGCTTCGGTGCGAATTTGAGATTCTCATCAATATGCAATCACACCTTCATGAAAGCACAATCTCACGCTCTGTCAGACGCCCAGACCAAGATAGACCATGGATAATGAATGCGGGAGATGAATTAAATATTTATCGGACATTTCGCAGCAAGGACCTGAACGTGAGCACTCACATGATCGTCCATGTGTTCTTCGGATCGCACGATTTTATGAAACTGAGACGCGATTTGCTGTCTGACGTTGTCGTCCTCATCGGTGAGTGACACGCCTGGAATTGGTCCTCATTCCGCATTAAATATTCATTCCACCCTTCCCTCTCACTTCTCTTTCTCTCTCTCTCTCTCTTTCTCACTGTCCCGCCAGCAAATCTCGGTGGGGTGTTCAATCTTTTCCTGGGCATCAGTATCCTCACGATGCTGGAAGTGCCCTACTTCGCCACGGTGAGACTCTATGCCAACTATCGTCACCTCGAGGAGGAGCTGAGGAAGCGAGAGCTCTTCGTGAAGCGCCTCCACGTGCAGGCACTTCAGATGAAGATGCGAGCCACTCTTATGCACCACAAATAATTGATTAACATTCCTTTATTTGATCCACTTGCGCTGGCTCTTGCAAGCAGCAACACTCTTCTGTCTACACACGCCTTCGTCATAGAGAGCTTTCAGCTAACCTCATGTGTGTGTGTGTGTCCGGTAAATTTAATAAACTGCGAAAATCTTCCCTTTCTCATCCATCATGTTTAGGGAATGTGGTTTTGTCTATATAGTGATTTTTTCCTCCCCTTTCTCTCTTTATCTACAGTAAGAAATTTGATTTAAATCGCATTTAAATGCCACTTGTTTCTTCCTCAGATTTTTTTTCTTGCATTTCTTTTGCAGCATTGCTATTGTCTTCTTTTTTTTGTTTGTTCATGGCTTATACATTAAAGTGTTTTTTTTTCTCCATCATTTTGTCCTAACAAATATTTATTCTCTCCTTTCTCATCTGTTAAATGCTACAAGGAGAAAATGTTCTCATATTGGCAAAAAAAATGATTAAGATGATAGATTTTCTTCATTTTTCTAAAGACATTTCATACGATTTCCTTTTATTCACGTGCGAGATTGATGACTCCTAAGTATCATTTGGGATGGTCTCACATCAGCCATCAAGTAACTTCTCTTCACTATCAGCATGCACATTATGAGCTGATTTATGGCATTCTTAATTGCATATTTCACGCACTTGCTGTAAAATGTCCACTCATTTCAAGTCTTATATAAAAATATATTGTAATTGTACGTCTAAGATGAAATGATATGTTAATGAGAAAACGTTATTGTATTTGATCAGAGAAACAAATCATCCTCTGGAAGTATATCAAAGCGACTCTTGCTCAACAGTTGCACAATATAATGATTCTCAATCTATATGTATATTTACAATCACATCCATTTGATGTGCCACTTAATTGTCTTCTTTGTCTCAATGAACAGCACATATTCTATTGATGTCAAATTTCAATCTTCTGCAATTTCCCCATTAATTTGGGGCTCATTTAGGTGTGGAGAAATTGCAGGAGAATATTTTCTAAAATTATATCAGATCTTTTCAATTTCCACGAAGAATTCTCTGTCATTGCGGGAAATCGTCTCAGAAATGGAAAAAGGTCGCTAAACTATTATATACACTTTACGAATTTCACATTAAATATCGCATCATACATTTTAGTGAATAGTATTGAAAATGTTCCACTCACAAGTACAATATAGTTATTTTCTCACTTAGTAAAAGTGCACAAAGCAGCCGCTCTTTGGTAGTAAAGAATGTACACTATATATGTATAAGTTTCAGATGTCTCTCACGATATTGCATGAGTTTCAAATGACTAGCTTGCGACTTGCGCTACATTGAGTTACAGATACTATAGTATGCACTAAGAATTTATACGTTTTTCTACCTCTCCTTATTCTCCTCGTCCCTTTCCTTTTCCTAATTATGATAAGAGTGTCTACAAAAATGACCTAAGCGATATTTCCATAATAATGTCAAATATTTCATTAGCTACAAATATTGATAAAATCCTAATTAATTATTGTCTATCAATATGAATTTTCTCTCCTTTCCTCTTTTTTCTCTCTCTCTCTGTCTGTCTTTCGAAAATCCTCCTCATGGAGTTCACTCCAATGTGATAAGCAGTGATGTAAGAAAGGGGGAAAAGGATAAAGCGGGAAGTTTCTCTGAAAGCAAAGATGAATTTAGAGTTGCATGAGACTAAGCGAGGGGAATTGCAGTATTGCCGTTCGAATAGAGAGTCATAGAGGTGAAAAGCGAAAGCGGGGAAGAAAGCTTAGGTCATGTGGAAGTCTCCCTTGAGGATTCGCGTGAAGGTCTTCTTGAACTGCTGATTGGCCAGGGCGTAGCAGAAGGGGTTCATGGGACTGTTGGCGTAGCAGAGGAAGTACGAGAACATGTACAGGTGCTCATTGGTGCACGGTGGGGATTTGCAGAAGCCCTCGACGAGCGCCAGCACATGATAGGGTGTCCAGCAGGCCACGAAGGCGCCCAGAATGAAGGAGATTGTGCGAAAGGCCTTGCGCGCTCGGTTCTCCGACTTGGACTTCTGCCGACCGGCTCCGGGGCCGCCGGGGGACTTCTTCTTGCCCTTGAGGCGCTTGCCGATGGAGCGGATGAAGTCCCCGCGGCGTTTGGAGTCGGAAGACGGTGGCTCGGGCGCCGCCGAGACACTGGGCGTCGCCGCGTCCGTGGAGGACTTCGTTGACTCAGCCTTCTGGGCGTCGATCTGGCACGCCGCGGCGTCCTGGACGATGGACGTGACCGGCTTCTGGTCGGGCCGGTCCACCGAGACGGCAGTGTGGTACTTGGCGTGATCGGTGGGCTGGAGCTGCGCCGTGGCACGAATGAGGGCTTTGTGGAGGAGGCTGGGATTGGCGGCACTTTGGTTGGCGGCCGGCGGGCGCGCCGGAACAGGTGGGAGACTAATTGACGTGGGTGGACTCTCGTTTGGCGGCGAGGGCACCACCACGGAACTCTCGTCCATGAAGCGGAGATCGGCACCGTCCATCCCTCCTAGAATATCATAAGTGAGGTTTGAGTCACCATGGCTACTTACGGTTAAGCTTCGCGGACGCGCCTTCACGGACGGGGGACTCTCAGACACGGGTGGACTACTCTGGAAGGCGTCCGGAGGTGGCAGGATGGGATGCGAGAGGCGCAGCCGGTGCTGCTCAGGTGGGATCTCAGGTGGGGCAATGTCCTGCGGGGAAATGGGTGACTGGACAATGGGAATGGGCTGGAGGGGCTCTTTCTGAAGCGTACTTTGTCCGGCTTGCTGGGTGTCGAGAAGGCTCGTCTCCTGAATTCGAGGCAAATTTGGCGTTAAAGGCGACGGTGTCTTCTTCGGGACGTCGGAAGTTTTCTGTCCGATGGCGCCATTGACCCGCGTGGCCAATACTGGAGCATGAACACCCACCATGAGACCGGCAATGGAGGAGCGCTTCCTCTCCTGCTGCACCTTCTTCGTGCGCTCCTGCTGTTGTTGCTGCTGTGCAGAGCTGTCGTCGTCCGAATCAAAGGCCGGACTGCTGGACCTCTCGCTCTTGTCACCCTCATTTGGCTCCTTTCCCTGGCGCTTCTCCTTCGGCTCCTTGGGCGCCTTCTTCGTGGGCTCCTCCCCAAAGTTTACCTGATTCGATGAGGAGGACGATGACTGCGGAACTGTGGATGTCTGCGTGACACTCGGTAGGGCCTTCGGCTTGTCCTGGCTCAAGAGTGTGCTCTGGGTCTTGGAGATGCCAATTCCAGCCGCTCTGCCCGCCATTCCCGTCATAGCGCCAGCACTGAGCGCTACCATGGACTGCATCTTTCGCTGCTTCGCCTCACTCTTCTTCTGCATTTCATATGCTGTCTTGTAAATGCCACCGTAAAGGACGAACAGCACAACCAGCGTGGTCCAGTAGTAGCCGATGATTAAGGCAGTGTTGAACACGGGATCCTTGAGGAACTGTACGGCACACTGACCTGGCAGCAAGTCGCGATAGCCTACAAAGTGCTCCCATCCGAAAATGGAGATGAAGAAGAGGAGCGCTGGAATGATCCATGTGATTGTCACCATCCAGATCACCTTCTGCTTCGTACGCCAGCTGCGATATTTGGCGGCGATCTTCACTGAGCAGAAGCGATCTATCGTGATCAGTAAGACGGTGTACTGAGACACGAGGCACACTGTGTAGTCCACGGAGAGCCACAGATCACAGAGCAGAGGACCAAGATCCCAGTAGCCCATCAGCACGTACACCGTGTAGAAGGGCATGGAGACGGTTCCTGCAGAGATGGAGATGTGCTATACTGTAAGCGAGGATTAGGGACGCCAACAGAAGGGACGACTCACCTATGAGCATGTCAGTGCAGGCGAGCGATGCGATGAAGTAGTTGCTGGGCTGTCGGATGCTGCGGTCCACCATGAAGGCGAGCAGCACCAGGGTGTTTCCGCCCACAGTGAGGATGATGCACAGCGCCAGGCAGATGGCGATGAAGATGGTCTGCCAGAGCTCGAAGGGCGCCAAGACAGGAACAGGCCCATTGGGCTTTGGTGTCGTCATAAGCTGTGTCGTTGCATTCCACAAACCCTCGTCGAACTGGCCATTGAGGCTGATGTTGAAGTAACTCCAGTCGATCATGCTGTCATTATTCGTCCAGGGATACAGATCTCCACCATCGTACATGGGCCGATACACCGGAAGACCGAGAAGGCGCTGACATGCTGGGAAATTGATGAAGCGCTTGTACAGAGCTCGACAGATTCTCTCCTGTTTTTTCTTCAGTTTCCTGCGAAAGGAAGAAAAATTTGTACGGTTCCATTCATTCCATTACAGATAGTTTTAGCGGACAACTTCTTTGGCAAATTCCAACAACAGAAACTTAGATCCTTTCCCCAATTCTGGAAAAAGACATGAGCGCATAGCATGACTCTTTTCTTTATTGTTTTAAAGTTCTTTTCTTATGTTGTTTCGCAAATTTCGCAATGTCTTTTCATTCTCGGTGTCTTACAAGCATGCTGAGCTTGGTGTGAGACATTCTTTTCTCCTTGAAATCCTGCTTTTGATTCTCTAGCGCCACAAGGCACAAGTCGAGATTCCGATTGAATTCTCTGTCTCCGCATCGTGTTGAATTATTTCTTCTATCCTCTCGCGGCACATGTCGGACGAATAATGGGAGTGCTGGAGGTATTACAAATGTGTGAAGTGCCATTCACACAATTCAAACATCTACGAATGTGGGGCATGGGTGGCGAGAAAGTGTGTGGCATCCACCAAAGTCCCACACTCGGCTACACATTCAGTCAAAATTGTGGTGTTGATCCGTGTCTTTTGTACCTTCGCGTGACGGATCCTTGAATTGTCTGATGGCACACAGAGCGGGATTCGCAGGACAGCAAAAGGGTGGCGATGAAATGTTCTGCTCTTCGCCGCCCAGAATCGCAGAGAAATGAAATATCAAAGTGTCGGACTTGATGTGCTCTTTTTTGCCACTTCATTACTGCTCCTCGATGGTTTCTCAGAGATTTCGTCACTCTTCTGCACGTCATGTTAATTTTACTTGACACCCTTTTTGTGCGCTCAGCATAAAAGGCGGGAACAATGGGCATGTCATTTTATATTCTCGGTCACAATCCGCGATTAGAGTTGCTTTCCAGTGTTTTAATCTCTCGCCACAGCTCACGATTGTACGGTGGAGGCGCCTGGTTAGAAAAGCTCACAAATTTGTTACGCAGAATGAGCGAGAGAGAGATCTATTTTGAATTCCTGGGAAGATTAATCGATAATTTTCTACCCCAATTCATTCAAAGTGACCCTCAGAACGGCATGAAATTTGTTAAAGATTTTAATTGGGAGCTAAAATACATTTTCCCGCCGAGGTATACGACGAGCAGAGGATTTCCGAGTGAGATGAAGAGTGAGAGTCTGTGGGAATAAATAAACGCCATTGCTCCAAAATTAAATTACACGACAAATTCAATGATGTGAATTTATGTTTGTTTGCCCAACTCGAAAAAGACACAGGCAACTTTTTCCCGGGTCCAAAAGAGCTGGAAAATAAATATTGTGTCATGCAGATAGCACATATCTGGAGCAATGAGCAGATGAAAGAGTCTGCGAGAGAATTGATTAGAAATGAATCCAGCGGAGTGTTTATTTCCACTGCCATCAACTTTCGCATTTTACCCCGTCCAAATAAAGCCTCTTTCGCGGACAAACTTTAAACAGACTCCTTTGGGGCCCACGAGGACAGGGTAAAGCGGCGGAGGAGCACATAAAAATAAACACGAAAATAATTTTATCGTGAAATTCAAGGGTGATTCAGCCTGACCAAAAACATGAGCATTTTGAAGGTGTAAAAAGCTCTTCACGGTGTCACTTTTAATGTCCCACGGCGGTCCGGAGGGTGGGAAGCGGTTGGTCCGTGAGATTTTATGGGGCCACAGCCTCGCGTAGAGCACATGATGGCTGAATCATTAAATATTAATAAATACTCTCTCATTCCAGTATTATTTTTTTACGATTAAATGATATCCCTTGATATCGTAGCGTCGATTTTAATGATCTCACCCACACCGGATGTCTTTTGATGTGGGCTCGCGGACAGTGCGAAAGGGAGGAAATGCTCTCGTAAAAAGAAGTGTTTTAGAATCGATATAAATATATATTCTCGAATTAAGTGATTCTTGATTGTAAAGCGATTGAGATTTGAGCGTTATATTCGTGGTGAAAAAATTTAGGGACAGCATTTTATAAGATGAATTTAATGTCAAATTTGTCGTTCAGAATTTGCTTTAATCACTGTATGATTTTTCTTCCTTTAATACATACAAAAATAAAGTAGGGTAATGCTTGAATTCAGAATATACTCTTTGCATAGATTGGAAAATGACGGATATGATGTCCTTGAAGTGTCCTTTTCCATAAACACATATCGAAATTGGCTATTTTCCCATCAAATGTTTTCCCTCAGCTTCTCACTTTACGTTTATCTCTTCTTCCTTCCTGCTTCTATCACATCTTATCATCAAAGGTGAAAACCGACGCGGTGAAGATGGTGTAACAAGTGAGATAAGAAATCCACCCCAATTACCCATCAAAGAGTGGATTGAAAATTGATGTTTCGCCCTTAGAGATCAACCCAAAACTCTCCAGCGAAGGAACAGCAATGAATTTGCCAGGCGTGAGGAAATGGAAGTGATAAACATTTCTCTTGCTCATCTCCAAATCACCCCAAACCACATACGTCACATTCCACGGAAATTTATCACGCACACCATGGGTGAAGTGCAGAGATTTCATGCCACGAGATCTCTCTTGTTTCCCATCATTCTCCGCCCCCTTGACTTTCCACCTTTCCTTTATGCGGAAAAAGGCTCACACATTTGCAGTCTGAGAAAGAATCACTCCGCAATTTGAACTTCCTGGGCTGTAGTCAACCTCCTGCTTTGCGATTTAGAAGTTGCGGTGTCACGAGGTGAGGGATTTGCGGGCGCAAAGAGCTGATGAAAGTCGCACAAAGGAGAGTCAACAGCTGAAAGCTTTTGTGCCAAATGAGTACTATAAGCCTTTTGTTTCCATGATTGCCAACAACAGAACGAACATTTCAATTTCCCACCAACAATTTTCAAATCAAATCCCTAAAAGGCAGTGGAAAACTAGGACAAAATCACTCGCCCCTTGTGGTATTCAATGGCTACAAATCCTTCGGGGGTAGTTCTTGTCCCTTTTTCACAGAAAAAAAGTAGAGGAAGGGACAAGCGAAGAAAGATAAATCACCTTAAAGATGATGGGATATCTTTTTGGACAAATAAGGTGGAAGTGATTTTACACTTTTTCATTGTGATCTCTTCTGGCAGAGCTTTCTGTGTCATCGACAGTTTGACTGCATACAAAGGAATATTTTCCTATACATTTTCAATTCAGAGCACTGACATTTCGCGAAGCTCTCCCTTTTCTACTCATCTCTGCACTATTCAATTTTCAATTTCCCAAGACGGTATTTGAAAAACATTCTGCGCGAGGTGAAAGGTATATCAGAGCGCTGAGTTCATTTCATATACATAGACACCTATAGAAATGCTTGATTTCCTCGTAAATATTATATCAGAGTGTTAAATGTTGCTTCTGCGAAGCGTGTTTCTGAAGAATATAAGTATGGAACGAGAGAGAGAGAGAGAGGCAAAAAAAATCATTTGCAGTGTTATTTAAAGTCAAACGAACGCCTTTTGCTCACACTGTGTACTCTATCTCTTTTAAAGCACCGCTCTGTGCGAATCTTTCACATCCCATCCCCCTCTGGAGTCTGTCGCATCCCTCTTCTGGCCTCTTTAGTTTGACTCCCATGGGAATGGAACAAAAAATGTGTGTGTGTGTGTATACCGAAAGCAATTCATAATATTCCCATTTTAACGATATGATAACCTAAACATTGACGTCACGACAGGAAATGTGAGTGTTTATTATTTTTCACCATGAACAGCGTGTAGCAGTTTTCCTCCCTCAACAGAGTCTTCATGGGTTGGCAATAAAAAGAGTATTGCAGGATGAGTAGGAATGCTCGTGACACGCCAAACATTATTGGGCGGCAATTGAATTTCTCCCATTCCCTTTTCAGCGAGGGACAAAGCATTAAATACGTTCTAAATTATAGCCGTAAAATATGAACGTAAAATGTCGCATTGTGTATCTTCAGAAAGGGGAGAAAATACACAGTTGTGGTCAATGAAATAAACCTATTTCTTTCTGGAGAATTTCCATTGAATTTCATCTATGCAGTAATGTATTATTGCCTATATATCCTGGAAAAAATTATTCCATTTGAGCTTTTACTTTGTCTACCACTTATCTGGCTATTCTTATACTTTCTACATAATATAAAGTAAATGTATCGTATCAGAAATTTCACAATAACTGAAAATCTATCCCTTCGTATGATAATTATAATAAACAAGGCCACTGTAAATAGACGAATAAGCTAAGCAAGAGAAGAGAAAACTTATCCTTCTGAGAGCATATCAAAATATTAAGGAGAAAAGAGGAGACATTTCTATGGAAATTCAATATAATCTTTGTCTATATTAAATATTTGACTTTTCCTCGGATATCATTCAATCTGCGATGCAACAGCAAGTTAATCATCCAGCAAATCCTAAATCTGTTTACTTGCCTTATTGGCGACCACGCTATAAATTCTGCCATGGTGGGTAAGCATTGAAATATCGCACTGCTTCGTTATCTTTGTCATTAAACGAATTAAATTCAGCAGCAGAGGTTGGGATTCGCCTGCAGATTGGACTGAGTTGCGTGCAACTGACGCACGATGATATTCTCACCGCTGCGTTTATGATTAAAGTTTAATGCTCAATTACGTAGAAAATTGACATTTTATCTAATTCTACGAGATAATTTACTCCATGGGAACAATTCACTGTGGTGTTTCTGTGCTCCCCATAAAAGGTGACCTCATTTGCAATTAAACTGGCTCGGCATGCGGGGAATGGGTGTGATTTACTTGAATCGCACACCCTCAAGTGGCTTTGGCCTTTGAGGAGGGAATTTTAATCATTATTTGACGGTCAGGAGGGGTGGCTTTTTTTCTTTCACACCCGCTCCCACCCTTAGGCAAATTCCCTCTGGAGAGAATGAGAAGTCAGTTTCATAAGGAGCAACTCAAATATTTGTCTTGTGTACAATTTTCCTTTCAGCTTCCCATCGGCGTCGAGGCAGTGAGAGTTCGAGTGATTGATGAATATTGGTCTGATTATAAATTTATTCATTGAGCAACGG